ACTTTTAATAAGTAATTATTTAATATAAAATAAAGTTAAAAGTTTAATAAAATTAATTTATTTATATTTAAAAATTTAAAGGTTTAAAACCTTTAAAAACTTAAAAGTAAGTTTTAATAAATACTTTTACTTTAATATTATAACTTAATACTTTATATTTAAATTAAGTATAATATCTTTAATAAAATAATTACTTTAATAATCTCTTAAAAGTATATTATTAAAAATATATTTTAATAATATTTTATTATTTTTAATTAAAAAAGTTTATTAATATAAAACTTAATTAAATAATTTATAATAAAAATTAAATATTATTATTAATAATTTTAAATATTAATAATAATACTTTAAGAAAGTTTAAAATTTATTATTATTCTTTTAGATTATAATAACCTTTATAGTTTTATAAAGTAAAAAGATTAACTTAAAAATAAGTTTAATAACTAATATATTTAGTTAGATTTTAATTTTATTATTAAATATTATTTTAATAAGATTAATTTAATTAATAAACTTTTAAAAAGTTTAACTATATATTAAGAGAAAAGCTTTTAAATATAAGTTAGATTTTAATTTTAAAATTAAAAATAGTTATAATTATTAAAAGGATTTATAATTTTATTTAAAAGATTAATAATAAGTTAAAATTTAAATTATAATTAAAAATATTATAATATATAAAATTTTAAAAATAATTCTTTTAATAAAGTATTAATTTAAATTTATAACTCCTTTATAAAGGTAGTTTATAATAAAAGTTTAAATCTAAATATATATATTTAATATTAATATAATATATTTAAGACCTTACTCTCTATTTATAAACTTAATTTATAAAGCTTAAAAGGAAAATCTTATAATTTAAATTATAATTAAAAATATAATCTTTAAATAATACTATTTTAAATAACTTTAATTATAAAATCTAAAATAAATTTTTTATTAAAAGAGATATATATATATATTAGAATAAGAGGCTTTAAAATAGGAGATTTTATAAACTTATTATAATAATTTATTAAGTAAATATTAAAGATAAATAAAAATATAAACTTTCTTTAAAAGTATTTTTAATAGCTTAAATTAAAGACCTTTATAATAAAATATATATACTTTTATATAATATATTAATATATATTTATATTATATTATTATTTATATAAAAGTTTATTTTACTATTAATTCTATTAGAATTTATATAAAACTTAATATAAACTTTATAATTAAACTTTTAACTATTATTATAAATAATAAAAATAAATTTAATTTTAATAATTATAAATTATTTTATTAAAATAAATCTTTTCTTTTAATTTATATAATAATAAATACTATAAAGTTTAATAAAATCTTCTATAAAAATTAAATATAAATAAAGAATTTTATAAAAATTATTACTAATTAAAATATAATCTTTATAAATAATTTTTAAAAATATTATATAAACTTAATAATATTAAAAACTATTATATTATTATTTATTATTTATAAAGTAATAAATAAATTAAAAGGATAAATTAAACCTTAAAATAATATTTTAAATTATTTATAATTAAAAATATTTAAAATTAATTAAAACTATTATATATTATATTTTTTATATAATTTAATTTAAAATATAATAATTAAAATAAGTTTATTTAAAGTATTATTAAAATATAAACTCTTTTTATAATTTTATATAATTAATAACTTATTAAAAATAGTATATTATAAAGAAAGGTATTAATAATAAAAGAATAATTAAAAAGTTTTAATAAATTTATATAAAATATTAAAAGAATTAAATAAAAACTATTAAAGTTTAAACTTAAAATTATAATATATATTATTAACTTAAATAATTTAAAATTAATAAATAGGTATTCTTAATAATTAAATATTTTTATTTAAAGAATAAAAACTAATTTTATAAAAGATTAGTTTATTTAAAATTTTAATTTAAGTTAATAAATAGGTTTATAGTTTAATTCTTTTAAAAATTCTTTTAAATATATAATATTTTTATATAAATTAATTAAAGTTATAAATAGTTAGAATATTAAAAGGTTTATAAAGGGATATTATAAATCTATTAAATTTAAAAGATAAATAAGTTAAATAAAAGTTAAAGAAGATTTAAAATTATTAAGAAATTAAAGGTATTTTTATTACTTAATAAAATAAAAAATAATTAAATAAATATAACTTTTAAATATTAAAAATAAAATATTTATAAATAAAATTATTTAGAAATACTATAAGAGGAAAGAACTCTAATATTTTTAAAAAAACTTAAAAATAAATAAATAAAGGGTTAAAGAAAAGAATTATTTAAATTATAATAAATAAAAATAAATAAATAATAATTAAATAATAAAAATAAATATTAAAAATAACTAATAAAATAGATAATAATATAATAAATAGTTAATAAATAATTTATAAAGACCCTATAATAAATTAATAAAAGTAAAATATAATTAAAATATAAATTTAATAAAAGATTAATAAAATAAATAATAGTTAAATAAATAAGTTATAAAGACTTAATAAATTATTTAAAGAATAAATATTAAGGAAATAAATACTATTAATTAACTATTAAAAATTTAATTAATTATAATATTAAAATTAAAAACTATAGTAAAAAGTAATATAAAATATATTAAAAATAAATAATTTTTAAACTATTTAAACTTATAATAAGTTAGAACTTACTTTAAAAAGTAATATAAAGAGATATTATTATTCTATTTTAAAAACTTTAAAAATCTTACTTTTATAATTCTATTTATTAACTTATAATATTTTAATTAATTTTTAAAGAAAAGTTATTTATATTTTATAAATTATTTTTAAAAAAAAGATAACCTTAAAGTTATAAGTTAAAAGCTTTATTTATTATATTTATTATTTTTAAAAAACCTTTAAACTAAAATATATTAAATAAAAAAGCTATTATTTATTAAAATTAAATATAATATATTATAATAATCCTTAATTAAATTATAAAAATCTTTTTTAAATATTATTTAAATTCTTATTTAAATTAAACTTTATTAATTAAAAGTATATAAATTAATTATAACCTATAATTAAAAATATTAATTATTATAATCTCTTTCTTTTAGAAAAATTAGTATTAAACTTCTAATAATAATTAATTATTTATATTTAATATAAAGATTTATTATTTCTTTTATTATTTAATAAACTATTTTAAAACTTAAAGTTTTTAACTCTTTTTAAAAAGTTAAATAATTATTAAAACTATTTATAAATATATTTATTAAAGTATTAATAAATTAAACTTAAAACTATATTAATTTATTCTTTTATATAAATAAAAGTAAAAGTTTTATATTATTTATAATTCCTTTTAGAAAAATTTTATTAAATAAAGGTTAATAATTAATTTAATAATAAAAGATCTTTTAATTTAAAAAGTTAATAATAATAATAAAAATAAATAAAAAAAGTTATTATAATATAAAAGAATAATACTTTATAATATATTAATTATAATAAAACTATTTAATTAAAAGATTATATAAAAATATTTTTATATAAAAAGAAAGAATACTTTTATTTATTTAAAAGCTTTTATATATATATTATAAAAGCTTATAATTTAATTACCTTACTTTATTTTTTATAATTTTAATATAATTTAATATAATATAATTAAAAATTTAAATTTATAAAAGTATTTTCTATATATTTTTAAAAAAATATAATATATTTTTAATTTTATAAAGTTAATTAAATATTAAATATATAGAAGTTAGAATTAAAGAATCTTTAAGAATTTAAAGAGACTTTAAAGGGTTTTTTTATTTAAATTTTAAAATAAAAGGTAACTTTTATAATTACTTTTAATAAATTTAAAAGGTATATAAAATAATTTTAAATTATTTATTTATTATTTTTAAAGAATAATTATTAAAAACTTTAATAATATTAATATTTTTAATTAAATTATAAATAAATTTAATATAAAAAATTAAAATTAATAAAAATAAAATTAATATAATTATTATTAAAACCTTTAAAGGTTAAATTTAATAAATTAAAGTAATCTTTAAATAAACTATTTTATTATTTAAAGTAATATATATAAAATAATATATAAAGTTTTAAAAAAATTATTTATAAACTTTATAACTATTATTTATAAATAATATAATAATAAATAAAAATAATTATAAAATAAAGATATTTTAAATTATTTTAAATAATAAAATATAATAATAATATTTAAAAGATTAATAAAATAATTAAAAAGATAGTTAAAAATTAAAAAAGAGTTTATTAAAGATTTAATAAAGTTAGTTATTAAAGAGAAAAAGAGAGAAAATAAAAATAAAGAGAGAAATAACTATTTAAAAGAAAGATTAGTTAATTTATACCTTTATAAAAATATAATAAAGACTATTAAAAATTTAATAAATTATTAAAATTAATTAATAATAATAAATAAAAAAGTTTTTAAAAATATAAATAAAAATAATTAATATTAATTAGTAATAATAATTAAAAATAACCTTTTAAAGAGAGATATAATTATAATAATTAGATAAAAGTTATAAAGAAATACTTTAAAGGTACTTTAATATTTAACTATATTTCTTCTTTAAGTCTTTTAAAAGGTAGGTAATACCTATTTATCTTTTTTTTAAAAGAGGTAAGAATTAATTTTATATTAAACTTAAACCTAATAAACTTTTAAACCTTTCTCTACTTATACTATTATATTTAGTGCTATAGCTCGCTATATTAATTAATTAAATATTAAAAGATATAATTTATAAAAATAAAGGGATAGATTTCTTTTAATTATAGATTTATTTAAGAGAGAGAGAATAGTCCTTTTTATAAATAAAAATAAGTTTTTTAAATACCTATTAAAATACTATAGAAATTAAAAGAAATAAGTATTTCTTATATAAGTTAGTACCTTATATTTAGAGGACTAAAATAGTAGTTATATTAGGCTATAGACGGATATAGAGCCGTTAATAAATAGGGTATTTTAACACTCAATCCGTACGCATAATTTCATACATTTTCCTTAAAACCCCTCTTTGAGGCCCGTCAGGTCCATCTGAGTCGTAAATTTCTGTATCGGGGTCTCCTGGTCCAGATTCAATTGCCAGCGGGTCCTTGATCCTCCATTCATCAGACGCTTTTTGTGAAGCACTCAATTTGTTCCAATTCCTCTCCAAATTTTGCTGCATTGTATCAAGAGTGTCTGCCTCCTGCGACTCAAATTCAGGCTCCACCTGTCTCAGGCATTCCCTCCATTGTGCAAAGTCGACGTCCCAGACAGCACCATTAGACGCGAGAACGGAGGCCGATTGGGCCCAGCTGCGAAGGCATTCGCCATGGTTCAGGTCGCGATCTCGATATCGATGATTTTCATCCAGTATTGCGGAGAGAGGAAAGTCGAGTGCAAGCTCCGCGTAGAACGGGTATCGTTGGTATGGAAGACGAAGGTTGACATCGGCCATGTCCAGGAGCATGCGAACAATGTCGGGTGCCTCCGGTCGTCCCGAGGCTACAGCCGCACCAAGTGCTGTGACAAATCGACTGCCAGTTGGAGCATTCGGATCGGCACCGTGCTCGAGGAAAAACCGCACACGTTTCGTTAAGCCAGCCCATGCGGTAGCTGCGAGCGCAATGTCGAGGTCGTGGCCATCCAAGCTCCCGAAATCGGCCCCTGCCTCCTCCAGCACTTCAATCATTTGCAGCGTTAGGTACTGCGGCTGCGCTGTTGGCCATTCGTGCAGACTTGCCTGAAACAGTTTGCTAGGCACGCTGACCATCCGAGTCGCTCCTTCCACTTCCTCCGGCAGTGATAGGTTCTGGTCGGCACCGCTCTCCAATAGCAACTCCACCATAGCTAGATTGCCGGTTTCGATAGCTAAATCCAGGGCACAGGTGGTATCTCCCCGTTTATTTGTGACTATCTCGTTTGGGTCCGACATCCTGGTGATAAGTAGCCGCATAACATCTCGGTCAGGCTCCCCGTGGCGGTGCTGCTTGAGGCCAAGAAGCGCCATCACGACGGCCTTGGCGCTAACAGTCGCCCCACTTTCAACCAGTAGACGTGCAACTGCCAATCGATGATCAACGACTCCCCGCGAATTAAGGCAGGCTTCGAGAGCATTCTCAACCTCAAATCCATTGGAGTCCAGGCCTCGGAACTGCAAGTTCGCGTCCGCGTCCCTTTCCAACAGCTCAGAGACCAAACCCTCGTCGCCGAAGGATGCCGCGACGGCCAGTAGTGTTGCATCTGAGAGAGGCGTGTTCACCTCCACACCCTTCTCCAGAAGAAGTGGGATGGTCTTTGTTGATTCGAAATCTCTGTCCCTGACGAATGAGAAGGGCCCCTCCAACGTGGGGGAGTCAACAAGGATCCGATCCAGCAGCAATGGCAGGACTTGCAACGAGTCAAATCTGATTGCAAACCGTAGGACATGTCCGTGCTGGCTGGTAAAACTTGAGGACAAAGAGAGGCCGTGGTGGGTTTGAAGCAGCTCGCGCACGACTTTGATAGAGTCGCCCATTGCAGCGGCGACAATGGGGGGCACCTCGTCGGCCGCAAACGTGTCCAATCGAGCCGGAGGGTCAGCACTCAACAGGCACCGAAGAACCTCCGCTTCGTCGTGGGCACAGGCCAGCGCCGTGGCCGACCATCGTAGCGAGTGATCATAGAAGGGGCTGATCCATTCAGCTCTTTCCCATGGCCACCACCGCCGCGCATCGTACAACGTGTTCGTATCCATACCAGCAGAGTTCAACAACTTGGTGACAGTTTGGGGAAATCCGAGGTAACAAGCCAGATTGAAGGGGCTCATTTTACACTCTGGATTGAAGGGCAGGCTTCGTTTATTCAAAGTCGACCATGGTAGAAAATGTGCCGAACACGATCCATGCTGTTCCCATCTCTCGTATGGCATGTGGCCTTCTTTAGGGCCAGTGAGAAATCGCAGTAGCGTTCGCGAAAGCCCACCTTTGTTGCGGGACTCCTGGTGCTCGTTTGTGCGCATATGGGCTGGCCAGGCATGGGCGGCGTATTCACGCAGAGGCTCTTGCAGTGCGTGATGATATGGGGACTCGAGACTTGTACCGCATGGGCAGATATCGTCGTCCATCTTGCTGTCTTTAACAGCGGAGCCACCAAATGTGTTGATTGTTATCATCAGACAAACCTTCCCGGCCTCGTAGTGCATCTCAGCACGTTCCTCGGAACAGCTGCCGCTATTTTCGAAGAATTCCGCCACTGCTTGGTGAGCAAGCCGCCACACAGGACCAGGTGGATTCTCTAGTAGTCTGAAAAACTGGAATTCTTCCTGCTCGGGCTTGTTTGTATCGAGGGCCAGGAAGTTGTGACAAGTTTTCAATATCAATTTTTCGGACAGTTCCCGGCGAGTGGGAGACAGGCGATCGGTATGCGCGTCCTGTGAGATCGCATAGAGCAGTTCGTCCGATGTCAAAGGCCTCAAAGAACACAGGACCCATCGAAGGGCCCTATCCCTGTATTTCCTTTCCGCGGGCTTGATCGTTGTGCGAAGATATAGCTTTTCATAAAGCTGTGTCAGCCCCTGTGGCAGACATTCTAGCCCGTCTCGTATATCCTCTTCAAACAGGCATTCCTGTAGATTCTCGACTTGAAGATGAGCACATAGGAATAGCCCCTGACTCTTCTCCACGATGGTCTTCACCATGTGCTTTTTAAGCTCATCCTCCAAATCTGGCCATTCGGGATGCTGTGCGATCTTCTCCCGTACGAACGTCGCTATGTCTTTTGAGGTGGCGTTGTTGTGCATCAAAATAGAGGATTGTACTTCTAGCCACCGGGACAAATCTAGCTCGGGTCTTGAAGAGACAAAGATCTTCAAGTTGGAACATCGTTCAACGAGCGAAGAAAAGATTTTGGTCAAGTCCGTGCGTTGGGCTGGCTTGCACTCATCGAGTGCATCCAGTACAATAGTAACCCCGTGAAAAGTGATGATGAGTTTGGAAAGACAATCTTCCCATTCGTCGAGAGTTGTCGTATCATGAACCCCAGCATTTTGACCGTGTTTGTTCCACATGTTGACGACGGCCTCGTTCAGCGAAACGCCTTCGGTGGGTCCCACAGCCGCAATTTGCCTCACAATATTTCGAATGATTGCCGTGGCAGTATTGCGCATTTCGTCTTGCTCGATACAGTAGAAATGGGCGAAAGCCATATGATGTTGACTTTCACCAAGAGATTGTTGAATCCACTCAATAACTCTTGAGGTCGCATGGGTTTTCCCCATTCCCACTTCTCAAATATCAGTGCCTTTGCATTCACAATCAGTCTACCTAGGTAGTGCAGGAAATAACTCACTTCTTCCTTGTAGCGTTATAATCGCGGAGGCCTCGGATTTATACCATTGGATGAACTTCTCGTCCTCGACAATCCAGTCACAGGTGCCATCCAACCGCCTCGCGCGACCTTTCTCGTATTTGCCGGGCATCGGGGGGGCAGCCATTGGGGACACCCACTGCAGAATTTCGCGTCGCTCCTTGGCCTTCTTTTCATCCAGAATGTCGAGGACATGCCGTCCTAGTAGGCCGGCGTACTCATTAAACTTTCCATTCCTCATGGCAGTGGAGAATGTACTCCAGTGTTCATGGTACATCCTTGTCATGTTTGAGTTCAAAGAACCGTGGAAGGTCTCGCCATGCACGGGGCCATTTCCCGTCAGCCCCAGGTCACCGACTACTCTCTTATAGCAGTTCTTGAAGTCATGAGCGATGTCCTTGTGTTGGACGAAAAGCTGCTCTAGTAATTGGAAGAAAAGAGCGTGTTTGTCGGCCGCTGAGGTTGACTTGAGCTTGAAGGTTATGTCGCTATCCCCAAACACCGACAAGTACGGAAGATGGTGAGCTCCGTTTAGCGAAACAGGGACCATGCCGTGTCGACCAGGTCGGTGGAGTTTCCTTACCCTTAGGAACGCGACCTCTGTGAGCACGTGATGAAACCCATCTTTGCTCGTCTCGCCGTGAACGAAATCTTGTATTTGTGACTTCAGTGTCACATCCGACGTGACGTCGTGGCTGTTGCAGATATTCACGACTTGGTCAATGTATTGCGAAGCGTATGGTGTTGTGCAATAACCCTCAAGGACACCAGACCCGCAAACCAGCACCTTATCGATACACCTGGTACCTGTTCCATCAGGCCTGGCGTTATCACCAAGGGGAAGGAGGCGAATCTGATTGGCGATGATATTTCGCTGAGCAGAACTGTCATCTTGGTCGGATGTTAGAGGAGGGAGAGCCGACTTGTCGGAAAGAATTCCAGCGTTGATTTTCTGGAACCAGCTGATCAAGTCATGAACGCATTTGTCGTGGGCGATCCCCACAGCGTCGTTCCTGTGCGCATAGACAGGGAAAATGGTAGGCTTCCCGAGGGTAGTGTTGCTGAAGAGATCACACCTGGCCAGCTGCTCAAGAACCTCATCAAACAGCTTCTCACGAGCTTTCAGGAACGTCAGAATAGGTGTAGACAAAGCAGCTTTGCAAGACACGCCATAGAATGTTGGGCGCGGAAATTTGTGCGGATGCTTACCGTGGCTCGGTTCCAGCCAACCCTGACTTCCTGCGTCCGGGTTCATGGTGTGAGGTCGAGCTATACAGACTCATGCCACAAAGTGTACGGGTTCCTCTGTGCACGGAAAACGGGCTATGCGGGTTTTCTCATTAGACGAGAAGAGTGTGGCGATGAAGGGGGACAGACTGATCCCAAGGAAGGTTAGTTGTGTGAAAGAATGCCAGCAAGGCATTTTTCTTTCTCGGAAATGACAGACCTCGGTCGCTGTAGCCTACAGCACAGCCGCAACTTGTGACACCTGAATGCTGTTCAGTAATATTTCAAGCCAAGAATGTACACCTTGCGGGGGCATTTCGCCAGTCAGCACTACCTATTCCCAACGCTAATGCAAGAGACCCACCAGTAAGGCGCCCGTGGCCGTTTACTATTCGCAGACACAAGGCGCGCGGCAAATGCAGATTACGACAATATGGCCAATCATTCTTCCACCGGTATCTTGGGAGGCGCATATCTCCTCACCTCACCTGAGGAGGCCTGTGTGCCAGCTGCGCGTGAAATTATTAGGTCAACGTCGGGACCGCATCATTAATAAATCTGACTTCGACATCTACAGCTGTCGCCCTGGGGCTCCGGGCCTGGTTTCGGTGGCAGTTTGATTTCCACGGCGTGTTTCAATTCGGGCTCATGTTGAACGGGAATAGTTCTTTGGTAGTTCGTTCAGAGCATGAATTGTATCCTTTTTGAGCACGGGGAGGAATTTTCACGGACGTAGCTTTTTCGGTTGCATCACCGGACAAAACGCTTCCTCGATCAAAGCTCAAACCATACGCATCCTAGAGGCAACAGAAGCACTTAATGTTCAAAGTCTGTCATCCGAGTTTAAGTGCCCAAGTGTCCAACGGTAATAACACGCTTGCAATTTCTTAATGAATTACAAAACGATTCAAGCCCCGGGGCAACCATCTGTCCAGGTGTCATTAAATCCAGCCGTCTGACGTAGCGCCTATGCGATGCTTGCCGATATTCTAGAACACTGATGTTCAATTGAACCCGAAGTCACCAGAGCCACACATATTACATAAGATTTTCTCTGAGATACTGGAACAGCTCTTTCCACGCGACGTGGATTTCATCTGGCCTTTCGAACATTGCTGACTCGGTTATTAGCACACTCAACCTGGACATCCCGGTACCACCTAGTTAACCACCCGATGACATTTTGATGAAATATGCCTCAGTGGTTCGGATTGGACGCTCTGGAAAGAATATCGACACAAGAAAGATTGGAGGTGCTTCTCGTGGTCGCCGGCCGCGCTATCATGGGTATGGAACGATGTCGAGACGCTCAAATCGTGAGGATCTGCACCGGCCTTCGAGGGCACACCAACAACATCTGAAGCCAGCAAGGCCCCCACAGATCCCGTTCCTGGAGCGTTTTTGCCTCGCCAGCGGAGACGAACCCCTCCTCTCTGTTATACATAAAGGAACGTTTTCTTGTGCTGTGCCACGTGGGCCAGTGGCGTGGAAAGTCCACTGATCTATCCAACTTTACTCTACCAAGTGTAGCTTTCTGTCGATCCGCGAATTCACTTAAAGACATTTCTCACTATGTACTACTGATAGCTTCATGTTTCCTCCCATCAGATCTCTTCCTTCCTGTATTATGTGATCAAACAAGCACACGTAGCAACATCGAGAGTCTTTCGGACTTTCTCGCTGCGCTCAATGTTAACCCCTCGACGGCGCTTAATATTACCGGTATTCTCAGCGACTATTATAATGGGTGTATGAGCGTGTCACATTCAAATTGGGATGGACAGTTGGTGAAATGTGTGTACCGTCCAATATCCCCTCCAATTACCACGATTCTTTGAGGAGACCCCACGACTTATGTCACTTACCCGTGGGTTCGCTCTCGCTCCCGTAGGGGGCAACCGAAGGTCTGACCCCCGGGGAGCTGGCCACAATGAGTCTCTCGACGACCAAAAGAGGACCGCTTTAGCATTTCGTATCAGCAGCATGGTCTTCCCTTCATCTACATGAACGACGCCAAAATGATTGCTGGATACGGCACCGAAAACGTTTCGCGACATCAGCCATAAATATGATCCTCTGAAAGTTTTCCAAAAATTGGAATTCGGCGGGTTCTTATTGCCGGATGATTGAGCTGGAGACTTCAAGTCGAGCCACTGTCTTTCGTCTTCACGCTTCACTTTCAAGCTTGGCCTCCATATTCGGGTCTGCATTCCAGAAATCTGAATGAAATTCCACCGAGACACAGCAGCTGCATGGAACCTTGTGCGACGATCGATGTATAAAGAAACGCATTGCCCACTTAGAGGGATCACCTGTGTCAATGACCTTCATATGGCAATTGATAAGATATGCTGGCGGCCTCCATTACTTATTAAGTGATCAAATATCATCTTATTTCACTAAAGTCGGAACGCATCAACGAGACAGATTTATCTCGTGATATATCCATGTGATGACTAGTAAAAATGCGTATAGTTGAAAGGAAAGAAAGGCCATAAAATACCGGCCAGAACCTCTCGCCCCCCGCCCCAAGTGAGAATATTTCCATGCCCCAAATGTTCATGAGGAATAATCAAATGGAGTGTCAATGCACAGTTGGAAACTAGTTGCTTGGACTGATATCGCGGACCATGTATATCTACCCGTGGAGATCCGTCAAATTGACGAAGACTTGCAGGCAATGTGCGGTCTTTGCGTCGACGAGGGTTTACAGCCGCCGAAGAGCAAGATCCAGGCGCTCTCGCTCATAGCTCGGGACCTCCATGAGCTGAACATATCTCCTTCCTGCAATATCTTCCAGGCTCTCACCGTCTGTAGGCCTGCTGCACTTGCAAACTGTCCCATACAACATGCTGTAATCTATGTCCTGATCACAGCAAACTCACAAGGCCTCAGTCATTCCACCCCAAAGACCCGTCCACTCGCAACACTACTCAACATCCCCACGCGGGGCCACAAGAAGCCCGGCCGTCAACACCATCGCAAACGGGATGAATCCCCAGTGCCCCCACTCCCCACCGCCGGTCTGCCAGCGGCTCACGAGCCCGTCCACGATGGCTATGGGCGTGTTGACCAGCATCATGGCGCCCATGAGCCGGTGGTCGCCGGCCCACCACAGCGCGAGGCTGGTGAGGCCCATGCACGCCTGGCGCACGGCGTATATGCGCGCGAGGGAGTAAGCGAGCTTCCGGTCTGTGGGGGCGGCGGGCGTCGGGAAGCCGAGCATTGAGAGGGCGCCGGCCGGGCGCAGCACACCGTAGACCCCGACAGAGATGGGCAGGGCGTTCAGGATCGCTGTCGTGTTGGCGAAGGCTGTTGTGGTGAGGCCGAGGATCATGGCGGCGGTGGTGGTTGAATGTGTCTTTGATTATTATGTGATGAATCCCCTACTGTTCTGTGATCGTTTTCAGTACGATCTTGACCAGCTCGCAACGGTGGGTAATAATATCGCCTGGCTGGAATGTGGAGCTGGGCTTCTGTTGGTTCAATGTTCTCAACCCCACGTAAGAAGGCTCCATGTTCAGCCGGCTCGGGTACCCTAGGGTGATGACGGAGCTGAGCCTGTCCTGGGCGGGTTAGAATCGCGCACCAATACGACCCTCGCCCAACTGACAGTTGGCTGAATTAGCGTGGTTGGTGTTCTAGAAGCATGGCGTAGAACTACCCCAGTGTACCCTAGGGTAGGCCGAGGGTGATTGTCGATCACTACCTAGCTTGTAGGTAAGTACGGATGTGCCTGGGGTTCGTACCAGGGGCTAAATCCCCGGGCGACTTGCTTTTTGGATCAAAGTAAAGTAGTAACGTTATAGCATAGACCCACCCATATGCACGCGAGGCCACTGTCAAAACTTGCATAGGATAATTGACGTCCCCAAAAGCCTCCCAGTCAAACCAAGTATGATATTTGAGTATACCCATACCGATAAGTTTGTTTCGTTCCCAAGGTTCTCTTGATAGCAATGCATTACAGATTGGCTCTCGGGGCACGCCAATGTTCTCCCTCCCTCATATCCAGGATAGCATTGTCCATCCTCACAGCAAGGTGCCACCTCCCCAACCCAGGCCAAAAATTCTCAAAAAGCCCCGTCAGCTTCCCATTCTCGTCCCGCTGGTTGAGGTCCATCCACCCGACGTGGGCCCGGGAGGTGGACTGTGTGGACACGCACCGACACCACTCCTCCGTGCCGACAACCTCTGGCGTCGTGCCCTGCGGCACCGGGGGCTGCACGAGGGCTGTCGTCACGCCGAGGTATTCGAACCAACCTGTCGATAGCGGGAAGGCGGGTACGAGCGGAAGTGTCTTGAAGGAGGCTTGGAACAGCGGTGTGGTGCTGGGTGATGCCTCGGTTGCGTCGCCGGTTGTGTCATACGGGAACACCTTGCACTGCTTTGAACCGTCTGGGAGGTCTTTCCATTCGAATCTTGCGAGATGCTTCGGGATGTTCCAATCTTCCCGCGGTTGGTGCTGATTAGCAGGCCGACAATGCTACCTTGGTGTGGGAGGATACACTTACTTAGTCTTCCGTTGTACAGCGTGTCTTTCTGTGAGACATATATCCTTGTCACCCGCGGGCTTTTCTTCTCAACCCAGTTCCCCTTCTTATCCTGGACAGGGTACGTATAGGCGCCAGGTATGATGACTAGCTCGTCATATGTCCCCACTGGGCTGTCTGTGTAGCGGACAAGCATGAAGCTGCCGACTCCTCCGGCGAAACGGCTTCCCTCGGGAGAGGAGAATGGGGTTGAATTCTTCTCTAGCGGTGAAAACGCGATGGTGTCTATCTCAGAAGCTGCCTTGCTCTTCGGGCTCGAGAAGAAGTATGCAGCGTAGACCTCGGCGGTACACTTCCAAGGCGCTGGCGCCTTCTTGATGCCGACGTCGCCCATGTTAACGATGGTGCGTCGATTCGTTTGGATTTAAACAACGACCAGTGGACTCTGAGGCACTTTTACAGAGCTTCGATCCGTCAGTAAAATGTCTTAAAGCATAAGCGGTCTTACTTCTAAAACGACTACGTGCTGTCAACTTGAATAGTTCACTGCCTTGAGGTTGTGGAGGTGCACATGTCCACCTTAGAGTGGGGAAACCTTGGGACCGATAATGCCTCGGTATTTAGAAAACAGGGATCATAGCTGCTGTTCCTCTTACAATTGGTTGGGGGTCATCAGTCACTAGTGGCTCCTTCCGACGCCTCAATGTAACGGTGTGATCCTTCCTCCAATCACGATATCCCGTCCCTGGTATCGCTGTGTTCATTGCATTGGCTCTGAACCACGTAATCATTGTATGGTCTCAATCTTCAATCACCAGCGAAGTCATTCTCGTGGTCTTGTAGACATGTATATGGTGTTTGGCTCAGCTATTTTGTCTGGGCAAAATTTGCCACGGCTGGCCAGCGATGCCGGAGGTGTGGCCTGAATCGTGTAACCGGTAAGTCTAGTTCAGCGGACTGATGCTCAACTAAAGGGTCAAGTTTGTTCTACGACAAGCGCTCTCTATTTTTGTTACCCGAAAGTATCTGGTAAGTCGCTACACAGAAACAATCCAGGCGGTTCAACTGTTTTTGGTAGTCACCAAAGAAAGCACAACAGCACCGACTCGGCATACGTCCGTAGCAACGCCCGTACTGCTCCGATCGGTCCTTCACAGTCTATCAGTATCAAAACCTCCTAGAGCAGTCTGGGACAACATCACGACCTTCAGACGTGGCAACTACTCCACCTGTAGCAGGTCCTACCACGGTCGGAGGCGGGTATAGTGACACGTTCTTCTTTGTCACACAACGGCGTGAAGCATGTCGAGTGCCTGTTGGTGGATGACCGACACAAAGTCCATTGATTTCATCCGTAAAAGTAACCGCTTATGAAATATCATACCACCTGGGCAAGTTTCTGAGCCCGCACCTGAGAATTAGTAGGCGAGTCACCTAACATGGCACTGTATTTATCCCCGCCTCGGACAACCTGGCATTACATCTGTCCGTATCACCGCGTCCCGGTATTTAATGGACGGACATGACCAACCAAAGGAGAGGTGGAGCGGATACGACGTTGGGAATTATATGCAGTTGCTTGGTCATGCGTCCACTTCTTGGACGCTGGCTCGATTCGATAGTTACCTTCGCCATGGACAAATTTTATTTTCGGCCCTAATCAGCCCAAGATGACAAAACTGCGAATCCTCATTAGCAAAGAGGAAGAGGGTGCTGTCTGAAACCGAATGAACACAGTCACAGATGAGATTGTATCGTTACGTTTCACCGTTGATGGCCATATATTCACTTTGTTTCGGAGTTTTGGTGTCGCGTGACACACGGGAGTGAGATCTGGGCCGAGTCTTCGTGGGTCGTGCCAGTTGAACCTGACACCTGTGTATCGAATTGCTGCCTCGCATCGGCGTATCCACGAGGCAGGGATTTTACATGTCGAATACTTGAAACATCCTAGAACACCAGCGGTATTAATCCCAAGGTGATTGGTTGTCCCCTGTGGTCGATTGCAAAAATCCGCCTCATTAGAGTTCTCCAAGGGCTCATCGACATGTCACGGGGGTGTCTGTTCCACTCTCGAGCCACTGCAGTGTGACTGATTTGGCCTATGGCCTATGGTTTCTTTACGAGACAGCTACCGGATGTAGTAATGATACCAATAACGTGAACTGCTATTGGTGACATACAACGATGTTGATTTTGAAAACTCAATGTGAACTCCTATGGTGTAACTTACATTCCAGTCGTGCTCGTCCAGCACACTCCAACCCTTGTCGGTGAACACAAAAATGAGCTCCCGGTTGACTCCTCTGTATGACAAATTCGGAGTGCTTGGTTCATGTATAGTTTGGAAATTAGATGTTCTAGTTGCTAAAGATGAAAGACTTAGACACGCCAGATCCGTTGAACCACTTTATTGACGCGGAAAGAACCCACATACTGCTTTCTCAGGGCACCGCTATCTCTTCAAGGGGACAATCTCAGTCAAACCACCATGATTCTACCAATCTTTGTTCTGTCCATCTACAGTCTCTGGCTTGTGTCGCCCAGCGGCTCGCTTGCTAGGCAGACTATCCGCCATCAAGGTCCGAGATCATCCACGGGCAGCCTTCGAGCAGACTTTTTCCGTGCAATTATCAACGGTTCGAATTACGGCAACCACATCAAGGTGAAGACGCCGGATGATGTTCCGATCAAAGTCGGCATCATAGGAGCCGGAGCGGCCGGCCTCTATGCAGCCATTCTGCTAGAGTCGCTTGGCATTGATTATGATATCCACGAGGCGTCGGACCGCATCGGTGGCAGAATATTCACGCATCGCTTTGACCAAGACGCGTGGGACAAGTCGACGCCCGACGAGCCGGACTACTACGACTATTATGTGAGCCCCCGGTTAGTGCTGTCATCTTGAAATCGCTGACAAAGTGGGTCAGGATGTGGGAGCCATGAGGTTCCCGCCAATGACGCCGGGATACATGGAGCGCATCATCGGTGCTCACAACTGGAGTCTGATTCCGTACATCAACTCGCATCCAAATGTGGCGAGGAAGGACCAAGTCGTTCAGATCCCCTTCGTCTTCAAGACCGACTCGACTTTCCGACTGTTCAACAACGTGCTAGCGTTCAACAACGATTCTACCAGTCCCGATCAATTCCATGTAGAGCTGATGCGCAACAATAGGACTGACCCCTTCAATGAATTTGGTGCTTCTCATCTATTTCGTGAGGCAATCGACGACTTCATGCAGACACTCATCGACACCAATGGGGACCTCAATACGGAGGGATGGAACCACCTTCTGGAACGTGACTCGTTGTCCGTAAGAGCTTATCTGCTTATGCGAGATCACACCATGGACGAAATAGACTGGCTAGAGACAATCAATGAGGCCACCGGGCATTACAATGGTAAGCTTTCCCCCAAGGGTGGCTTTGGTTGATCACAAGTACGCGCGACGGCTCTGTGCCTACCTGCTGGCATTTATCCACAACACCGCCGGACTAACTGAAAGCAGTATACAGCTTACCGCAAGCCGTCCTAGAAGAATGGATGTTTTGGAGCACTAGTATAGACAACTGGACCTGCATCCGAGGGGGCATGGACATGCTTACCAAAGGAATGACCCTGACTCTCAAGAGCAAGCCCAAGATGCGGAACAAGGTTACTGACATCAGGGCTGGAGACAAGAGCGCTCTCAGGGTGATCATCAATCACACAGTTGAGTACCAATATTCTCACGTGATTTCCACCGTGCCTTTAGGTCCGCTACAAGCCATCAACATGACGGAGCTCGAGCTTGGGTACTTCCGTAACAACGCAATTAGGCTACTGAAGTATGACCATTCACTCAGACTCCAATATGAAGGATATAGACTTACTGAGCACGCGGCGCAGCTATGACTCAGCCACCAAAATAGGGGTGAAGTTCAAGACACGCTGGTATGTCCCCAAACCTATCTGTCAGTCACCGGAACTTTGCATTCTCGCCGTTGACAATGGGCCGGTCCGGTCTGGCGCAGGTGGGAGAATCTTCCCAGCGGAGCCTTTCAAGGCGGGCAATCATTCACCGACCTGCCAATCAGACGATCTGTATACCCCTCATATGGTCTCAACATCACAGACGCCCCGGGCACGATGATCGGCTCCTATGTGTGCGGGCAGGACGCTTCCAGGCTTGGTGCTTATCTCAACCCTCATAACCCCACGACACAATCGCCGTACCTGCCTGGCGGCTTTGAGGAGCTTACCGATCTCGTACTCCAAAACTTGGCTGCACTGAATAATGTCTCCTACCACTTTCTCCGGTAAGTATTGCGTTCTTCCTAAACGCCTGCCTGCCATGGTTCGGCGTTGATGCTGCCACTAGACCGGTATGCGGGCGGCACAAGATTTCCCGTTCACTGACTGAGGCCACAGTGACCAATTTCTGGAGATTCATGCATATGATTGGGACCAGTCCGAGGCAAGTCCTTTCGTATTTCTCAGTGATTACGGACATCATATTTATCCAACATCCATTCTGTATCTTCATTGCACGTCTGACACAGCAAATAGTTCTCTAATGGTGCTTTTGCCATCTTCTCTCCCGGGCAGTTCAGCACGGTGATGCCTCACCTGATGGAACCAGCTTGGCAGGGTCACCTGCATTTTGGAGGCGAGGCTTTGAGTTCGGGCCATGCTTGGATCATTGGTGCTATCAACTCTGCGTGGAGAACAGTGATGGAGATCCTGGACACAGAAGGGCTGGAAGATAAAGCGGAGGAGCTGTTTGCAATGTGGGGAGGCCCAATCAACGAGGTCGATATGGGCTGGTATGATTTCAACACCATGGGATGGACCGACTACGGGGTGCAGCTTGGCATTGTCCAGGCGTGAGCGGCTCTCTACCTGGGTACGGAACATGGTCCCAAGTGTATGTACCCGGCATTGCGAATGCCCAGCCAGATTTCCTGCTGGCCAGAAAGAGAGAGATCAGTGTTAAACAAATTGAAGCCCCTATTCCAAGCAGCTTTCACTCTTCATGTGGTTGGTGATTCCACGCATGTGCACGAACAATACATTTTCTAGAGGTCGCGCTTCGAGGTCTCCTGTGGGTTGCGTCCTCACACTCCCATTCGGTAGCAGTTGATTAAAATGCAATCGGCTCTATAGTTAGCACAAGGCAATTGTAGCTTTCTCCTGCCCACACGTGCATACGTGGGCCGCCTGGAAGGACGCAAACAGACAGCTCAACACGTGTCTTTGTCCTGACTACCCAAGTCACAACCAAATAGAATTGAAAAATGGCAGCAACCCTACCTACCTCAAGATCCAGACCCAGATTGATTGATGCCTCTGCTTCAGGCTCGGTGTCTACAATCACTATTCCTCTTGACCAAGCAACATTGGACCAATACTCAAACGGAGTCAAACCATTACAAAATGGCCGCTTTTCCACCGCCGCAAAATGCCTTACCTTTCCGACTTCCACCAGGCTTTCCCCCGCCCCCTATTCCGCTTCCGCCGGGGGCATTTCCCGCAGCTGGGCAAAATCCCATGGGATACCCGCCGAAGACCCAGGATTTTATGGAAACTCAGGCTACTGCGGCCTACATGCACGAGTTATACAGGACAACCGGGAGCTCAGTGATCGACCAGGCGAACCCAACACATTTTGCAGCACTTCAAGGCTGGACACAGCCCGTCGTGGGGGCCGGGGTTTTCCGACTCCCTCGTCCACGATCTCAAGCAGCAAGAGACCAACTCACAGCGGCGATCCGAAACCGTGGCGTGGCGGGCGACCCATCGAACCCTGGCGGTTTCAATGCAGGGAATCGGCCTAGACCGGGTGCTAATGACCAAGCGACCGTCCAAGACCATATTAACCGAGCGAGAAGACTGATGACCGCCCTCAGCATGGCATTCGTGAGGCAGCTGGATTGGGTAAGTGGTACAAGCAACGCAGACCCTCCCGGCTGTCATGAATCTTGTGAGCTATGGGCCTCGAAATGTGTTCTGATAACAGCTATAGGATCGCAATGGTTCAACCACACTTTGGTACTGGAGGAATCGTGCGGGCGGCGCCGGCAACGTTGTCGCATATGCTCCTCTGGCTGACTACGAGGATCTCTACTTCAACTTGTCGTCCAAGTTCAGGGTGAGCTTTTCCCTTGCTCTTCCTTGTTAATGGACCCGGTCTCCACCCCCGCCCCAACTTTGATGAGGGTCGCGCGAGTGCGTGGGGCCCTATAAGGTTCAATTCTGGAGGGAGATGAGACTTTGCCGAAATCTGCGATAAATGAAAAGGAAGGGAATTGACTTCTGATCAATGTTCTCTACGAGACATAGGATTTATCCCGCTCGCCACATATAGTCCATCGCGCACCTCTGAGCACACATTTAGCACCCGGTGCAAACCAAGCCCAGCTGAACTCCGCTGATGAGCTGGAAAATGATGCAGGGTTCGTTTGGACGGAATGGACCAAATATGGTGACTTGGGAAGGTGGTAAGTTGTGGCATTAACTGCACTCAACAGGCTCACTGCTGTCCTTCAAATGTTCATCTCTTATGTCGAATGATATTCTTTGCACCATTGAAATTGGTAAATTCGAAAATCAATTGACTCTTTAATAGGATAGCGCGGGTGTCCAATCAGGCTGAACAGTTCCCGAGGTCGGTTCTTTGGAGGCTCTTTGAATGTCGTGAGTACCGCATTAAGATTGTATTCCGTCTTTGCTCGATGGCCCGAGAAACAGGAATAGTAATGATGTTACTGACCCTAGTCTACATAGTCATCGACGCATGTATTGCCATGGCATTCCCTCCAAGACTTCAGCGAAATCCAAACCGTCGTCTATTTGGGGACGAACTTAGAGAACTGATACCAATTAATCCTGTACCGAACGGATATCGAAATCTTGTGCACATGGCACTCAGCCCTTCAGAAGGTAAGCACTATAACACTCAGCGACTTCATTTGACATGACGTGGTACTGAAGCAGTTACACCCAGTCTATATTGAAGACTATCATGATAACACCCATGAGGATGTACCCCGGCTGCAGGTACGTCCCTACTTTGTTTTATGACTTCTGACCCCCATTTATGCTAACCTGCCTCAGGTCGGAGGCTTTGAAATCTCTCATTTCTCCTATGAGCTGGGTGGGGCAAATTTCATGCCTCTCCCTAATAACTTCAGAGGATTGTAAGGCCACACTTTATATTGATCCAGACCTCCATGCTGTGATCCGATTCCGCGACACACAATCACCTGTACTCATTGGTGGAACAAACTAACATGCACAGGACTCGACTGTGGACTAGAGGGAGGATGCGTGGCAGGGAAGGGTGGTGGTTGCCCGAGCACTTCACGGCCGAGTGGGACCGCGTCAACTACGAACCATATAACGAAGGCTTCACAGACATGACCACAGGCGTTGGAGCCGCCGGTGCCTTCAGCCAGAGGAGCAACATATTCCATATAGCCATGGTAAGCCGCCGTCATACCCTGACCCAAAATCGGCTGTCCCCAATACTCAGCTGACCATCGAACTTACAGAACATCTGGTGCTGCATGCTATTGCAACAGCCGGAAAGGCCGCCGCGGGCAACACCAATACCACGAACAGGCCCCAACATGGGAGCCCAGGGGTGGACCTATACCGGCGAGATGAGATTCCAGGACTATCACACACGATTCGGTCGAGACCTCTGTGATCTCGTCAGCGACTGCTGCAAATACATGCCCCGTGACCGGCCCGGTTTGCGTACAGTGCAATTTAGGGTGAGGAATGGGATACGCGATAACCCAATGACATGGGCCGACGGGGACTGGGTGCGGAGAACGATACGTGAACCGGCAGCGCCCCCTATCTTGAACCCTCAACCCGGCGTGCAGGCCGCGGGTGCGCCAGTTGCCCTCCGGTGGGGGCGAAGGAGGTGACGACTTGGACCTTTTTGCTGTTCTATACTAGTACATAACGGGGCGACTTCACTTTACCAGGCATCATAATTAGTTTAAGATGATATGGGAGGGCCGCTCGTTTTAGACCAGCGGAATCAAGCACATATGTGGTAATTCTTGCGCGGCAAGAATGACCATATTGATAATTACGCTGCTACCGATGAAGGCAAGATCTGCCTCGTGGTTGATGCTACCTTTGTTTGCACCGGGTGGGTGATAGTATGGTGTTACTTTATTCTTACAAGCTAAATTGAACAATGAAGTTGCTTCAGTAAACAGATGACTTTTAATGTACGTTAGGATCATGACATAGTCCTGCCGCCATTCCAATGCCGCCATTCACACACTTGGCGTACCTACTAGATACCTAGGTATAGTAATATCATTGAAAAACCTATTTCTACTAGCATGTTGCCACAACACTACTAGTAGAACGCCCGTTTTGTATGTTCCGCGCATGGTTCCTTTGCCATACCTACGGCCACAATTAATCTTCCAAGATTGACGCAGCCGCTTTCTGCGCCATGGCGTACAAAAGTGGCATCGGGTGAGACGTGATCTCAAAAGGCAGGATACCAGCATCGACTACCCGCAGACTCTTGGTTCCATGTACCCTGAGTAGTGAAGGCGTTGTCAGTCTCGGGTTTCTCCCGTTGGAAATGCCATTTGGAGAGGGTACTTGCCGCAGTCGAGGATCCACCACTCCCCCGAGGTCCCTCGGCAGCATCGCTGTGCTCCCGACCCAATGGCTCGCTCCGATCCCGGTGCTCTTGTACCAAGCTAGCCACTCATCATCGGTCCCATTAGGAGCGATCTGAGGATCATAGTATGGGTCGGCCACAACGTCGCTGAATGGCGCGCTGGCGAACAGAGCCCGGGAGCGGCGAGAGATTGCAACTGCCACGGCTTGATCGAAGGTGTCAGTGAGGAACCTCGGTGTAATTATCGGGTCGTCAAACGGGTCGGATGAGTTGATGTGGATGTGTCCGCGCGACAGGGGCATCAGGGGCCAGAATATTGCGGAGAGAACGGTAGGGTAGCTCTCGCCAACAAATTCGGCTACAGGGACTGTTTCGAATTGTTAGCTCAGCATGTAAATCACGAGAGAAATCAATAGCTTCGCTCGGTTTTCATTGTCACTTACAGTCACTATTCACGATCAAGTCGATGGTGGTGTTCAGAATCACCTTCGCCCCTTCCAGTGTGGCTGCTGCGCCAGACGCGACCAAGGCCTGTGCTCGGTTTACGAGATTTTCAGGGGAACCAATTTGCGCATAAATGCTCCCGCGGTCTAGATCGGATCGATTAGCTATTCAAGCCCCTTGACCGACAGACTAGTGGTGATTATGTCCACTGCTTACCGAGGCCCCAGATTTGCTCCACGTTAATAAGAGATATCTCCGGTGCGAACAGAATACGTCCATCAATGATAGAAGTATCATTCTGGTACGCTTCTGCAACCAGCGCCGATGTGCCAGTGCCAGGCTGGTCTACGAGGTTGACCCCGACGCCAGGGAGATCGACGAGCTGTTGGATGCCGGCTGCCTCCAATATGTCTGACCTGCCGACACCCGACCTCTCCAGGATAGTGCTTGTGGCTAGAGATCCTGCGGCAAGGATTATTTCCTTGTTAGCATTGACCACATGCGCTCCGGGCTGACTTCCGGGGACTTCGTCGCCGGGCTTGGTCCCGAAAATGACGCTCTTGGCTGTCAGTGAGTCTCCAAAGAGGACTTTGTCGACTTTATGGTTTGTTAGAACTGTGAGAGTGTCTCGATGCTGGTCATTTGTCCACAGATAGCCGTCGGCGGCGGATGAGCGACGGTTCTCGCCCGAGTCCTGGTCATACCAAATCGTCCAAGATGACGAGGCTGATACAGTGCCGTCGGAGGAGCGGTTTGATAAATCGTTGCCAATAGTGAGCCCGGGGAATACCAAAGGGAGTGAGTCCTTATAGAGTTCCACTGCGCTTGGGATGCGCATAGGTGTCTTTCTCGGAATATCAGTTTGTGTCAATACTTGCACACATTTAGAGGGATTGCTCACCGGAAAAGAGACATTAATGGCGCCATGGAACCCGTGAACGTCGGGATCCAGACCTGCCCCCTGTAATCTCTGAGCCTCGTTGGGTGGGATGTTCCTCTCCACCGCTGTCATGTATGGCTCAAGTGAGTCCCAGTTCCAACCATGGTTGCCCAAGACCTCGAGCTTGTCAACTTCTTCCCGCGTTGGCCGGAACCACATCAAACCATTGACTATTGAATCACAATCAGCATCTGCTTTTATGTTGCCTTTGTGGCAGCGCCACTTACTGGATGTACCTCCACCGATGCATGCACCGCTATCAATGGTCCAGGGGAACAATTCGCCATCTTCAGTGTATGCAGGGTACAGCCAGTTGCAATACGGATCATGCTGCACTCGGTCCTCCGCGTTAAAAACCTTGGGATTCCAACGAGGGTCCGGGCCGGCCTCAATGATCAGAGTCGAGAAGCCCTGTTCACTGAGCTTGTTGCCGACCGTGATGCCTGTGAGCCCCGCGCCGACAATAACATAGTCAAAGGTTCTGTTAGCGGCTGTCAACGTGTGGTTCGTGATCACCGTGGCCCATGTGCCGAAGGTCAGTGCCCCGAGGACCACTATCAGCTTCATGGCGGCAGTGCAAAATCACTGTCGAAGTTCAAAGTTGGCTATGTGATGAGGAGATTTTCTACTCCATGTCAGCACCATCTCTAGCACCTCATTTTATGAGTATGCGCCACTAACTCGATCTGGACATCCCCTGCCGGTATCGTCGCCTGCCACAGGCTGGGAGCCCCTCAGTAAATTCAGAGTAGTATTGCCATGGCTCAGGGTTGCTTACAGGTGAACCTGGCAGCCCTGGTCGAGCGATGTGGGCCACGGGTTGTGCATCATCCAATTCCCCCATTCAACCACTGTCTTCCTGATCCGTAATGGTGAGGCCACCATTATTTCTCCTTTCGCATACGTTCATTAATGCGACCGTAGGGTAGGATCGACGGGCTTCTGGTAAGAGTTCAATTCACGTTGAGCCACTGCGCGCCGTGAAACGAACGGAAACAAGACACTGATTCGCCTTTGCTACGCTTGGCAGCTGGAAACATGCAAGGCAGCACACGATGAGCTCTATCATGAGGAGTAGTTCCACAGCTCTCAAGTTGATTTGACGTTCCTGCGTTGTTTTCCGGGAATGAAAGCTACCTAAGTAGGGCCTAATCTTCCTCCTGTTGGATCTGCGTGAGCATGGCGCGAGGGGGCCATTTCCCAGGCGCTTCATACGCAACATCGTACTCGTGGCGCCCAGAACCAACCCAAGTGCCTTCGTCGGCATCATTCTTTCCCGGCAACACAACTGAAGCCTCCGTGTTAGGCGGAACCTCAACCTCGACCTTGAGCTTCTGGCCGTCTGCAATGGTCCATTTGACACCAATCGTACCATACGGACTGTCAAACCTGACAGTGGCGTTCGTCAAGTCACCCCCGGGAACAGGGGCTACCCTGAACTTCTTCCACCCGGGCTCCAGCATCTTGATACCGCCCACGACCTCATGAAGCCAGGCCGCCACAGACCCGAGCGCGTAGTGGTTGAAGCTCGTCATCTCGCCCGGGTTGATGGTCCCGTCGGGCAGCATGCTGTCCCACCTCTCCCAGGTGGTCGTCGCCCCCATGGACACGGGGTACAGCCAGGAGGGGCACTCCTTCTCGAGCAGCATGCGGTACGCCAGCTGCACGTGCTCCTTGTTCTGCGACAGGGCATGCAGCACGAGCGGCGTCCCCGCGAAGCCCGTGGACACGCGGAACTTGGAGTACCGGACCAGGCGGGCGAGGCGGTCTGCTGCGTTGCGGGCCTGCTCCGGTGTGGAGTGCAGCGAGAAGGAGAGGGCCAGTGCCAGTGCTGTCTGGGAGTCTGCGACCACTAGCCCGGACGCTGCGACATAGGCTGCCTGGAAGGCAGTCTTGAGACGTGTGTGGTCGGCTTGGTACTTGGCTGCTAGGGCGTCTTCGCCAATGACGGTGGAGATCTTCGCCATCAGGCCAGTCACGTCCACCAAGTAGGCGTCGGCGACGAGTGTACCGTCTGTCCGTGCCAGGCCTGGCTCTGAGGGTGGTGCGTTGGGGTCAAGCCAGTCGCCCAGCTGCCACAGGGTCGGGTCCCAAAGGAGACCGTTCTTGTCCCGGCGGATGGAATTGTCGATGTAGGTCCGCATGCTTGGTAGCTGCCGCCGGAGCACAGCTGCGTCGCCCGTCCATTGGTAGATCACCCAGGGCAGTATGACGGCTACGTCGTCCCAGACAGCCTGTGGTTCATTGGGCCAGCCCGCCTCACTGGTGAGGACGTCGGGGATCACGACAGGCACGACCCCTCCAGTAGCCTCTTGATCCAGGGCCAAATCCTGGAGCCAATTCGCAAGGAAGCCACCACTTGAGTATAAAAAGGAGGCTGTCGGCGAGAAGACCTGGATATCACCCGTCCATCCAAGTCGTTCATCTCGTTGCGGGCAGTCAGTTGGGACGGACAGGAAGTTCCCTCGCATACTCCATATCACGTTGGAATGCAGCTGGTTGACAAGGGCATTGGAGCAGTCGAAATGCCCCGTTCGAGCCATGTCCGAGTGCATCACAAGTGCGACGATGTTGTCTGCACTGGGCGGGCTCTTCGCGTCATCCAGGGTCCATCCTTCGATTTGGAGGTACCGGAATCCATGGAACGTGAACTTCGGGGTCCAATCTTTCAGTGTGCTTCCCTTTCCAAATATGACCCTGTCTGTAGCCCCAGCCTTGCGTAGAGGGCGAGTCCCGAGCTCACCGTTTTCAAGCACCTCGGCATGTTTGAGCGTGAGAGTCTGGCCTTCTTCGAGCTGCAGAGTCTGAAGGATCTGGATCTTGCCGACCAGGTTCTGCCCGAAGTCGATCAGCGTCTTGCCACTCTTGCTCTTGAAGATCTCTTTGGGTCGGACAGTCTCTGTGACTCGCACCGGGGGCACGTCGGGAGATATCAGCGAGGTCTTGTCCCATGCAAAGTCCAGAACGGACGCTTTGTCCCAGTCTTTTGCTTGGTCGAACGAGACAGCCCTCCAATCGCCCGGGAGATCGTCGCGCATGTCGTACACTTCTCCGTCGTACAACTCGCTGGTCACAAGGCTCGACGAGTGTGTGGACCAGGAATCATCTGAGACGACCTGCTGTATGACACTGCCGTCGGGCTTCTGGATCTCGAGCTGTGCAAGCACGCCCAATTTGTCTCCGTACACGTTCCTGACGCCATCAACCCAGGTGAGCCGGGTGGCGTACCAGCCCTCTGCTACCTCAACACCCAAAACGTTCTGCGATGTCCAGTCGAGACTGTCGGTGACATCAAACACTTGGTACGGCAGCCGGTGATTATAGCTGGTCCAGCCCGGTGCCATCTGTAGATCGCCGACGCGGGTGCCATTGATGTGAGCCTCGTATACACCCAGCGAGCTAATGTAGAGCCTTGCTCTCGGTTTCTCGTTGCCAGACAGCTTATCCTTGATGTTGATATCAAAGGATGGGCTCCTGAATCGGACTGGTCGGTGTGGCTTGTCCTTCGGCGTCTGCTGGGTGGACGTGATGAATTTGGCCTTCCAGTCGGACCGCTGAAGGAGACCTGCTTCCACATGCTGCTTCGCAGTCCACTCGGTTGCTGCTTCCCCTCCATCACCGGTGCCGGCAGCCTTAAGCCTCAGTGCAACTGTTTCGCGAGATCTCAACGGCTTGAATGGCCAAGGAATAAAGAGACAATTGTCTGTCTCGGCGCGAATGTGCTCATCTTCTGCTTGTCCAGCCTTGGAGATTTCCAATTCGTAGGACGTCTGTTTCCAATTCTTGGCTTCACCGGCGAAGCTCCAAGACAGCCGTGGTTCTGCCGTGCCAATGCCAAGAGGATCTGTGTCAGGGTGGTGGTCGAATCGAAGGCTGTTCACCTTGACGCCCGCCATGGTTGAATCGGTATTCTGTTCGCCCGATTGAAAAGGACGAAAAACTGGCAGGGAGAGCATGCTGGAGTCGTGTTGAGAGTGATTGCCCACAAGGAGGAGCTAGAGTCCCGTAACGACAATGTTCGCCTGTGTCTCCAAAGGATTGAGGCTACCAACAGAACGAAATATGGCAGTGATTGTTTGAGCCTGCTTGACCAAGATAATGTGCCACGCTGCCAGTCTTGGATGACGCCTTGTTAGCTCGTAGTCGAGGACAATGCCGAAGATTAGCCGCAATCTACCACGAACTCGGGCGAGAACAAACCGAGATAACGGGCCGTCTCCAAGGCTAGGAGAAGCAACCTCGCTTGGCTGGAATGCTTGGGTGATGTTACCGGCGCGATGGTTGGGCCCTGAAACCTTCTCCAAATCAAATCATTCTTAGAGCGGGGGTCCCGGCAATTCCGAGGCTACGTTCGGGTTCGGCAAGGCCCTGGCTCGCGATGACTTCAGCCCGAAGGGCCTCCAGAAGGGCCTAGGCCAAGGTGGTACAGGCCCCGGATTGGTGCCGTACCTGCCTGTTACCCCAGATTCTAGCTGCGAGGCACCGATGGGGTCGGCAGACGAATCTTTGCTCAAATCTGGGGTACCAAGCCGAGGCTTGCCACACACCAGCCCGCATGCTGGGGCAAATTGAATGGGAAAATCCGTTGCTATTGATGACTTTGTAGCTCGTTTGAATAGACTAATGTGGATGTAATCCCATTAATTCGTGGCGCTTTTCTCGCCCTTCTCGTCGTTATCCGCTTGAATTGTAGGCCAACCTGTGTGGCAGGTTTGAACAGCATCAGCCTTCCTGCATATCCATCCGGAACGCTTGGTCTTTCCACAATACTTAACGCCCTATTACACGTATGCACCATGGGTAATTGGGCTCAATACTATATCCCGGCCACTGCGGCCATCGGGACAGCCATGTATGGCATTGATACCGGTATCATCGCTACCACAATCGGTCACAAAAGTTTCAACGACCACATGTTTCCCCCAGACGGAGAGGACGCAGCTCTGACAGGCAAGTCGCGTCCACAAAAGTACGCAACTTCAGTGGCCAAGGCTAACTTTGACTTGGACACAGGCGCCGTCGTCTCCGTCTACAACGCCGGCCAGGCCGTGGGCACCCTCTTCGCAGGCTGGACCGCCGACAAGTTCAGCCGCAGATACACCCTCACAATCGCCAGCGCCATCGCCATCGTTGGCATCCTGCTATCCGTGATCGGTACCAACGCCGGGATGTTCATCACGGGACGGCTGCTGACCGGCTGGTCGTCGGGGATGATTCTGCCCGTGTCCGCTATCTACATGGCTGAGGTCTCGAAGCCCAAGAACCGCGGCGTGATCGTCGGCTTTCAGGGGATGGGCACCGCGATGGGCTTCTTCCTGGCAAACTGGATCGGGTACAGCGGTATTTTCTTTGAAGGAAACCTGCAATGGCGGTTCCCCCTTAGCTTGCAGTTCCCCTGCGCCGTCTTGATGTTGATCGGCAGCCTTGTCGTACTACCTTTCACGCCACGTTGGCTCATCTCCCAGGACAGGTTCGAGGAGGCGCGTGCTGTCCTGGCCAGGATCCACTCCGACGAGAGCGATGAGTTCATTAACCAAGAGATGATCCAAATTAGGGAGCAGACAGCGCTGGAGAGGAGCTACAAGAGATTCGGGGGCGAGAAATGGTACAGCAACTTCTTGATGCTGTTCACAAGACAGTACATTAAGAGGCTGGGTTTCGTCTGCTTCATCCAGGCCTTGACTCAGTTCGGTGGCGTCACAGTTATCCGTAAGATAAACCTACTAGTAACCTTTCAAGTCAATGCATTACACTGTGGAACAGACTCCTAACAGATGTCAGAAAATTACCAAAATATTTTCTATGGCACTGTCGGTTTTACAGGAGATACCGCACTACTCATCAGTGGAATTTACGGCATCATGGGCCTTGCAGGCCAGATCATCAACCTCTTCGTCGTAGCCGGTATGTTACTTGCTGTGACTGTAACAAACTTGAACGTCTGTGAATAATGGCTGACGCACCCCAAAAAACAGACCGCTGGCGCAGAACAACAACACTATGGGTAGGCTGCCTCGTCCTCGCAATAATGCTGGCCATTTGCGAGGCCCTCAGCGCCCTGTTCTCGGACGGCTCCAACCAGGCAGCCTCGCGCACCACCATAGCGTTCATATTTCTGTATTCCATGTTCTTCGCCATCTTCTTCAATTCCACAATGTGGGTCGTGTGCTCCGAGCTTCTCCCCGTCTTCATCCGCTCCAGCGGTCTTGCAGTGGGCACCTTTGCCTCCGGCGTTGCGTCCATCATCATCTCTCAGATCACGCCTATCGCGTTGGAGAACATATCGTGGAGGTACTACAACGTCTTCATTGCGGCCAACCTCTTGGGCGTCGTGGTTTACCTCTTCTTCCTGCCCGACACCAAGGGCAAGACGCTCGAGGAGATTGGCGAACTGTTCGGAGACACGCTTGCTACGGCTCACATTGGGGACATTGACGTGGATGGGAAGCAGGGAGCGGATGTCATCGAGCTTGAGAATCCTAGCTACATCAAGAGTAGGAACGTGTAAACTAGCCGTCGGTATTCGTCTCCAGCTTATTATACCGGGGCTTACTAATCCACACCTATAGTAGCCCCGGTAGGTTAGAGAAGCCTAGAGTTTAACCCTTCCTCAAAAGGGAAGCCTTCCCTTCAGGGCTAGAGTTATAGGTTCTAAGTATAAAAGTCACGTAACGAATTTTTAAGAAAAGTGCATACCTACTTCTCAGGTAGAGGAAGACAGTCACGGAGGCAGTCACGAAGAGATCGCCCAGAAACCTCAAATCAGATACCAGATACGACACCAGACCAAACACCAAACACCAGACACTAGACCAGACACCAGACATATTAGACTTCAGGAAACAATTAGAATAACTTCATAAAAGAATTCCTTCTCAACCAAATTTCATATTAAAGTAAACAGAATACTTCAAAAAATAGTCACCTAACTTTTAAACCTAAATCTTATAAGTCTAGCCCTAAGGGGGAAGAATAGGCCTTAGCCTAGGTATTCCACTCAGCGTACGCATAGCCCACCTGGGCTACCATAAGAATAGGCTCCCAAGCCCCGGTGCAGTACCCAAATCCACCACTCCACCCTAGGGTAGCTTCCATGATTCATTCTTTCCACGTCGCCGACATCTACTACCTAGGCAGGTTTGAAACTTGACAGCTGCTAAAATCTCCGTGGCCGGGGATTAGAAACCAAAGTGCGCAGGCGGTCCGCCTTCATTCCATACATTGAAAAGTGCAACATAAACCGCTCTCTCATTGCAGGGGTCTTCCTTTGTTGCAGAGAATGACCCCTGCGATGAGGCTCGCCGAATCAAGGTCTGAATGTCTACTCCTAATTCCTGTCGCTCAATAAGGTCAGCATTTTATCTCCTCGGGACGTTCCACGAGTGAGGCAATATTTGCTACCGACCTGAAGTCTGTTGCTGTCTCGAAGGAATTCTACAATAATGTGCCGCGTATACACATCGTTCAAATGATCTCCGGGTCCCAGCTGAATTGCAATCTCAACGCACTGATATTGGAAAAACCGGGCTGTGATCGAGTCGAGTTCTTGACGTGAAAGGACCTGCTCGTGGTTTGCTGCAGCCGAGTCCCCGTTGACTTCCGGAGCTTGAGCAGGTGGCTGGCTTGGTCCAGGACTCGGAGTACTTGGATGGGGCTGATCAGGTTCCCGTTGTATGGCGCCGCCCTCTGGTTGACTGCACTCAAGAGTAATAGGGCCAGGCTGCGTAATTTCTTGCTCGGGGCTGTTACCCGACTCACTGGACCCAGAAATAGTGATCGATTCCCTTTCAGGTTCGGTCTGCACGTTGTTATCCGGTTGGTCAGATTCAAGTGCACCAGTATGAGGCTGTAAGATTCCTTGCGCGATGCTGCTAGTCGGCTCATCGGATCCAGGATAACCAACGCCATACAATGCCGGTCCTTGATCGGGGTTCGAATGAGAAGGGGTGAACTGTTGTCCCTGTGGCGGCGTGTTTGAAACCGGGGCATGGGATTGTCCCTGCCCGAGAGGCTGTTCCGATGGGTAGCGTTGTCTCCGGGCATGATGCTCTATCCAGCCAGGGTCATGAGGCTGTACCCGGCCATGAGGCTGTACCCGGCCATGATCCTGTACCCGACCATGAAGAATGTGTGGCCGACCTTGAGGGTGTGGCCGGCCATGAGGGCGTGCATGTGACCAACCATGAGGCCGATCATCAATATGCAGTGGCGGATAATGGTGGCGACGTACCTGAACACGCGGTCTCAGATGAGGTGGTCTCATATGAGGTGGAAACAGAGGCACACCTTCCACGTCCTGGCATGGGTCCTCCATACTAGAGGCTGGTATTCCAGGGGTCGGAGGTGGCCCACTTGTTGGTATACCGCCTGGGTAGTAGGGATTCTGTGGGGGTCCCGTAATCACATAATGATTTACCTGGTGAATGGTGCCCGCGTTATTTGCACAATCGGGGCTGGCAGCGGGCAGATGGCCGTTTCCACCAAACTGAGCTGGGTGGTGCCGAGTGGGAACTCCGCCGTAGCCATTCATGGGCCGTTGATCGGGGAGGCCATTATTGTAAGGCCCCGCGTCCTGTCGATGGCGAGGAAAATAATGGCTCTGAGGCTAATGAGTGTTAGAAAAGACACTAACTAGCAACGGTATATGCTTTACTCACCGGGATATTTGGGGTAGGTGGGACAAAAGGGGTGATGAGGTCAGTAATCGCAGCCGGTGGCAGAGGGCCAACTTGCTGGTTGGGTAGAGGTTGAGGGGCAGCGGCTGGGGCTTGTTGCTGAGGCTGAAAAACGGGTTGATACACGTGCTGCGGCGGCTGCGGAGGCTGCGGGGGCTGCGGGGGCTGCGACTGGCCGACAGCAACTAGGGGTTGATGCTGAGGCTGAAAAGGTGGAGGATATTGTTGCATGGGAGGCTGCGGCTGCGGCTGCGCAACAGGGACGTGGCCATCGAATCCCCGTTGGACACCGCCAATATGAACATAGTTTCCCTGCGGACCTGGTTCTCCGTTCGGGCTTGGCGTGAAGTTCGCTGAGTTCGGATTTTGTGGATCCATAACTGCGAAATGTAGATATGGACTTGGAGCTTTTCTTTAACACGTAATCTTCCAAGTAGTACGTGTTGGCGTAACCAATGCCGGAGCGAACGCGAGTGCGTTATGTAGATATTCGTGTTGAAAGCGCAAGGCACCAAGCTGCTGGGCCACGAAGGGGAATTATGCTGGCGATGTCGATAGACGAGTTGAATGTAGCAGTTCTGGTTTGGAGCCGAATTGCACAAAACCAGGGGCAGGGCGGTGCTTTTTTCCGCGCCGGGCGATTGCAGCTACCGCAAGAGGGAAGGAAGGCGCACCTCGCAGCAAGAAACGGAGGATCTGACACCGATTTTGAAAGAAAGAGGAAGATGCTTACCAAAAGTTAGACTATTGTTGTTCGTATTGCGGGAAAGGAAGCCTCAAGAATCTTTTTGAAAGTGAACAGATGTTGCCCAACACGCTCTATTAATTCTCTGGTGGATGGGGAGGACCGTCCCTTTATACCTGCCTCCATAGGTACTAAGTAGGTACCTAGGTAGTACGGTAGAGCAGGAACACGAAGGTTGACCAACTAGATACCATGTACCGGTCGAAATGACGATACTCTAGGGTGAGCAGGACAGAAAGTCTTAAAATGGGAGGGACTGGCGCGAGAGCCGGCGTTCAGCTTGTACGGTCTTCTACTTCACCAAACATGATCGAGTGGCTGGCCCTTCTGATCTAGCAGACTTCGAGGTCTCATGCTCAGAAAAATGCGAACTGGCCGTCTTTTCTTGCTGGTTAGGTCGGCCATTGTCCCTACCTAGGCAGTGCGGCGTATCAGTAGCTTTCTGATCGGCCATGGGAGGCCAATAAAATCTTTTCTTTTTTGTTCAGCACAAAGTACCAAGGTACCTAGGTAGACGATGCAAAATTAATCTTAGCATTTCAGTACATCATCCATTCACAGATTGTTATTCAGGGCATCGGTCCAGAATTATTATTTAAGGAGGTGGCATGAAAACCATTCAAAGACTTACCGGGCCAAGACCCGTCGAAGATATATTCTAAGTTCGGAGGTCAAGAAAGCACAGGACGTTTTGCGGCTCTTACAGTTCACTCTAACTGTAAATTCATTAGAGCTAGACGTACCGGCAATTCCTAATAATGGAGTAGCTAATCAAAACCGGTTCCGCTGGCCTTGAGGGTGGTTGCATCACATTAGGTGGTTTCGGTCTTAATCCGTACCGAGGTATGCATTCCGAATATGCATAGTCTCTTCACACAGGAGTAATCGCTCAATTACTAGTACCTAGTGCTCATTAAGAAAGCATCGTTGTTGAATGACTCAACAACCTGCGCCCAGCACCGAGGCACGTTAGTACCTACCTAGGTACTTCCGGCCTATAAGCCGCGCGGAATAGCTGTACACATGCAATAAATTGCGTGGAGCGTATGAAAACACTCGGGGCGGTCCATTAGTCGCCGTGTGAGCTATTTTCGAAATTCTGAAAGCCGGTGTTGTATGTCTACCTACCTAGGTATGCACCGATGTTTCTAACAGGATCACGCCGCTATTGAGTTTCCGTTCCCTGTCAAAATCAACTCATTTCCACACAGCCGTATACTCGACTCCGTGATAACCTTGGAACCAGTACATGAGATCTACGCATTTGCATACAAGTTCAGTGTACACTAAGAAATTATCATTTAACCGGACCGGCTTCAAGGTATTATGTCCTTAGAAAGAAAGAATAAAAGGTCGACGTCGGTCTAACGACCGGTAGCCTGGCTTTCTTAATCCCAGTGGTCTTCCTTCGGGCCGACCCCGGGGAGACACGAACTACGAGTAGATCCCGCCCACATTTAAGCTTGTGTCTTAGTTTTACTTACCACGAGTACTGGACTCATGGACCACCTCTGTACACGAAAACTACTAGTCGTGTCCTCTTAATCGCATGTTAATGAAGTAACTCACGCTAAGCGAAAACACGATGTAGCTTTGTTGTACTATTGGAACACGTGGCGCACTCAATGTTATTTCTCCCGCACTGTCCAGTTTGTGCTCGCGTTGGCCTCTTGTTCTTGTCCTAACGACTGCCAGTGGCGATAACGCGGCTTTAGATCTTCGACGGAGAAAATAGATCAGTGCGTCTCCAACAGCATTTTTGTTATTCTGGTAAGTGTCAAGCCCCAAGGTACTTCCGGCCAGTCTAATGTGGGGAGGCTACGCAATAGTGCCCCGGTATTATCATCACGGACGAGGCGACGTGGATTCAGTCAACAAGCGCTTTGGGGCCGCCGGCTTTAGCGTTTTGACTCAAGGCACACATCCTGTTCTGGTTGATCCCTCTTGAACGCGTTTCCCAAGGGAAATTCGAGTAAAACCGGATTTCTGTAGGTCATTTTCATAGGATATAGGGCGTTCGATCACCCTTCGCACTACGGGTGTGATCTTGAAGGGAAGTCATTTTGGGCTGGTAAAAACCAGGGCTCGTCATACCTCTTTCGGAATTTCTTTTAAACACCAAGGGCATTCTATATTTAAACACGCCCAGACTAAGAACTTAATATATACCTCTACACCTATTCTCACTTAGCCTATCTATTTTTCAGCCTTGAGACTAACTATAATCGGCCGCTATGGTCTGCAAACTAACCTCTTAGGGTTTTTAAAGCCAGCCCTATGGGAGGCGGGTGACTACTTGCTTCTACGTATAAGCGGCTTGCTAAAGTCGCTTTGTAGGCGCAATTACCATACCGGCTTCCCTCCGAGATCACGCCTTACTGTGGCAGGCACGAGAGGGTGCAGCTATGCCGCCCGTAGATATGTAGACGGCTAGGGGTGCAGGGTGGTGGCCATCTGTTTGCCAGCTGGTGCCAGCTGGTCGCATCTTGGAGCTCGAGGTTCGCAGGCAGGGCTTCTGACTGCAATCACACGCCAACAATGTTGCGCATCACACTTGCAAAGATCGTGGGTGCAAGAGGCTAAGACTATGCACAGCCTCTGGGCCTCTGGGCCTCTGATGAACCCCCAAAGTAGTGGGATAGCTCACCCAAAGTCAGTGGGCCTTGTCTAGTCACATGAGACTGATTCCTGGCTGTCTTGAAATGTCCTGTTCTCCAGCAGGGCCAGCGCCTCGCCTGATACAGACCAGTGATCATTGTGGGTCCAGCCTGTTTCTCGGCCCGTCTGGCACTGCTTGATACCTAGGTAGGCTTGGCAGGTAACTAACCAGCCAGGCAATGAGCGCAAGCACCTGCACTGCTGCCGTTCCTTTTTCGTCTTTCATCTTCATTCTCCTCTTTTTCGGTGTTCTATTACATGAATCTCTTCGAAAGAGACGTAACTACTATTTAAAGTCATCAAATATCCAACTTCCACGACCAAAATCAACGGATCACACAGTCACGCCGAAGGATCTGCGCCCAAGCCGCGATGGCTGTCGTGCATGACAACAGAGGACACCATTGGCGGATCTCTTGTCGTTGTGGGGTAGCACCGAATACTACTAATCGGTGCTGCGAACTCCTGCCGGTCCCGAGTCGTCCGAACTCCTACCGTTCGTGTGGCTACCCCGGACTGGCCACGCGAATGGGTTGCGTCTCAAGACCGTCCAAAGTTTCAACATCATGCTCCTTCGTCTCCACCCCTGCGGCATTGGTCGGCTTGGCAGACAATTGGGGCAAATGCCTTACTCATTACTAGACTGGACTGATCGAAGTTCTTGCACAATACCCTACGCATGTGCGTGTATGCCGTATGTAAGCTGCAGCCTGCGCCTCTATCCCCACATGCAGCCAGGAAGTGGCGCACCACCTGCAGGTTTCCGCTCCCATGAGGTCGGATGTGTGTGCCTACTGGTTCCCTCCGGGGCTCCTTTTTGTTATGTTCAACAGTGAATAATGAATGAGATTCTAAGTATGCTTTCCAGCTGCGACTTATTCCTGGAACTTTTGGACTAGGTCACTCGTATTCTTTTTGCTGGACGTGTTTGAAGTGGTAGCATGGTGAAGACCTACGCATCCTTCAAACCGGGCCATGATGATACATAGTGAAGCTGCAAAAAGGTCGAGACCTTACGCCAAGCCCAAGTCACATCTTCGACGACCATGGATTCTCGTTGGGCTACATTGCATGCAGGTTCATATGAGATGATTGCGAATTGCCCTCGGACTCATGTTTTGGCGAGACCGAGGCAGTCACCATATCGGGCCACCCACACTCGGCCTCCTACATGACACCTACTAGGGGCGGCCCCAAAACAGTGCAGTGGGCGAGGGCCACGTTCTGCACTAATGCAGGCGCACCTTTCCGGGTGCCTGGACTGATCATACATCGCATTACTGATGGGCCTTGACTGCCTCCATAACTGCCTCACCAACGGGCTCTAACAACTGTGGCCATCTCAAGTTGAGATCCGCGGGCGTGAAACGGCCTGGGGAGCGGTTTTGGCCAAAGCAGGTGTCTTGAGTCGTCTGTCACTATCAATTCGGAACGACCACTTGGATTGCTGAAGGATACGGTCTGTTTAAATTTCCCACATTGTATCATGGTGTCTGTCTACTTAAAGAGACGCATCGTCCGCGTTAGAAATCGCTTTCTCGTTCCATTCTCATCATCACAGTCTTTGTCAAGTTTCTCCATCTTCTCTCTGAGACTAACTCTGGTAGTAGTCTACTCCATTCTCTATTCTCTGCTCCTGTCTATCCTTCACTTTCGCTGTACTTTCCCAAATCCTTACAAATTTACTGCTGGCCAGTCTTGACAACACTGCTTCATAATTTCAAATCTCAAGGACCTTTCCTCCACTACAATCAATAATATCATCACCCTTTATTCCAGTCAAAATGCAGCTAACATCCACTTTCGGCGCGTTTCTGGTTGCGGTCACCGTGGTTCACGGCGCGCCCCTTCTGGTCGAGAGACACGTAGACCGGACGGGCAACATGACGGCCAACGCAAACCCATCTGGGCCCATGTCCGGCTTCCGTGGTGGAGGCAACGGCTTCAACCGTGGAAAGATGCAGGCAATGGGGAACAACGTGCCTTCTGCGGGTGAGGATGCAGGCAATGACGAATCGGGCACGGATGGAGGCTTCGGCCAGATTGGGGGCGCAGACAGTAATGAGGGCACGGCCAACACCAGCGGTGCAAGTGAGGACGGAGGTTCGGCCGATAGTGCAGGCTCCGGCGAGAACGGAGGCTCCGGCGAGGAGGCAGCCTCAAGCGAGAACGGAAGCTCAAGCGAGGAGGCAGCCTCGGGCGAGCAAGCAGGCTCAAGCGAAGAGGCAGCCTCAGGCGAAAACGGAAGCTCAGGTGAGGAGGCAGCCTCAGGCGAGAACGCCAATTCGGCAAGGGGCGCGAGTCCAGGCGGCGCGACAAATCCAAGCACTTCTGAACCGGGCCAGGGTAGTGGTGGCAAGAAAGGCAAGAAGGTTCAAGAGCGCAACGCTGTGGGTGATGCGGCCAAGGCTATCGCTGAGGCCGCCGAGCGCATCAAAAACTCCCAACAAGGCGGCTCTGGGGGTGGGGAGACCAGCGGCCAGGACTCTGGAAGCGGGAGTCCTCCCCAGGGCGGCGACTCCACCGGCAAGCCTCCTGGGGGGCAGACAGACGGGGGCTCCGGTGGCCCTGGTCAGGATAACTCTGGTGGCCCAGGGAACAGCTCTGAGCAACCCCCTTCTGAAAATACGCCTTCCAAACGCCAGACGATGGGTTCTGACGGCACTCCCGCCAACAGTGGAAGCGGAAGTCCTCCCCAGGGCGACTCCACCGGCAAGCCTCCTGGGGCCCCGACAGACGGGGGCTCTGGTCGCCCCGGCCAGGACAACTCTGGTGGCCCAGGGAACGGCTCTGGACAACCCCCTTCTGAAATTACAGCTTCCAAGCGCCAGACTATGGGTTCTGACGACGAAGTGAACCAAACCAAGGACACTGCTCGCCCGGATGGTACTGGCCAGACTGAGGATACTTCCAGCCGGACCGGTGCCGATAACGGGGACGTTTCTCAGCAGGACAGCACGCAGGTCCCCCCACAAGGCATGGGGCCAGCTACCATGCAGGGGCCAGCTTCCATGCCTTCACGTGCTTAGTGTTTTGATACTCGTTTTAGACGCACTACGACAGCCGCTCAACTCAAGGATGACATGGCCAATGACCGGTTGGAGATCAGTATAGTACAAAGAATGGTGCCAGGAATGGGTGTTGCTCTTATCTGTTAGATTAAAACTAGAAAGAATAAACTCTTATAATTTCTATCTGATCACTTAATTTGACGGTATTGAAACTGTATGTTTATATGTTGCACCCTGTCTGCACAGATTAGCTCAAGGATCTGCAGACAATCCCTCGCCCATCGCAATTATGCACTTTTCTTTCTCTAGCACGAGGGACTTGCATGTATCTTCGGCCAGGCAACAACGATGCTTCAATGAAGAAACCCATACCGCTCATAAAGGATTATGCGGGTTTCACAAAGATATCTGCCACAAGACCCTTTTCCTGAGTCTTATGATTGGACTCTGATCATGAAAACACCATTGACACTTGTCACTGATTGCAAGGGTCCTGCACATATATCCCTCAAGGATAGTGTTTCTTTTCAGTTTCGTTTCAATTTCTACTGCCCCATGTTCGGATTTACGGCTTATACAGCCAAAACCCCGCCTCCTGTAATATGAAAGCGCATCGCTAGCGAACATCATAACAAACCGGTATCCTCAAATATGTGGCGACCACTCGGGGCACACGGGACGAACTTATCTTGGACCCAGTTGGAGTGTTGAAATGGCAGAAGTTTTCTTTTAATGCAGGGGCTGGCATGCATACGAGCTTGCGCCGTCAGCCTCTATGTGGTTTCGATTCTATTCCGTATACGTCCAAGGCTATACATGGCGCCTTCATACAGTGGTAAGCACTCAAGACCTAGCGCTTGGAAAGAATATAATATCAATAATAATAGTTATGCGATAGGTGCTTATGGCCTTAGCCTTACGACGTATAGATAAGGCTAAGGGGCACCGTCTTGACGACGGCGTTGACTAGAACGCCGCGAGGGAGTCATACAGCGAGACTAGGTCTAAAGATAGTCGCTATATAAATAAATCACACAGAGGGAATCCCAGCCAAAAAGTCGTCCCTCCATACACACACATACACACACACACACACCGTCAGCCTCTATAAAGCCGATAAGGCGACGAAGACGGTCCTCTGACTTGCCCAAGAAAGAGTTCAAACATACATGCAGTTTTAGAGAGTACCTGAAAGGAATGTGCCACCTTCCCCGCTCACAGAGAGCGACTTGGTGGCATACAGACGTGGGCGTCATTTCACCTACTTCACTTTTACGCTTCACCCCTGACTGGTTACCTAGGTATGCGGTGATCCCTACAGCAACGGTTGGAGTCACTCACTTGGACGAACCTCAACATTAACCGTAACCAAATTCTAAGAGGGTTCCGTTTGATGAAATCGGGCTCACTTATGACAACCCATGGAAAACACCACCATTATCCCCCAACTGAACCCAAGGCCCCAACTCCATCACCTCTCGAACAAACAAAGTCACTATACGTGCAGCAAGCTTATGGGTGAATGTCCCGAAGTCGTCGTTTACCTCTGTTGCCTGAGCCCGTGTCAGACTCTGCCGACCATTCCTTCTACACACCATCCTCCAATGCAATCGCATTCTCTGCCTCAATCCCTGGCCCCTTGCATTCGCAACCAACTTAAAACACCCTTTTCAATTACCAGTGTCGTGGCAATCCCTTCAACACCAAACCAATATATCAGACCTCACCCGTAGCGCGGCCCTTACAAACACGTCAGCGTCGACAAACCTCGTTTGTAAAACGCGACAGTCAGCTCCGCCCGGCGATTTGAAACCACCACGATGTCGTCTCAAAAGGACAATGCCTCGCAGCCCAACCAGGCCAGTCAGCCCAAGATATCCACTCCGCCTGAGCAGGCAACTCAGCCCGAGCGCCCACCCGGACCCCCGTCCGATGATACCGTTCTCGTCTGGCACCAGGTCAAGGTCTACCACGCCTTACCAAGGCCTACCATGGACGGTGTGTATGCCGAGTTCCGAGAGATATTCGATGGGTGGACCAAGGAGCGGTTCCAGAATGTCCACCCTGACGCCCGTAGGGCATTGAAGTACGCCCTTCGCACGGGGGGAGTCTACACGGGACCTGTGCGCAAACATACAGCAGAAGCCTTGGCAGATATCGCCCAGCTGCCATGTGTCGAGAATGGGATGTGGCCACCCGCACCTCCCTGGGACCGCCAAGAGTTCCTCCAAGCGAGCTTTACCCCAGGGGGAGAAGCAGGACTTTTGCAGTGGAAAGAGTTGGACATTTTGAGGCGGCTAGATCTGCCGCCCCAACTGCCACCTCCTTCGACACCTGCTCCTCAGGGACAAATTCCAGCTCAGCACGTTCCTCAGCCAGTGCCATTTCAGGCCCTCCTCAAGGACCGTTTGTCCTTGGTCCTGTCAACGGCACGCAAGCACAGCCTGGTCCGGCCACGGTTTGGGGACCTACTCAGCAACCTCCCTGGCCCCCTATCCAAGGAGCTCCGGTTCCAGGGCAAATTCGTCAAGCGCAGAATCTAGCTCTGTTACAGGGGCAAGCTGGACAGGGCCAGCTGCAGCCAGGTCCTCAGCTGCAAACCGACTCGCCACAATTCAACTCCGGGTCCACACAGCCGCCACAGCCAAACCCTCGACAGGCCCCTAGGAATGGAAACCGCGGTTATCGATCAGAACCATACCCATCGTCGTTCAACTCGTACTCCAATCCCACATTCAGGGCAGCACTGCGGGGAGCTGCCGCGGTTTCACGCTCCCATACCCCACTGATCTCTACGCCGCTAGTGTCCGGTCAAACAGTTGACGAGGATGACGGCAACATTGGTGACAGCGACAAGAAGCAGGATTGAGAGGATCGGCTACCGAAGTTCTCGAGGAACGACGCAAGATGGGGGCCGAATACAATCGAGCCCCAAAGCTTTTACTGTCTTAGAAGGAAAGAAAAAAAAATGTTTGTAGATTGAGCCATGTGGTGGCAAGAGATCAGTTGATTGGGTGGTTGGGTTTTTTTGGAGCTGTTGATTGACAGTAATGGCGATGTGCCCAGGTGGTAATGGTCCCGGATGCATCGATGTGGTTCTGACACCACGATATGGAAACCTACACTTCGAGGGCGCTCACGCCTGGCTTCGACAGACTGAAGGCAAATGGCGGTCGCGGACGAGTTCATATACGAAAACGAATCGTCTGAGGGAATGCCAGAAGGATATCTTGTGAGCCCGTGGGAAACGACGTCCTCCAAGAGCCACTCCGTTGGGTGGGCAAAAACAACGAACATGATCGAGTGTCGGGTTGACGGGACTTCTGTAGTAGAGCGAAGAATGAAAGATAATACATTGAATCATCCTGAAGCTGGGCATACGGATTTTACATGCACTGATTTGGGGCTCAGGGACTGAACCCTTGTGTCATTAGAGTTGAGTTTCTGAACATCGTGGCGATTAAGCTATGCTGATGGAGCTGCCGGAACGAGAGTTTACTAGTAGATAGGGGTTTATTATCCCAATTCCATTATTAACTGAGAACCATCATGACAGTTGTCCTTCGTGAACCAGGTGCCAGTCTGTCTTGCTCTGACAGCCTGTCAAAGCAAGTATGCATGATCTTCATGTCGTGGAGTCACGTCCAGAGGTTATACACGTTTTCAATAAATATATTGGCTGCAGATAGCCACGCTGCATGAACCATCGGGGAAATGGTAAATTGCAGTGCCTTCATTCCACAATCCTCATGCTAGGCCATATACGATCCTCCATTGGACGAACTACTTGGACCTGCTCGTCAGGTGGTAGTTATTACCCTCCCAACGTCCAGCTTGCTTCCCAAACCAGAGAAGGTGTCTGAGCCGAAAGAAGAGAGAAAAAATTGACTGCGTTCATGTGCCACCTCCCTTCGGCATCTTAGTCTCCTCCGCGGTCAACAGGAGGGCCGGCGTTGGGGACATCCTCGACGGGGCCGAAAGGATCGTCGTCGGGGCCCAGAGGATCGTCGTGGGGTCCACAGATGACGAGGCCGTCGTTGGTCGAGATCTGGGTCCAAGGAGTTCCCCTTGAGGACGAAGACTGCCATCGAGCGGTGTTAGCATCGCTGTTCCTGGAATAATTGAAGCTTGCTCACCTGATCGCCCCGGTCATTGTCAGCTCCGCCCTTGGCCGGACGGTAGTGAAGATCCTTGAAGATCCGGGCGGCGCTCTCCGTCATGATGTAGGAACGCTTTCGCGGCTTGAACTTCTGCACTCCAGAGCTCTGATGTAGAGCAGTGCCGGTATCGCCGTCATCGTCGCCGCTGCCGTCGTCCTCGCAGGGTCGCTTCTCCATCTGCTTCTTGTTCTCCGCCGTCTTGTCGTCCTGCATCTTGTTGTCCTTCTTGGCCTCTAACTCGCTGCGAGGGGCTGTGACAAATTTCGTGGCGAAGGGAACCTCTGCATCCATGATGCTCTTCACGATCGCCTTGCTGTGTGTGAGAGCACTGCAAACATCCCTGAGTCGCTCCTCGAAACTCATGTACCGGTCCATCTTCCAGACCTTTGGCCAGGACGGGATGTTGTAACGGCCGACGTGGGCGTCACAGGTGGCCACGAGAATCTTGCCAGCGAGAAGCTGCACTTCCAAAGTGGAGAGAGACTTGACCGTTTGCACTGCGGTGTTTCCGTCGCCCAGCTGATCATTCTGGGGCTTGTCCAAGACGTTTGTGAAGTCAGTGATGGCGACTGCAAGGCGAGTAGTTAGAGTCACCCAGTCGGCGTCAGTCTCCGGGTAGCCCTCCATGGTCTGCCCATCCATGTCGGTCTTGTTGGACAGAGACTTGTACGCAGCATCCATGGCAAGGTACTCATCGCGGCTGTTGATAATGACGGGCTTGCCGCGGTTCTCCGGCAGCAGCATCTCTGCGATGCGTGTGCGCCGGTCCTCGAAGTCGTGTTCCCTCTGCGCCGCCTTCATGTCTTGGCCCCGTTTGTACTGCGATCGGATGTATTGCCTCTGGTCTTCAGTGATGGTCGGCGGCTGCTGTGGTAGAGGCTGCTGCTCAGACTCTTCCTGCGCAGCCGCAGACTTCTGTTTCTCGCGGCCGTCGTCCATGATCGACCGAATCTGCGTATTGTGGGTTTGCATCAGCCAAATCAGAGATTTTCGAAGTCAGAACCTTGGAAGTTATGGCGTGGTCATAGATGGGCCGCAGGACGACAATTCAAGTGTAAGAAGCCTGTTTGGCATGCTGAAGATGGAACCATACTGTAACATACCTTCAGAAGATTGATGCTGAAATTGCGCTGACCTCGGGAGTTGAGTTGGAGAGTGTGTGAAGACCTGGGGAAGGGGCCATGTGCTGGGTTGCTGGAGATTGCTGGGTTCAAATAGACGTCCCTGCCTGCAGTCTCCGGTCTGAAAGGTAACTGGTTGTCTCAGTGATCTGGAGACAAACGTGAGATGTAACTTCTTCGGCACTCCAGTTACATGGACCAGTTACACGACAAACAGAGAAATGCGAGTACTTAAGTAACTACGCAGTCAAAGTCATGACACACGGGTCCAGTGCGGTATCTGCCAAACGAGATCCAAACGCTGATCGGACAAACGACAAAGTGGCATGTTGGCTCTCGTTCGGGATGCCAAATAATTACGACTTGAATGATTACCGGCCCTAAAACACGATGAAGATACTCGAGCCAAATCCTATCGTCCGGCGCAGCATCCCGATGATAGTGATGGTGCCCATAGTTTTTGACCGGTCGGACCGTTCTCAGACGGATTTTCTAGACTTTCGGCATTCTGGCATTGCTGAATACCCCCAAGAGGCTTCGCTTCATATAGTGAATATTGTCCACTGGCTACTAGCCCTGGAAGATGCCCAGGTGCTGACAGGGCAAATCGCCATCGGGGCTTGTGACCTGATCGGTCCTCCAAGATTTGCAGCAGATCACACTGGCACCTCATCACCCCTCGCTTCCATGACCGCGGATCGTCAAGACACTGCTTTATCCTCTCAGACGGATGTCATGCCAGCCGCTCCCCAGCCTGTAATCAGCAGTCCAGCAGTAGCTTTGAATGCGGCTTGGCCCGGCACCCCTTCCAGCCAGCAAACGTACGAGTCTGCAAATCCGAGCCAGATGCCCACCACAACATTCACCGTGTCGACCTCTTTGAGCTTTCCTTGCAGATAGAAGACCCAAACAAGCACCCCAAACGCGCTGGTACGAATGGATCCGGAGAGAAAGACTGATTGAGCAGTTGGCGACTCGGCAACTCGCTGGGGCAATCCGTATTGTAGAATTGAGCCTTGGGGGTCAATTAGGGGCCACACAAGGCCTCCGACAGCATGTGCCGTGGCTACTGCGAGAGGGAAGAGATGTGGTAGTTTGAAATGGGGGAGCATCTTGCAGACTCGGTGCGTCGTACCGGCCCAGAAGGTCCGTGGATGCAACGCGGTTGCAGTAGAACAACCGAGATAATCCTGCTGGGTCATCTATACGGGGAGTCCCGTCGTCCCCGCACGGCCTTTTGGGTACCCTAATAAGAGCGTCGCGTCGGCGCGTGGCTCAATCGACTCAGGCTTTTGGTTAGGGCTGTTTTCGAAGGATCCAGGGAGGGGCAGGGGTACCATGTTGTGTAGGATCCTGAGCCCTGCTTATCCGAGGCCACAGAAAGATACTGGTCGAGCAGGGCCTTTCTTTCTTCATTTCTTCTACTTTGAATAGGCATCACTGAACCTAGGCAAGCTCAAATTGTATACTTCCCCCTGGACAACTCACTCATTTCGCTCTCCGTTATTTTGAACAATTATTTAGACAACCCACCTCTCCCGGCCTAACGCTCTCCCTGTAGTTGTGGCTGCAACAGGCTTCCTTCTGAGTCACCATCAACTGACATGGTGTCCACTCTGGATATCATGAGCATGTGAGCATGACACAGGAGCCTTCAATGTTGGATATAGATGGCATCGTACTAATGATGACCATAGCTTGCTCATAATACTGACGCCGCTGTCGTACTTGCCACAGTACACCAAGTTGATCACTCTCCAGAGTGTGGGTAGCATCTCGGTGACGGCGACCCTGATGCTCGCGCTTTGCGCTCAAGCACAGATTCCTACTATGTACTATCTCTTTGCCTGCCCAACATACAAGCAGGATGGGAACATAATACCCAAGCCTCCACGGCTCATGGACTGGCTCAATTTGGCCCAGTTACTCACTCAATGGCTATGCTCCTTGGTCATGTATGTTTCTACATCCCTGAATGTATCAGGCCATCAGAAATAGTACCACTAACCAGCTCGTTGAAATGCAGGCTAGGGCTTGTGCTTGCGGTACGAGGGCCGGCACACGACGATGTTGAGACAGATCCGGCAACCGAGACGACTATTGAGCCGGCAACAGAACAAACTACTGACGTGGTGGCTGAGCCGGAAAGTGTTGGTATGGCATCTCCGTCTACCAGGACCGCAGTATTGCTACTCGCTATTCATGCCATCCTCAGTGTCTGCTGGGCTGTCTTTGCCGGAAAACCAACCACAGACTGGCTAGATCTCACTTTCCCGGTCATCATGACCGTCAATTATGTCTGCATCAACCCTCTCATCACGATCGCAACCGGAGTCGCCTATGGGCTCCAGTCTTATAACACGTCTGGGGTATCTTTGGAGCGGAACGCGTTGAGCCGGGCCACAATCGTACGGCAGATCGTTCTTTTCTTGGCGTTGGCAGTGCTGTGGCCGATCAGGTTCCCAGCCCCAGTAAATTATAGAGAGATCGAGGATTTACACCCGTAAAATCGGGGGGTATACCTATATAAGTATATACCCTATATACTAACATTAACTTATATTATTACTTTACTATAGTTAATATAAAAGTATAATTATTTTCTATATATCTATTATTCTAAATTTATCTTTATTATTATTTTTATTTATTCTTATTATTACTTTAGTTTTATAGTTTTCTATTACTTTCTTTATCGTTTGGAATGTTTAGGGACTAATTTAAGGACTTTAATCTTCTTTTAGGTCTTTCTCTTATTATTAATAAGGTCCTTAATACTTAAATTTACCTTTAGTAATTAGTTAATAGTCCTTTAAGCCCTTATATAAAGCTTTTTTATTATTACCCTATTAGTAGAGGGTATTATTGTTAGTAAGGCTATTTCTATAGACTATTGCTTTTATAGCTAGTAACTTACTTCTTTTATAAGCTCTATTATTAACTATTAGTCTTATTAGATAACTTTACGTTAAGTCCTCCTATTATAAATATCCTTTTAGTTTAATAATTAAAAAGTATTATTATTTTATTTAAATACTAAATTTATATATTATATAGATACTATTATTGCCCTTATTTTATTACCTACTTTATTATTTAAATTAATAGTTATTAAGGTTATTTTTTTACCTATTATAACTTTATTATAGTTTATAAGGATATTATTTTTATTTATAATAAATATAGTAATATTATAAAGTCTTCCCTTCTTTATAGTAACCTTTTATGGTAAGTAAACTATAAGAAAAGAGTTTTTAATTGAGAGGTTATAATTTAATTAGTAAGTTTTATAGATATCTTCTCTTTTAAAAGAGTAGTTAGTTTCCTTTTTATTAACTATTTAATTAGTATAAATTAAGCTATATTGTATAAATATAGGGTAGTTATAAGTTATAAGTAAGTAATTACCCTATAGAATTTCTCCCTTTAGTATATATATTATAGTTTTCCTTATTACTAAAAGGAATTTTAGGGTAGCCTATATAACTTATAGAGGAAGCCTATTTAACTATTTTTATTTATTAAACTTCTTTAATAATACTATTTTTTATTAGGCTTTTATAAGGTGTAGGGTATAAGAATTATTAGTGATTATTTTATTAGTAGCCTTAATTAGGTAGAAAATATTATTTATATTATAGTTTAAATAGATTTTTAGTTTATAGTATAGTATCTTTATAGAGGATATTATATGTAAGTTAAAGTTAAGAATTTTATAGGTTTTATATATAATCTATTTAGCTATAATCTTTTTTTTTATTAATATATTAGGTTTAAAGGTAGGTAATAATTATTATTTAATTTAAAAACTTTTTTTATAGATATTATTAAGCTATATTATAGATTTTATAATTAGTTAAGTATTTTATAAGTTTTAAAAGGTTAAATAAGGATTATTAGGTATAGGGGATATTCTTTAAGGTAGGGATTTTTATTGGAATTATCTCTTAACTTTATATTAGTATATTTAGTAAGGTTGTTATTAAGTCCTTTACCTAATCCTTTTCTCCTTTAGTTTTACTATTCTCTTTCCTTTTTTTTCCTATTATTACTAATAGTTTTTATTATTTTTTCTTAATATTTAGGGTAATATTTATATTAATATAAAAAATATAAAGTTAATAGTATATTTAGGGGAATTTATACTTAAAGGTGTTAATTAAAGTGTTATTATAGTTAGTTATAAAGATTATTAGGTTATTAGTTTAATAATTATAAAGGAGTTTATAAACTTATTATAAAAGTTATTAAAAGTTATATTCTTTTTTATTATTAATAATGCCTATAAATAGGGGTAGGTTCTTTTTTATATAAGTTATAATAGTATTTTAGAAGTAGGGTATCTATTTATTGTTTATTATATAGATATAATTAAGTAAGAGGTATTATATAAATTAATTTTCTTAAATCTATATCTATTAATTAATTATATATTAAAAGATATTTATAATATTATTATTATTATTATTAGTCTATTAGTATTAATATCTTTTTTCTTTAAGTAGATTTAATATTATTTAAATTAGAGTATAAATATTTTATTTATCCTTTTATTAGTCTTTTAGTTAGTTTTTTAGTATATTTAGTTTTACTTTAATGTCTTTAAACTCTTATTAAAGTACTTATTTAAGTTCTTTTAGTTTAGTTATTAAGGGATTTTTTATTATATAAGTAAGGAATTTATGTTAGGGGTTTATTAGCTATAGTTAGCCTTATTGGGTTTCTATAACTTTTTAGGGATTATAATTGGTATACTGTTCTTTTTGAATAATAAGTTTCTACTTATTTTTTATTATTTTTATTATATAGGTAAGTATATGCTATTTATAGCTTAATTTAATTATTGTAGAGTTGGTTGTTATAGTGGTTGAGGGTTGTTGATTATTCTGGCTGTAGGCTAGCTGAATGTAGTTGGGGTCTAACTTTTAAGTGGTTGTTAGGAATTTAATAGACTTTATGGTTATGTTTAAATTAACCTTAAGGTTTTTATAAGTATTATATTTATTATAGAAAAGTTTTAAGTAAGGAGGAGGGTTAGAAAGGGCTAGTTGATAATTATTTATAGCTATAATTTAAGAGTTTTAATTAAGATAGTCCTTCTATTACTGTACCTTAAGGTTAGTATAGTTTAAAACTTATATTATTACTATAAGGGTGTTAAATTAGTTTTTGAGTAGTTAGAGGGTATTTTTAATATTAAATTAATATATAGTGATATAAATTTATAGGTTTGAAGAAGTGTTGGTGGGTAGGTAGGTGGTTAAAATAGGTGGGTAAAGAGGTGTTTGGTAGGATATATGGGTGAGGCTGTAAAAAGCATTATGGTGGGTAGTGTAGGTGGTTGATTGAAGTTAAATATAGTGCTCTGATTAGTTGGTGCCTAGGGTGTGTACTTGTACGGGTGTACCCCCCGATTTTGCGGGTGTGAATCCTCGATCTTATTATAGATATGCAGACCCGTGGCTGTTGACGGGATGGTATCCACTTGTCGGCTGGGCATGTGTTAATAATGCCCTCGTTGCAGTGGGTCAATGCATCGTCCTGTATAATTCCGGTGGCGCAGCTGCCGTCGGAACACAATCGGCGAACCAGGAAACGCAGCCTTTGTTGGGCGGGTGAGGCTGGCCCCTTACTGTGCGCAAGAGACACAAATGTGGAACGGCCGCAGACCAACGATTGATTTGCTCCAAGCATTCAGCCGCCATCACAAATCACGCCTAGAGTGGGAGGAAGCAATTAAGTTACTAGTAGTTGCTCAGTGGGATCCAAGTTGAAAAATTATTCAGCTCACGAGCCCTTCGCTAAGGTACTATATTATGTCCGAATATATTCATATGTGCATTATTGCTCAAGCTCCTCTCATAAATACAGCATTCTCCTCTCAGGTCATCTTCCGCCTCGGAACTCTCCAGACCCACGGATCAGCCCATCGCCATCAATTCCATTGTACCACGCCAATATTCAAAATTAACCAGTGTATGTGCAAGTGAGATCGTTACCAGAGGTGGCGCAGTTAGTGAGGACATTTCCGTCAGAATCCTTGATATCAATGATAGTGCCGCCATTGGGAGTGACGGTACCAGCCGAGCCGGAGGCAGAGGCGTCCGTGAAGGTGACCGTGCCAAAGTCGGCAAAGGGGATGAGGCTGCCGCCAGACTCAAAGTCCTCCACGATCCACTCGGCGTTGGTCTCGCAGAGAGTAGAAGGGGGGCTGCTGAAGGAGTGGGTGACCTTCTGGCCGGTGGTCAGGTTCTCAAGCGTGGCGACGCCGGCCGTCTTGGAGGAGGCGTCGACCTCCATGTAGATGGAGTCACCCTCGCTGATCTCGAAGTTGGAGAAGGAGTGCGAGTAGTCCGGGATCCACTCGTACCAGGCGTCGTACGAGCCGTCGCCGTAGAAGGAGATGCCCGTCTGCAGGATGGCGGTGCTGCAGGTGTCGCCGTCGATGCCGACCCAGGCGGACGCGGCAGCGCTGCCGCCGCCGGTGGCCCGCGGGGCGACGATGGTGCCCTGGACCTTGTTGAAGCCCTTGCCGATCTGCACAGAGCCGGACCAGTTGGACGAGTACTGCGGGTAGCTGGTGTTCCTCATGTTGGGGGCGGACACGTGCTGGGGGTGAATGATATCCCGGGTGGCACGCCTGGCAGCGAGGGCGGTGCCGGCAAGGGCGGCGACGGCGGCGGAGTACTTCATGTTGACTGAGGACTGGCTTGAAGAGGCAACTGGGAAAAGAAGGCAAGGAGTCAGGGACTTGGACAAGAGGGCGGCTTGGATCGAGGCTGCTGATCTGGAGCTGTCACCATCTTTGCAAGAGGTGTTTGGTCTCCAGCTCTTATAGAAATCGCCTTGACAGCAATCTTTGGCATTCCGCGTGCTGGCTTGATATGACCGGGCCTTTCCCGAATCACAAGCTATTCTGTTTCTCGTAGGTGTGATTTTTCAAAAGACCTAATCGTGGAGATATTCCGACCTAGGCAGGTTGCAATTGGGCGATCTTAACAGCTATAGGAGAAGCGCTTAGTACTGCATCATGAGAGAAGCCTCCGCTTTGGCGGAGTACCGATATATTGCTTTAGTATACTGTGGATTGGGTCAGTAGCACGGAATTCAGGACAAAATATTGTCCACATACCTTCCCAAAACGGACTGGACAACGGGAATCAAGCTCCTGGTACAGGATGACAGGCCGATACCCATATTGACAGCAGACTGAGTCCGGCATTGGCCTGCAGAGATGAAGACCCCAAATGATAGGGAGACGACTCGAGTCCAGTGAACTAACAGCGAGCTTCCTGAACAGGCTTGGCAGCGATCGTTCCTAGCAAAAGTTTAATCTTACCAGTCGGCTTGCAAGGATCACCTGTGTTTCTGCTGTGTCGATCTTTGACAGGCTTTACGAGTCGAGCGCCTACAGGGACCATGATGCCGCTGCTCAACCCTGTGTGGGTCGGTCATCCGTTAGGTGCCACGAGGCTCAGGGCAGACGCGCAGAGAACCACATTGGACACCGTAGATTCAACAGGAACCTGTTCGCTGGATTATACTCACTGATCGTTCGGTTGCCAATCTCTATGAGGAGGCGCTGCTCAGGCACAAGTTCATCCAGAAAATCATACCTAGATCGCTCGGATGCAACCGTTCATGACAGAGATGCAACCCACTAAAAAAGCTTGGTGAAAGCTTGTTGGGCCACTTTAGGCTTGTTTTGGATTGAAATGCCGCGGCTTCCCGGGCACCCCTGCCCTCTCTCTGGCTTAACTCCTTCAGGATAAAGTTCACTGTGTCTCTCGCGAACAATAAGCACCTTCTCTTTTCGTTCTTCGGTGGGTTCCGCAACTGAAGGTTAATTGAATCGCTGGCCGGTATCTACCTGCTTAAGTATCTTCGACCATGATGAGCCGGTAGCACCGGCACAAACAACCACGGCGGCGCTCAGAAGCATAGCATGGCATAGCGGCATGGAGCTTACAAAATACTAATTTATAGAGAGTGAGGAAATTTGCGCACACATTTTTAGAAGTCACATACTTTTTTAGCTGTTCAAAGAAGTCTTCTATAATTAATTTATGAACTGTGAGCCGAGGGGAGAACGCGTTCCTTCTGAGATAACGTGAGTGACGCGACCAACCGCCGAAGCGAGCGTGAATTCCGGGAAATTCGCGGGTCTGAATGTACGGAGTGTGCCCCATTATATGGGATAGTTCTTAGTTAGTAGAGGGGTGCGTGGCTTACAAAAATGGGTGCACAAATTTCCTCTCTCTTTATAGAAGGTGGATAGATTACCACACAACTTGATCCCGAGTATAGAAGCGTCCTGAAATGCATGGCATGTGCTAACAATCTTAGAGGACGATCAAGGACCGTATGCTCTCTGGGGAACATCAAGGTCGATCCGCAATCAAAGCTGAAAGAGCCTATACTAAACTGCATGTGTTTAGACTATAGCCTGAAAGTATCCACCCTGCACCTTTTTGGAAAAAGAAAAGTTAGAAATCAATCAAATTCTCGTCATCTCGAGACCTATGGATGATGCTTCTCACTCTATTCAATCCTCGCCCAATCAAATCGATCAGCTGCTTCGCTCTCCACCGGCATTTCCAAGTTCAACTGAACACCCACGGCGCGCAAGGACGCGCTCACATTCGATAGGGGCCCTTTATGTCCCTCTGTTATGTCGGCGGGATCCTGTTCCCCCTGACTGTCGCTCGCTGGCATCTCCTCATAGAGTTGCTTAGACACCAGCGTGACCTCTCCCAGGTCTGGGAGAGACGGGGAGCTGTCCCTGACGAGGCTCATGAGGACATTGGAATAAAACTCAGCCGTGGTCCACTGATTTGGGAAGTCTGGGTAGTACTTCAGGGAGTCCGGTTGATAGTCACGGGGCGTGTCGTGAGTGGTGCCCCAGTAATCGATCAGCCGGAAGCGAACGAGTGATGGAGGGAGGAGGTGCGGTATCTGCAGGGCGATTCCGACGTCCTGTCTTCCAAATAACCACATTGACTCTGTAGTCAAGTCTTTGAGCTTGCTCATCTGAGAGAGACTGGTCAAAGACGGTGGGTAGTCCTCTATGTAGCTCCAATGGCCGTAGCTGGTCGGGCCCGTTGTCAGAGACAGCGTTTCCAGTGTGTCCGCGAGTCTTAGCAGGGCGGAAGAGATTGTGAAGGGCAGGGCAGGGGTAATGGTCGTGTTGAACATGTAAGACGCGTCGTCATACTCGGCCTGGAGCGAGACGAGCTTAGGAAACGACAGCATCGTCGCCATAATATCGTCCCGAGGGCCTTGTGTGCGCATCAGTACTAGCTCTTTCACACTGTCTGCGACCAACTTGGAATTTGGATACTGCGTGAAGCATGCCCAAATGCCTCTATGGCACAAGTTGCCCTTTATCTCCACACGTCTCAAGCGCGGCGAGTTCGCCAAGAAAAAGAAAATGACGAAGCGCGCGCGATCTTGAGATTGCTCATCCTCATGAGTCTCGATAATGAGGTGTTGCAAGTCCGCGAGGAACCCATAGCCAGAAGGTCCAAGAAACCCAGGATTTCCGTGGCCATCTGCCTCTTCGTACCGCCATAGCAGCGGTTCTAGGGCCCTCATTTCTGGACTAAAACGCATATAAGATCCTTCGGGTACATCCTCACATCCGTGAAGTAAAAATAGCGATGCGATCTTTGGGCACAGGGCCAAAATAGCACCTAGTAGCCTCCAGGTTTCCATGGTATCAGGCCCGTAGATGCCCACTGTGGCAAGGTCAGCCAACGTTGTAGGTTGAATGCGGTATTGCGCACACTCGTGAATAACAACGTTGTGTCAATAATCATGCCAGATGCTTACTAAGTTTTGCGACCCGAAAGTCAATCTGCGCGAGAGGCCAAGAGTCCTTGATGAGATCCCAGCAATCTACAACGAGCGAATCGGCCTCATGTTGGCGGATCATGGTTGACTGCCTATTCGTGTCATCCGTGGATAACACAGTGACCCAAGCCAGGGAACGGACCAAGGGGCGGCGGTCTGGACATGTTGATATTGTGCGGAAAAAGAGCAAGACTTCCACCTGGTCGCTCAGGAGGACGGTACGATATAGATAGGGGGTTCCGAGTTCGTAGAAAAGCCTCGAGACCAGGACAACATTGGTCAGACTGGCTCGACTCTGGAAGAAATCCCGGCTCACATCGGGCTTCTTTGAAGTGGAATTGTATGAGGTTACTGGCTCGATTGGACGGAGCTGTTGGAACACTTTCAAAATAATTTCGCCTGGTAGGTCAAGCAAGGACAGCTGGCGGATGCCCTGACCGTTTCCGTTCACCGAACGCTCGACATGAGACCGGGATGAGGCCTCCAGGGGTACCCGTGTAGACATCGTAATCACCGGTATGCGAGGCACAAAAGTTGTGAGAATAACTGAGAGTCGGAATCAAGTGAGTGAACTGAGTAAATGGGGCGAGAGAGAGCCTTCGAGGGCAGCAGATGAGGTGAGGACGATGGTGACATCGCCGGCTACCTACGTATTGGCAGGTTACCGTGTGGTTGGTCGCAGAAGCGGCCGCTGTTGCCTAAGTATGCGGCCTAATCACCTGACCTAGCGTCTCGGCGGGCTGCAGCCCTCTGGACCACGGGAGTTGAGGTATTCTCATTGTCGAGAACAGCGCTTGATAATCAAGATCGACCTCGGTTTGAAATTCTGGCATTACTGCTATAAAAATTGCATTGCATCATTGATCCTGAAACTAGACTAGTAGTACTACTAAGTAGGGCAGTTACCCTGCTCAGGTGCATTCCCTTCTCGAATACATGTTGCTCACCCCCCTTCCCCCCCCCTCTTTTTCTTTTAATTCCACCACAGAACCGAAAGTCTGAGAGCACTTGAGGAATTCATTTTTTAATCTGTCCTGTTTTTCTGTTGCCAAACGAGTGAGCCGGCAGTTAAGCCTTAATCAAGTGATTCAAGAAATCAATAGGAACCCAAGGAAACTTTCAAATGTTAGAACTTGAAGCGCAAAGGAAGCAACAAAACGAGCTAATCACGAATACAATCGACTCCCCACAAAATTCTTACAGTTCCAATGTGGAATTCGTTCTTCCCAGCAAGGAGATGATGCTGATAGATGTGCTTCTCCCTCCACTTGGGCCCTACCCCACCGTAGCATTCTGGACTGCAAGTGCATTGTGTTCGAAGGTTAGCGCCATGCACTGTGGCACAGCTGCCACGGCAAATTTTTGGTCACCTCCACCTTGCGCGAATTGTTGCAAGTTTGGCACATTGGAAAGGTTTCAAGTTGCGTACCACTTCCGTGGCAGTGGCCACAAATGGGTGGGTTTGGTACAGGTGCTCCTGGACAGGGGTCAGTGCCAACGCCGTAGCACTTGTAACAGGCACTCCGAGGACAATCTGTACAGTCGTATGTTTCGGTGACCTCGGGCGAATAATACCCGTCTTGGTCCATTCTGTACTTGCATGTCGAGCATCTGGGGACACTACTCGATGCACTTCCCCGTGAAGAACCGTAGTCTCCTTCCAATCGTGCGGGGCGCTGCTGGTTTGGGCCTTGGCGACCTGCGGACTGAGAGGTGTGTGTTTGTCGAGGCTGGCGACTGCTGGATGCCTGACGCCCTCCAGAAAGGGATGCGTTCGGCTGTCGGGGCTGCTGGCTGCTAAGTCCTTGACGTCCACCAGGCTGAGGAGTAGTAGTGGGTTGTCGAGGATGCTGGCTGTTGGACGCCTGACGCCCTCCGGACCGAGACGTGTCCGGCTTTCGAGCATGCTGGCTGCTGGACGCCTGACGCCCTCCGGACTGAGACGTGTCCGGCTTTCGAGCATGCTGGCTGCTGGACGCCTGACGCCCTCCGGACTGAGACGTGTCCGGCTTTCGAGCATGCTGGCCGCTGGAAGTGTGACGCTCTCCAAACTGAGAGGTATCTGGTCCTTGCGTTGGCTTCATGATGAAGGCGAAATTGCTATCGAAAGACAGATTGTCGGTATTGAAAGGGTTTTCAAATGAAGATACTCCGATTACGCGGAAGTGGAAATCAAGCTGGGAACAAGTGGGCAAGAAGATTGCAAGAATGAAAGATAAGTGTAAAGTTGTTTCGCTGATGACTTCAGGTAACCACGACCAGCTTGTTGTGAGATCGAGACTGAAATGCTTTCTACGGTGCAATATCAGAAGAACTTGCCAGACCCAAGACTTACTCTCAGTTCCTTTTTATACTCCCAGTCTGTGGGGTGATTGTCCTTGTCAACAGGCTGAGATTCTAACTTTAGAACATCTTGAGTGTCCCAGAAGCCTGCAACATCATTAGGAACTTTACAACGGAACATCTGCTACGATCTAGACCTGGTCTTGCCATTGCAGCCGTTTCATGGGGAGCCGAAACCTCAAGATTGGCCTGGCCGCGATGCGATGCAACAACACCGCACAGTGCCGCCTCAACGTATTTTTCTCAGAATAGAGACCACTAGACACCAATATGGCATCGCGTGCGAATTGAATGCACGATTTAGGACGATATTTGACGTAGTAATGGAGGCTCAGCTGAGCAACGCCGCGTGCTGTTGGGACTTAGTGCCGTCGAAATGCGCGAGGCCTGGGCCAGGCGGCCGTACATGCCGCCCCCGCCCATTCCAAAATCAGGGCCGTGCCACAGAAGGAAAACACCAACAGCACAATTGGGCTTCAATTTGGCTTTTGGGTGAATGACGGGTGTGTCACGTTGCCTGTATTGAGTTCGGCCATGAGTCTCATCTGTGGCCTGGCCCTGGCCTGAGAAGAAGACCCAGGCACATCAGAAACATGGTGTTTCCAATAGCCAACTGTTCTCAGTTCATTCGGCACTGTGGATTACGCGTGGAGAATTTTGACTTATTTTATGTGGTTTTGCTTCTATTCCGTATACGTCCGAGGACATACATGGCGCCTTCATACGGTGGCAAGTAGGACGCAATTATATGAGGTTACTAGCTCGGTGAGACAGAGCTGACCGATCACTTTCAAAACACTCTCACCTGGTAGATCAAGCAAGCAAAGCTGGTAGTTGTGGTGACGGTTGCCGAGAGGCGCAGACAGCCCCTCAAGGGGGAGCTGCGCAGACATTGCAAGCACCGGTGGCCAGGGCACAATAGATGACAGGATATAACAAATGGACAATGATCGAGTCAATTTGTGAAGGAATGAGGAAAGAAAATCTAATTGCCTTCAACCTTCGGCGATTAGTTGTCCGCGCGGCTAAGGTGTGAATGAGCATAATAGCCGCTGCTGCCTGCGTTCGCGGCACAGGGAGCCAACATAGCGTCACATCGAGCCAGGAGACTCTTGGAGGATACACTCGGCAATCATAGTACGCAGGGGTTTTGCCAGCAACAAACACCTAAGACGCAGGACCGGTGAGACCTTAAAGTCAGTTCTATTCATCAAGGGGGTTGCGAGAACTCCGTCACTACATAGGTAAGGAGTGTATTGCAATAATCATACTCTTATCTTTCTGGCCTAAAGAGGGTGTTGACAGGGGAATCGCTCAAGCATAGGCTCATCTAATACGAAACCACCATCTTTTTCCAACCACCAAACGATCCACAATTTTCGGGCTGATTTAAGCGTGCATGCCCAAGTGCCCTGCAGGCTACTAATATGCCTCTCCTCTCAGTGCCCGCCAGCGTCGCGGGCAACAGCACCACCCTTACTCTCAGCATCATGCGCGGAACTCGGCGACTCGGACTGCCCGTCTTTTCTCTTTTTCAATTCCCCCACCGGCATAATAGCCAAACGACTTACCATCCGGACACTGTGGTTCCCTTGCCCCTGTTGCCCGGGCTGGCTAGACGGGGAGGGCTGTTTGCCGCTTCCATGGTTCGTCACCGACGGCGGGGTGGGTGTGACCGTGTGTAAGAAATCTGGCCCGTACGCACCCTCGCGATTCATGCTGGGGGGAGATTTTCCGTTGGCGGCCGTTCGACGCTGAGCGTTGGGGGATTTGTTCTGCTTGGTATCCATGATGAAAAAGGTAGAAGCGAGCTCAAATGAGGTTTTTCCGGAAGCGTGGTCTTTTCTGAGATGGGTTGTATAGGCGGGGTGGGCTTCGAGGATAGACCGTGGCTGAAGGCAAAATAGCAAGTCGAAAGAAGAGAGCGATAGTATACTAGTATAGCTGATAAATGGAAACACGACCGGCGTGATAACAACTTATTGTCTTCTTTGTCGATGCGGCTCTTGGATATCAATTTAGATCAAAGGCAGTCCTTTAGGCCATATATATACATACCCACCATCTCGGCCAAGAAGCTTGGAAACAAACATCGCGGCTCTAACTATAGAACAGGCTGCATTCATGGTCGACCTTGCCCTCAAACAGCTGAATAATGCATGCAACCATCCGGAAACCCAATCTTGCCCTTGGAAGCCGCTCCGTAGGAAGCCAACATGGCAAAGTCGGCCCGGGGCCACGGCCGACGGGCGGCCCCCAGCTCAGGCTGTGCCGCGCTGGCCGCAACGGCCAATGACCAACACAATTTGGGGCGGGAACCATTATCTGGCCGGCAATGAATGATGTCGCTATTGTTCAAGTCGTGGCCACCAATACATTCCGGTAGACCCATGGTATCTGAAACACACGGCCGCAGATACATGGTGTCCTTACAAGGTTGCTATGGTCGCGAGTCTGGCGGATCTAAAAGCATACTTCTGATGGCGGCGCATGTTCTGCCAGTTCCTCTTGATGCAATCGATCATCAAGTGAAATCCTAGGGTCTCACATCAATGTCTCCGGCCCGGACAGATCCATAGAGAATACCCTTGGAATGCCTTGTCTGCTCAAAGCTAGCTCCCGAGGTCACCATCGCGCAGCAGGCGCGCATGCCTCCTCGCTGAAATTGTGCCACAAATCCACAGCCTTCACTTTTTCGTTTCATGCAGGTATGCCGGGTTAAATTCCAGATAAATCATTGTTAAGCAGATGCAAGGATCTGTTTCCATTCTTTCCCAATACGATGCAAGACAGCAGTTGAAGACAACCATTGACCGCAACGCATTACGGAGACTGGCATTGAGTGAATTCGCCGACTTGGTACCATCATCGCTAGCATATATGTGTGTGGTTTCGCTTCTATTCCGTGTACGTCCGAGGACATACACGGCGCCTTCATACGGTGGTAAGCGCTCAAGACCCAGCGCTTGAAAGGACACGATGTCGATAACGATAGTCATAATACGATAGGTGCTAGCATCTATCAGGAGCTCTTTTTAGTCGGCGGCGTGTCCTTAGCGGTGTCGAGCTGATAAGCTTGTTGTCCTCAACTAACGGAGCAGCTTGTTGGGCCTAGAGAGCCTCTCTTGTTAGGTTCGTGTCGAGGAGCCCCGGCTACTGTTACTGGGCAGGTAGATGCTTTGGCCGTGGCCGCTACATGTGCTGCGAGGTGTCGTTATCCCAAAGCCTGATCGTACAGGATACACCTCGATACGAGAGGCTGGTGTACCCAACATCCGACCACAATGTGTCCGTTGCGTCTAAAATCAAGCTAACCCACACCGATCACGCGGCGAGTTGAGTTAGGTCTTCAAACCAAGTAGTGGTGTGCAAAACATCCGTGTTCATATTGCACATTCGCTAGGCAGCCATCACCAGTCAGGAAGGCCTATCTAAACATATACATTTAAAAGCGGGTGTGGCTGGGTATATTCATCCGCTGGGCGGGCCACCTGAACGGTGAGCCTCGCCTTGGCCCCCGTCCAACTCTCGCCAGCAGGGCCATTTCCAGGCATTCGCGACGAGCAGGAGAGAGGGGGCCATAACAAAGAAAGAAAGAAAGAAGCAAATATCATCCCCGTTTCTCATAGACAGCCCTTAACACCTTGGTCATCAGACGACCACTCTCAAAACAGGTTGCCACGGGAAACAAGAACCACCCCCAACATCCCCGATCAAAAACCACGGTCATTGCCACCCAACCAGGTGCGCCATACCCCGCGCCGCAAGCGCAACAGCCTCCCTCTTGGCCGCGGTGGCGTTGTTATTGTCCTCGCCGCCGCCGATACTGTTCGCCTCGTCGCTGTCAGGGTAGAAGAAGGCCGCCACGGCGATGATGACGTACGCGGCGACCAGCAGCGCGCCCTCGAGGTAGTTGCTGCGGCCGTCAAGGACGAGGAAGTTCACGATGAAGGCCGAGACGAACATGCTAATGGTCTCGAAAAGGGTGAAGTACAGGCTCATCTCCTTGTTCATGATCCACCCGAGCACGACGACGAGCGGCGTCACGAAGATGGCGATCTGGATGCTCGACCCGATGGCGACGCCGATGGCCAGGTCCATCTTGTTCTTGACTGCCACCGTGATGGCCGTCACGTGCTCGGCCGCGTTGCCCACGATGGGCAGGAGGATCAGGCCGATGAAGGCCTCGGAGACGCCCGACTGGCCAGAGACGACGCCGTCTATGGCGTCGACCATGAACTCGGCGCACAGGGCGACCAGGGCCGTTGAACCGAGAAGCAGGAGCACAGCAGAGGTGCGGGAGATCTCGGGTTCGTCGTCTTCCTCCTCGTTGGCGCCTGCTGCCAGGGGACGACTGTTAACGACGATGGGTACAATTGGGGGCAAGGAGCCGGGTTGGGCACGGTAGTATTGATTCTGTGAGGGCATGGACTGGGTCCGACGCAGGCCCGGGCGAGTACCATGGGGGTGATGCTGGTTCTGATCCTGGGCAGCTTGATTGGCCACGTTGGCAGGGCTCATGAAGACGTTCTGGGACAGGTTCTTAGCCAGGTTAGGGCGCAGAGTGCGGAGCGAGAACGGCTTCGGCCGGGTCGTGGAAGGCTGGGCCTCGAGGTCCGGCCCGACAGCAAAGTCAACACGCTTGGTGTTTGTATCGCCGACGGGATCCACAGCATCGCCATTCACAGCGCTGGCAGGCACGCCAGCTGCGGCCGCAGCTTCTGCATCGTCGCGATCCCGGTCCTTGCTCTTGTGGTGGCTCTTATGCTTGTGTTTCCTCTTCTTTCTCCCTTCTTCTGCGTCGTCCAGGGCTTGCGCTGCTTCCTCGGTGAGTTGAAGCGTGACCGGCTCCTGACTGGAGGACGCTGTGGGCTCACTGACTGACCGCTCGACCGCCTCGGACGGGGACTCCACGGCAGGCGAGCCAGACGACGAAACAGTAGAAGGCTTTTCGGCATCAGCCGAGACCATGCTCTGCTTGCGACTCCTGCCCTTCCTGATGGCCCGCTTGATCTTCTTGGCCGTGCTCACAGAGTGGCCAGAGGAGTCGGAGTCGGAGCTTGATGACGAGTCGGAATCTGAACTGTCCGAAGACTCAAAGTAATGTGCTGCGGGCCCGGGGACTGATTCCTGCTCGATAATGTGCTGTGGGGTCGACTCGTACATATAAGCGTGAGAGTTGAGCTGAAAGACCAGGTAGAGGGCGTATACCAGCAGCAGGATAACACTGGTACCGCGGCTGACCCTCAAAACCTGGATGTCTGCCTCGGAGCTGCTGCTGAAGGAGGCATGGAAAGCGGTAGGCAGGAGAAGAGAGATGACACTGAGACTGAGCAGACAGGCGCTCATCTGGGTCACAGTACTATTGTAAATCTGCTCGCGGTATTTCAGACCGCCAAGCATGAAGGCCATGCCGAGGATGAGGAGCAAATTGGCCAGGATGGAGCCGAGAAGTGACGCTTGGACGATGCGGATCTCGTTCTACAGGTCATTGTCAGTGACGTGGACGCGCGCAAGCAAATACTTGGGAGGGTAGGGGTAGGTTATTTACCTTGACCAGAGCGATGATGAAAATGATCAGCTCCACCGCATTGCCAAAGGTGACGTTCATCAGAGCGCCAACGGTGTCGCCCAGCCTCTTTGCGACGCTCTCGGTTGCATGGGCGAGGAGACCTGCCAGGGGCACGATGGCGATGGCGTTCATGGCAAATACGATTCCATCAGAAAGGCCGGCGAAATGCACGGCAATGCCGACAGGCACGAAGACGAGGAGGACATTGATCCAGCTGGACATCAAGACATTCCTGATGACATTGAAGAACCGGGTCATAACCGGCTTCTTCTCTGTCTCTGGCTTCTTCTCTCCATCGGCCGTGGCCGGATCGCTCCCGCCTGCCAAAGTATCATGGTTGTTCTGTGTCTGGGCCGCACGGGGAGACGACGAAGACGATAGTCCGGTGGAGGATCGCGGGACGCTGGCGGGGCGCGACGAGGTGACTATTCTTGAGCGAGGATCACCGCCATGGGCCTTCGCCCTCGCCCAGGTACGAATTCGGTCTGCAGGAGGCCAAGATTAGTCAATGAGGGATGCATTGCGTGCGGTGGTGGCCAAAGGATGGGCCAGAACGGGTCGCACCAAAGTGGTGTCCCGTGATGAGGCCTGGCACAGGAATTGCAGCAACTGCAACAACACATGTGCAGCTCGACTGCGTGTTGTGGCAGCGCGTGAGTTTCCCCCCTCGCGGCCAAGAGCCCAAGAGTTGGCAAATGCGGACCAAGGAAAGCTTGACGGTCTTGGAAGCTCAAACTTACGCATAAATCAGCACAACAGACTCAGCCAAGAACAGGCAGAGTTGACAAGGCCTAATAGCTATCGCCCGTGTCTACGCGATAGATTGACTGGTTCGGTAGCCGCTGTGCGCTTTGCGACAAGACTTGGTGTTGTTTACTTTGTGTTTACTTTGTCGCCTTGGTCGTCGTGATGTGAGGACGGGAAAGCTGAGTTGGCACTGGGCAGGCAGGGCGGGAAGGATTGGCCACCAGAAGCTGACGGTGCTTTTGAGGATTCAAGGCTGGTTGCCGCTTGGCCTGTTGCTGACGATGACGGAAGCGCCCGCCAGGGGAACCCAGGAACCCAAGAATCCAGGAAGCTAGGAGACGAAGCTAGGGAGATCCAAGACCAGGGTCAGTCTTGGTGGGCTACCAGCAAGCTGGTTGGCTGGCAAGCTGGGAAACTGGCACTGACAAAGCGCCATGGCAAATGCCACGACGGGCAGGCCTCCGTCTGGTCCCTGCTCCCACTTCCCTGGTCGCACACGTCCTACCTCAGATCACCTCCTACAAGACAGCCCACTTACTCTGGAAGGAAAACCTTCCACAAAACACCTTCTTGGACTTCTATTCAGAGGATACAGGACAATCTCTTGATAGATTGTTGGACGGAGGACGGAGTACAAGCGTCGACGGTGGAAAACTTGCAGGGGTGCACGGCCCACAAAACGGTCCGCGTTCTTGGTGTGATGGTGCTGTACCGCAATTCCACCGTCACAGGTCTCGCCCCTTCCGGCCAGCAGAGCTGCGTCATACCCTGCCAGGCGTGCCTGCATTTCAGGTGGGCACCCTGGCACCCTGGGCACCACGCCTGCCTGAGCCACATTGCAATCGTGGCGTTGCTGTTGTGAGGCGGTGTGACAGGGCGGCTGCCGTAATAATAACACACGCCACTGACAGACGGACTGACAGACGGTTTCACCGTTCTCCACCCCAATCCGTCCGTCTTGGTCCCGCCTCACCTTCGAGTTCGAGAACCTTGGACCGACGGCCAACGGCCAACGCCAACCTGGAGGCTCACATCATCATCATCAAGACTCCTTGCCTCGATATGCTTGCAATGCTGCATAGGATTCCTTCGCCTTCTATTGGCTGGTCGGCCACTGAAGCAGTCCACTCGCCTGCTTGCACATGCACGAGGACTCATGGCGCCTGCCCCAAAATGGACCGTGATTGCTTCGACACCACAGCACGTTGTTGACATGAGCAAGCGAGAATGGTGTTTGGCCATGCATTCTCTGATCCAAATGACAGGTCACCGCTCACACGGGCACACAGATCCCCACGGAAAACAAAACTTGGAGTTGCACCATTTACCGCTTTCAGCCTCCAACCTGCCCGCCCACTGCACAAGACAGATCGCAATCCGTGTGGTGTAGCCGTGCTTGTCCCATGACAGCACATCTGCCACGAGGTGACAGGCAGCACAGACAGCACTGGAAACCTCCAGCGCCAGAACACCAGAACACCAGTCTGGACCCGAGTCAACGATAGGGGCGCTTGGGACTACCCGTTGGTGATGTCAACAAATGCAGTGACCCTATTCAAAACGGTGCGATGACGTCCTACACACGCACCCAACCATTCGCCGCACTCCCGCCTCTGCTCAGGACGTGTCGGATTCTGATCGATGCCGGGCGAGGACGACCTCTATGCGACCCGTCCCTACCTGTCACCACGGGCTGGTGCAGCGACAACTTGGGCTTGTCAGACCACGCACGCTGTACCTACCTCGCTGGATCGCAGAGCCTTTCGTACTCCTTTCCTGTTATGGATTATGCCTCATTGAAATAGCCTAAACCTCCTCTATGGGAGCAAGACGGTGATATTGCCATGTCGCACGCACGCGGCTGGTTCTTGCTTGACATGGACCTTGAGTGCACAACGCTTCTGCTGTCTCTGAATAGCTTCGATACAGCTGCACGACTGGTGATCTAGTGTGACCCTGCGGCTTTCCCTATTCTGTCTGCCTGCCTCTACTTCCGGAGCAGCCTTTCCTTTTGTTTCACGCTCGGCCTCGGCCCCTTGTCGGCGGCCCACGAGGGCCCAGCAGAGCCTCCGGTCTACCGCCTCCCGGCCGACATGGGGGCTTTGGGGAGGGCCTTTGGGGAGCTTCAGCAAGCGCCGCCACGGGACTACGCGCGGGTTATGTGCAGAGTCCAGCTTACTGTACTTGCGTTTCTTTTTGCAGCTCTCTGCGGATGGCTGCCATGCTTCCCTTCCCGTTGGCTCTGGGGGCAGGGGTTGCTACGCCGCCCATCCTTCGTCTCAGTCGCGGCCTGTCAGCCCGCGGCCCAGCCCGCGACGGCTTCAAACCGCTCGCAGGATTCGGCCCCCAGCGAGCTAAATTTGGGGAAACACCCTCAGCCGGGCAATTCTTTCCCATGTCTCCAGCCTGGGTACTCAATCGAGTCGGTGAGCACCCTTGGACACGCAGGTCGTCCCCCGTCTCGTCCCGGCTGTTTGACGCTTGACCGTCAAACCCGACCTTCGAAACAATAACGACCTCGTTTCCCGGCTTGCAGAGCCCTCCCGCCCGACATTGCCGTTGGTCCGTCTTGGAGACCTCACTTACCCCAGTGTCACCCTCGTGCGACGCAGCCTTTCACTCTGGTTGTCATCATTGGGCCAAGTACTGCGGTCAACAGCTTTCTTGCGCCAACATCCTTCTGCCGCGATCCTGATGTTTGCACTTATACACTCCCGACTCCTTAGCTCTCTTTATTCTCCGCTCTCTGCCCGACTCCTCTCTCTCTCACCAGTCAGGATTGCATAGTTACATCCAGTCTCTCAGCTCCCTCATCCCCTGGCTCGTCGTTCTCAGGCCCTCATCCGCTCCTCGTAATTGTCTTCACCAATCCATACCACATCACTCTACTTCACATCAACCCACCACGCAACCAGTATGGCTCTTGCGCCAGTGGCAACAGTAGCAGCTTGTGGCAGTATCCTCACTGCAGTCAAGTCAGGATGGGAGCTCTCTCGGATGATCAAGAAGAAGGACCTTGAGAAGCGGCTGGACAAGGAGGCCAAGGTCGTTGTCCGCGATCTCCAGAACGCCTACCTTGATGGCCTCATGTCGGAGAGGTCTTTCGAGAAGTGGTATGACAGAGTAGTGGGTGCTCTGGCAGAAAAGGACGGTGAGTAACAGCCATGTCCAGCCCTACTCATCCCAAATACCCAGCACGCGACTGACGTTATCACACCAGGTATGGAGCTTCGCAAGGTCAAACAGCACATCGATCTCGTGCGGTCGTCCAAGGATCGCATCACACGCAGCAACACGCGGGCGAACCGCAACAGCAGCCGTGGCTACTACGACGACAGACAGTCCCACCACCACCACCGGCGGCCGCACTCGGTGGACCGGTACTCGGAGTACACACGCTACGAGGAGAAGGGGCGGCGCCCCAGGTTCGACCACGGCAGCCACCACAACCCGCACCTGGGCATCAACACGGACAAGGCGCAGCGCGACTACTACTACTCGCACGCGCTGCCGTCGCCGTACAGGGGCGAGATCGAGTACACGCCCCTGAACGCGGAGTTTGACGACGCGCGGAGCCACGCCGGCTCGGAGCGGAGCCGTCGCAGCAGGGGTGGTGGGGCATCACATCACCACCACCACGGCGGCGGCGGCGAGAGGAAGGAGGAGTTCGTGTCGCGGAGAAGCAGCGTCGTCGACCGGGGCCGGACGCGGTCGCGCAGCGTGCACCAGGAGCGGAGGGTGCGGGACAGCTCTGCGGATGCCGACTCGGAGGCCGAGGAGGTGTATGAGCGGCGGGAGTATTTTCCTGCCAAAGGGGCGCGGGGCGGCTCGGGGAGGCATCACTAGTAGGCGCCGCGGGGGGTCTCCTCCCCCCCTCGGCCGTCGCCGTGGGTGTGCCTCTTGGGATGATGCGAGAGGACGACGGCCCTTGGCGGGGCTTCACTATCGTAGGGGATCATCAGTCTCGTCGGGCTCGAGACCACCATCACCGCGGCCGTGCCCCCCGTCACCATCTCATGGTTACAGACTTAGCGGGATGGAAGACAGGGGGAGGGGGAGGGGGATGAGGCGGGTCATGATCGGCGACGAGGTCCGCCTCGTGCCGCGGGTGGTGCCGACGGAGGCCGAGGTTGAGCTGATGCGGACCGGCGCCGGCGGCGGGGCCTTTCATGACATGGACGGGATGTTGGACGTTGCTATTGCCATTGGGGACTTTGGGGAGGGGATCGGCGCTGTGGGTGAGATTTGCGAGGTCATTGGGGCGTTTGGGGATATGGACTTGTAGCACTGCCGAGACTGGCCCCCCCCCACCCTTTTTTTTTTTTGGTTTATCCTTTGCATTCTAGTTTGGCGTATACAAAATGTTGTTTGATATTGTGTTATGCCTTGAATACCAACCACATGTTGCTTTGCGTCGTTAAGTTCATTTTAGTATCATTTTGGTAAATGCATTATGGAAGGAATGCTTCTCTCCTGAGCCAGCTGCTTGGCAATGCGACCCCTTGCAGACCACACACACAGTTACCTGCCCCAGGGTATGTATCTATTCAAGATACTTGTTTGTTATACTCACCGCTGGAAGTCTAGGCTGCCCAAGCTTCCTTTCCTAGTCCGTGATACTGTAGATGATGGGTGACGGTCACGGGCGGCTGGGCGTCGAGGGCCGAGGGCGGTCACGGCATGGTCGGTCGGCTGGGGGCGGTGTGAAAAGTCTCGGGCCCATTTTATGTCTAGCAACCGGTGAGACACTCTTCTGCGTGCGTGTGTGGTCGAGTCGACGGGCCCTCTCATCCTGGCGTTCAGCAGAACCCGCCCGACGTCGGGGCTCCACCTGCAACGAATCCATCACGATGCCAAGGCCCGGCATCTGTCTGGCTCCGGCTCCCGAGGTCCCGCTCCGCCCTCCTTTTTTTTTTCTTGTCCCTCAAAGATAAGGTATAATCCTCCAGTCCTATAAAACAGGGTTTGTGAGAAACAGGTAACGAGGCCACCGGGCGGGGTTAATGCATGACGGGGACGGATTTAACGGCGTGCTGTTCTGGCTCCTCCGCCCCTCCGCCGCTGGCTCGTCTCGTCGGCCTCGTCGGCCCCGTCGGCCCCTCCGTCCGCTCGGCATGCTCGGGACCTGGGGTAACTAAGCCTCTCGCCCAGCCTGAGGGGCCGGGCCGAGGCAGGCTTGGATCAGGCACTGCACTACGGAGTACAATTGCCGTGGTCTCCACATGGCGTGGGTCTGAAAAGGAATGTAGTGTGAGAGAAGATCAGAGGCTGGTGATGATGTTTTGGTCCTGTCTGACGGCGAAGCACTCCAAGGTCACTAACTTGTAACATAAACAGACGGAACCCGTGCAGGTTCCACAGCCCCGACCGCGGGCTATTTATTACCTAGGTATGACGGCAAAAAGGGGACAAAATCTTATCGGCGCCAGGGATCCGGGACTAAATCAAACAGAGTTCAATGGAGTACTTGTTTTAAAGCCGCGAACTAACGTTGATGCTTCGAGGGCAAATGAAACCCCGCGGGGCAGACGAGTATGATTCGCGACAAGGAAGCTAGGCCGGAAACGGGGAAATAGTCATGTCGAAGTCGAGCCGCGGCTGTAAATCTTGCAGCCGTGAAGTTTATTTGGCCCGAGTTTGCAAGAGGACTCGTCGAGTCAGTGTGCTTTGTAAGACAGACTGATCGTGGTGGGTGCATGGTGAACATTGACTTCCGGCATGCCGTTAGGAAAGCCCCTGGCTCTTGTCATCGGAGCATAATTACGTTTATACGCATGCAGAAACCGCGGGGATGGGCTCGGATGGCAGAAGTTAAATAGTTCAGAAGGTTCTCTCTCTCCTCTCTCTCCCCAACGGTGACCCTCTCCCTCTCTCACAACTCCAAACTCACGATCATTGTAACCAACTGGTATCCCATCACCCCCTGACTCGTAAAACACCCAACTCTATCCCACCACCCAGCCGCCATGTCCCGCTACGCAGAGGCCCACAAGCCCGAGAACATCACAGGCCCAGGCGACGGCCGCCCGACCGCCCTCCAGGTCCTCAAGGACGAAGGGGCCGAGGGCAAGCTCGCGGGCAAGGTGATCGTGATAACGGGGACGTCGTCGGGGATCGGCATCGAGACGGCGCGCGTGCTGAAGCTCACCGGCGCGCGGCTGTTCCTGACGGCGCGGAACCTGGACAAGGCGAAGACGGCGCTGGGCGACGTCCTCGAGCCGGGCCGCGCCGAGCTCGTCGAGATGGACAACACGTCGCTGGCGAGCGTGCGCGCCGCGGCCGCGGACGTGCTGAGCCGGTCCGGCGGGCAGGTCAACATACTCATCAACAACGCGGGCATCATGGCGGTGCCGACGCTGCAGCACACCAAGGACGGGTTCGAGATGCAGTTCGGCGTCAACCACCTCTCGCACTTCCTCTTCTTCAACCTGCTGCGCCCCGCGCTCCTCGCCAGCGCGACCCCGGCGTTCTCATCGCGCGTGGTGAACCTCTCGTCGTCGGGGCACAACGTCTCGCCGGCCATGACGGAGACGGGCGACTACAACTTCGAGAAGGCGGGGGCCTCGGGCTACAACCAGTGGGTGGCGTACGGGCAGTCCAAGACGGCCAACATCCACATGGCCAACGAGATCGAGCGGCGGTACGGGTCGCGGGGGCTCCACGCCAACAGCCTCCACCCGGGCGTCATCTTCACCAACCTCATGCAGTTCATGGACCCCGCCCAGCTGGTGGAGATGGGCAAGAGCGACGAGGCGAGGCGCATGATGAAGTCGGTCGAGCAGGGGGCCGCCACGACGGTGTGGGCTGCGATCGGCAAGGAGTGGGAGGGCAAGGGGGGCGAGTTCCTTGCTGACGTCGGCAGGACGGGGCCGGCGGACGTCAGTATCCCAGAGCCCATGACCAGGGGCGGGTATGCGTCGTATGCGTATAACCCTGAGGCGGAGGCGAAGCTGTGGAAGGACTCGTTGAAGATGGTTGGGCTGGAGGATGATCTGTAGGTGGTTAGTATAAACGCTGAATAGGTAGCAAGATTGCGGTTGATATGAACAATTTGATGTTATGATTCCCATCTGAATCTCCGTTGACGTCGAGAGCAAGACATTGTCGAGACACTGGGTCTATTGCGGTGGTCGTAGCACACACAGCCAGCCCGTGCGGCCCAAAGAGGAACGGGTTGAGTGTTGAGTGTGGTCTGAGCGAGTGCAGTCAAGCAATGCCTATATACTTGGCATATATTGCAGATCAAGTGCACATTCGCTAAGACGGGAACGTCCACCTGCAGGGCACGCCATTCCCCACGAGGCAATGAGGCATATCTGGCAGCTGCTAGGTATAGCTCGTCTGAGGCTGGGCCGGTCCGTCAGACGGCATGGCCGAGGGGGAGATGCTGGGCTTTCGGTGAGCCTTTGACAGTGAAGGGTTGAAAAAATACTTGAATACTTAAGCAATCAAGTGAGTGGCAGGGTAGCATAAGATATTTCCATTGCACAGTGCCACCTGCTGCTGCTGCTGATCTGCCGGTAGGGCTGAGTCGATGATGGGGCCTGTAAGGTACCTAGGTACCTGGCCATCTGGGGTCAGGGTTACCCCTGCTCTGGAGCTAGTGCAGCAGCTGGACCCATGTCTGGTAGAAGCCAGGGTCGTGGCCCGTGGGGTAAAAAAAAGTTCGAGTTTGCTGAGGATGCGATTAGATTGCAGATAACCATCTTGATCAACTTCGCACTCCCCACCCCCCACCTTAACATTTGTGTGCTGCTTGTGTGTGCTTCCTCCTTCAACGAGGACAATCTCACCGCCACCAAAACAAAGACCAGGTCCCGCCACACTTCACACAATGTCGACCGTCGTACCACCGCCCTCGAAACGGCAGCGCCGCGAACAACTCGAGCGCACGCAGACGCAGGCCGACGTGTCGGCCATCCTGCCCCCCGACAATGGCACCTTCAAGGCGCGCTTCGTCGACGGCGACGGCAACCAGATGACGGACGTGGTCGAGGTGCCGCTGGCCGACGCCACCGAGAAGAACGTGTCGCTACTGCTCAACACGCTGCTGCAGCGCGACCGCGACGACTTCCTGCCCTACCGCTTCCGCGTGCACATGCCCAACTCGGCCGTCGTCGTCGACACCTACCCGGCCGACCTGCTCGCCCTGCTGCGCTCCCACGGCGTCGAGAACCCCTTCGAGACCACAATCACCCTCGCCGCCGAGCCCCAGGCCGTCTTCAAGGTCCAGTCCGTCACCCGCCTCGCCGCCAAGATCCCCGGCCACGGCCAGGCCATCCTCTGCGCCCAGTTCTCCCCGGCCTCGAGCTCCCTCCTCGCCACGGGGAGCGGCGACAACACCGCCCGCCTGTGGGACTGCGAGACGGGCACCCCCAAGCACACCCTCAAGGGCCACACCGGCTGGGTCCTCGGCGTCAGCTGGAGCCCGGACGGGTCGCGCCTGGCCACGTGCAGCATGGACGGCAGCGTGCGGATATGGGACCCCAAGACGGGGAACCAGGTCGGCGACGCCCTCAGGGGCCACTCCAAGCCCGTGCTGCAGCTGGCCTGGGAGCCCTACCACCTGTGGCGCGACGGCACCCCGCGCCTCGCCAGCGCCAGCAAGGACGGCACCGTGCGCGTCTGGGTCGTCAACACGGGCCGCACCGAGCACGTCCTGTCGGGCCACAAGGGCAGCGCGACCTGCCTGCGCTGGGGCGCCGGCGGCGAGGGCACGGGGCTGATCTACACCGGAAGCCACGACAAGAGCGTGCGCGTGTGGGACGCCGTGAGGGGTACCCTGCTGCACGAGCTCAAGGCCCACGCCCACTGGGTCAACCACCTCGCGCTGTCGACCGACTTTGTCCTGCGCACGGGCTACTTTGACCACACGCGCGACGTCCCCGCGACTGAGGAGGGGAGGCGCGCCAAGGCGAGGGAGCGCTTCGAGAAGGCCGCCGCCGCCGGCGCCGGCACCATCGCCGAGAAGGTCGTCAGCGCGAGCGACGACTTCACCATGTTCCTGTGGGACCCCGTCAACGCGGGCAAGAAGCCCCTCGCGCGCATGCTCGGCCACCAGAAGCAGGTCAACCACGTCACCTTCTCGCCCGACGGCGCGCTGGTCGCCAGCTGCGGGTTCGACAACCACACCAAGCTGTGGTCGGGGCGGTAAGCACGGCGCCCCTATTTATTCCCCCCCCCCCAAAGACACGTGCTCACTCTAATCATTTCCTTGTGCTAACACGACCGGCCGAAAACAGGGACGGCAAGTTCATAAACACCCTCCGCGGCCACGTCGCCCACGTCTACCAGTGCGCCTTCTCGGCCGACTCGCGCCTGCTCGTCACCTGCTCGCGCGACAACACCCTCAAGGTCTGGAACGTCCGCTCCTGCAAGCTCGCCGAGGACCTCCCCGGCCACGACGACGAGGTCTACGCCGTCGACTGGAGCCCCGACGGGCACAAGGTCGGCAGCGGCGGCAGGGACAAGGCCGTCAGGCTGTGGAGGAGCTAAGGGGGCGCGTTGGGGTGGATGTGCCATGTGAAGAGATAAGACAGGGACAGGACCCCCTTCCTCTACGGGGCTGCGGATGCCGCCCCTGAGCTGCTGCTGCTGCTACTGGCGGCCGTCCAGGCAGTTGGACCCGGCGCCACGTCGGAGCAGCCTGGAGGCCAAGCACACGGGGTACTGCCCACTGGCAGTCTTGTTGAATGCTGGATATGGCCCAGGAGTGCTAGCGTCCCGGCAGATCCGGCCCCTCGAACACAATACGATTCTGGGGGAAAAATTGGGGGCCAGGGCGCGCAAGGTGGCTCAAGCCCGACAGCTACTGCCCCGGAGACGACATGCTGGTGAGAGGGACGTGAGGCGTCAGATGACGGGGTGGAGAGCGTCTTGGGAGGGCATTGCCCTTCCTTCACGCCAGGGCGGCAGTGGGCGGTTCCATATTGGAACATCTGGGCGTTGGGCTGGATCAGTTGTAGAGACTCATTTCAGTCCGGTGCCAGAGTGTGGGGGCATGTCATGTTGCAAGGCAGATAGATAGATATGCAGACCATATAATACGATACCCCGTTTGCACAGAGATTCCTTCTCTCTCGACCTTCGGTGCTTATTGCCGTGCCATGCTTGGAGTAGAATGAACGGTGATGGCAGTGGTGTGCTCAGTACACGGAGTTGAGATATCTTTTCTTGTGTGGCAGTTCGTCGCGATTTCTTTTCATCAAAACGTAGAGACAAGCGAGGGGTTATTTGAGACGATGCACCTCGTGATTGTAGAGAGACGCCACATGCCTCTTGAACGAGCTAACGCATCTCGGCTATCAAGTAGCAGCCGCTGTGTGATTTGCAGTCGCCATATCTCAGCCCGATGCTGGAGAGACCTCAGAAGCTCTTTGGGGGACGCATGGAATGATTGTGGGCCATACAGTGTTATCACACGATGCTCTGTTCAAATTGAGAGACGCCATACTCTCTGCCGCCCTGTGTTATCATTACATCAGGGGCCCAGGGAGACGTACAGCGACAACGGTTATATTGTTAAGGGATGCAGTGTGTTGTTAATCTACTCTTGCAGCCTACGCCCTGGTCTTCCAATCAATTCAACAGGACAATAAATAATTGCAAATCTTTTTTGGGAAATAATTCATTGCGTATTTTTCAACCGCATGGATTCTACATCAACCACTATGCTTTCTCGGTCGTCCATTGCGCAGCTACATTTCCATCCTGCTTCACGAACGATCAGCAACAGCTCGAAGATAATCGAGCCGTGTTCAGCTATTCCCACTCGATGTTTGAAAACCCCGCTGGCGAGTGTTCCACAAGATCCTCCGAGCAATTAAAACATCACACCACTGGCACGTCCCGCGCCCATCCCTTCCCCCGAGCCCGAACAAGTCCGCCGCAGCCGGTCGGTCGGAGATGCATCATATCCGAGGGGATATGAGCGATTAATAACTTGCAGCCTCGTTTATTCACATACACACCCTCAGGCTGAGAGTCACGAGATAATTATGAGATGTCGACTGCGTGCTGTCGGGTCTTGCCGGGGTACTACCTATTTATGCCCACTGCTGACAAAAGCCACGGAGAACAAAATCACCCAATAGGCATCATAGACACATAGGTATCCAGATGACGAGATAATGCGCAAACAATGCCGAGATCTTTGGATCTGGCCCACTCCACTCGGGTGTAACTAACCGCGCGTGAAGAAACAGGGCACCTGGGCAGGGCGATAACTACCCGCCCGCTTTCGAGAGCCGAAGAAAAAGAAGAAAAAACCTGGAAGTGTGCATACATACCTAGGTAGCGTGCATATGCGGGCGAGATCTGACATCTCTTCTGGAACGTTGTTAGTGTACATGTCCCGAATATGGGGCCATCAACGCCTCCTGCGGCGTGAGACTGACAGGCTAGCGCTGGTACTAGTTAGCTCTGACCGGTCCGGGCCTTGCATCCGGGACCACGCGCGAGCGGGTGACGGAGGTATTATGGCATGTGAAAAGCAGCAGCAAGCTTTCCATGCTTGTGAATTTGTCCCTGGTGCGCATGGCCGGGCGGCTGGCTCCACCAGCCTGAGCTGTTCTAGACTCGCTCCTAACCTGGAAATCAGGATTGAGGAGGGAGGTTACAACTACTGTGTAGATGTTGCATTACCGTTGGACCAGGTCGGGCCTGGGTCTCCTGTCCCGGTGTCTTGGTTCTACACTATTGTTGTGGCGCGACCGGCTCGAGACTTTCCTTAGGAACAGGAGGCTTGACTTGTTTGGTGCCATTACACATGTCAACTGGTAGCAAGTGCTTCGGTTCAATGTTGTCTTGAAGCTGCAGCCGATCTGGCCATACTGTTCTCAGCTTGAGGATTGAGTTGCACGGGTTGGCTAATACTCTGCCAATTATTGGGTAATGGGGCTGGCATCTGGCTGGGTGGGGTCCGGATGGGCTCGAGGTTATCCTCCCACTACGTAGTGTGGAGGGAAACCTTACGGCTCCACTCCAGCCAGAGACGGAGTCGCATAAAGTTGTTCCAAGGTTCTCGGGAGACCAGACAGACAGACAGACAGCCTGTCGTCGGTTCTGGAAGCTCCTGCAGGCCAGGGGGGAGCTGTGAGTCTCGGCAGAAGCTCATGCGGGCCGGGGGCGGTCTAGAACAGATCCCCAGAGCTGTGCTGGCTGCAGGACTGCAGTCAGTTGCATGGGTGAGCTGCCATGCTCCAGCTCCAGCATCCCACCCCACAGAATTCGATCCGGGGCCATGGATGGATGGGGTTGCATTGGGAATAGCATCGTGAAAGGCCCCCTCCACCAGAGAAGCATGATGGGGCTTTCTAGAGGGTTCTGGCTTGTTGCTGCTTGCCCACCTTTCCCTTTCCCTTCCCTTCTCCTCCCGACAGGAGGTTTGTGATGTCTCGTTTCAGTCACCCACCATGGTTACACAACCTGCCGTGGTCAGGTGGTCCGGAGTGATACCAAGAAGCAGCCGCAGCCGCAGCACCTCGGCACCATAGGGGCGCAGTCAGGCCATCCGTCGGCTGCTGTGGTCGTCAGCTCCTTTCGGCCGGGGTTTGGAGGCGGAGAGACCCCAGCGTGAGGCCACACACTCCCCGGATGGACCTCCTGGAACAAGCAGTGTAGGGAGCACAGCGTTCCTGTGCTCCCCGCCGGCTCCCCGCTCGCACCGTCCTAGCTGCAGGCCTGCGGCTGATGGGTAAGTGCACACAACTTTGGTAACAGGGGTCCCGGGCAACGCATGGTGTCTGTTCTGGTCCGAGTCTCAATGTCTGCCGGCGAGACCCGCCGGTGTGGCCCTCTGGTGTTGAACGTGATCAATGCTCGATGCCAGAGCGCGCCCTGCAGTAGCGGCGGCCGAGAAGCTTCGACGGCGAATTCTAACCGGCGGGGGTTTCCTCATGGGCCAGATTGATGCCCAAAGACCTATTGGGCACCGGAGGAGCATGGACGAACACCATCAATGCGGAGGGACGGACAGCATTGATGGATGGGATGGAAGCATCTCGTTGATGCCGGGAGAAACGGTCCGCAAGGTACACGTATCTATCGATCTGGCTTGGGTCGTTGATCCTAAGCTTGACGTGTCTGCCTTGCGGTGACTCTTACCAGGTAATAAATCTGGCAATGGCAACGGCAACCGCAGGACAGGACTTTGATCGATCGCCATTGCAGCCGTGACTGGTTGGCCAGCCGCCCCGACGAGCCAGGAACATGGAAGAAGAGGCTACTGCATGCATCTCGTGGGATGCAACGTCGGGCAACCTTGGCATGGAAGGACGGGCGCAGGGCAGGGCAGGGTTCCAGCAAGCAAATAATAAGCCGGAGGAATCGCAGCCCTGATGTCGACTTTTGTCGCCTTGGATCTGTCGACTCGGACTTCCATTTGGTGTTTGTGTAGCATACCTACTACATGGTAGTACTTGCTGCTGGGCTGGAGCACAAAACCCCCTCTGCCTGTCCATGGGACTGAACCTGACACCGACACGCTCGGGCTGGAGTCATGGCGAGTCGGGCAGTGCCGGAAGAAACCGCGTCAGACGAGGTAGATCAGTCCCACGGGCCGCGGGCGCCTGCGTGCGCCGAGGAACTTGGACGTGAGAGGGAGAAACAGCGGGCGTGCACTCGCACGTAGCCCACCACGAGTCCAGGGACTGAGTTGCGACCGACGCGTGACCGGAAGAAAAAGTAAAAAAGAGAAACAACAGAATGGGGTTGTTGAAGAGGAAGATCCCGGGCCGGATAGTCTGATGTTGAGACGGGATGGATGGGTCCAAGGAGACCCGTGGACCCGCCCATGTACTTTGCTGCCCCCAGATTGTGAGGATATTTCTTCGTGAGGGTGTATTGGTAGCCTTCTGATTAGAAACATCTTGAACGAATAGGCAAGGCATATGAATTTGGAGGTGGCGTTGGGATATGTGCACTTGCCACGTTCTCAAACTTTAACACCAGGGGTGTCAGATTCCATCTCCAGCAGGTTAGGATGTTAGGATGGATGTCTGCACGTCTGGTGATGCTGCAACCTTCTCCGCCGCTCCACTTCCCCTCACGCTCCCTGGAACCCTGCTCGTCCAACCATCCACCACGTGTGCCGCCATGACAGGAACTCCCCGCCGTCCAGGCAAGCCCAAGGTCGAGTGCAACCCGCTTCCGAACTTCCGAGTGGGAGGGGGCAGAAAACCATCCGGCCTTGGTATGCACCTGTGCCAGCTGCCCGAGTAGTGTCTAGCTTGTGCGCCGTGGCGGAAAGTGGGAGTAGAAGAATAGAAATATCCAGCCGCCTTGGGATTGCAATAGCTCCCCACGTTGTTAGTGCTTCTTCCTCCTATCGATGCGATAACGACTTGGAGCAACCTCGACGGAGTAAACACTCCTCCACCGGGCCCAGTCCCAGCCTCAGCTTCCACCGAGTACCACACCTTTCCATGCAGCATACTATACTCTCCTCTTCCTAGGCCAACGAATTCTCGAGCTGCCTTGTTTCTGCATCGACTAGGAAACCTGTTGCTATTTGCGATCTGATCGGATTGTGATCGATGCATGGCCGGATCAAAACCTCCGTTATCGATTAAGAAAACTCAAAAAAAACTCTCGAGTTGGTATCGATAAGGACCACTTCACTCGGCCGGGGTGAGGTGTGAATGACGACTTGGAGATAGTTCGACAGCCTTCTATCGTCTCTGTCCGTTTTCACATATATTCGGGAGGCCAGCCCAACTCTCTACTCAGGACTCATGTGACGTTATTGAGGGGCCTCGTCTCTCTTGACTAGAGAATACGCAGTATCTCTTGTTGTTTCTCGTTCTCCCGCCGACATCCTCAGCAGACAAGCAAGCCCTCAGTCCAGCCGCCCACCATCGTCGAAACGGACCGGGCCTCTTCGAAGCAGACCTACTACGCAGAAAAGAATCCACAACTAGTAGGCCCAACGGGGTCCCATCGCGCAGCCTCTCAAACGGGCCAGACAGGCCAGACGTACCAAGGCCCTGCAAGATCGTCAGCGAGTTCCCACACTAAGGCCTGACCGATCCGTCCCTAGGCCCAGAGTTAGTAGGCCCAGTTGCACCCACGTCAAGATTATCTCACCCGAAACGCTTCAACCTGGCTCAACTGCTTGCTAGCTGCAGCTGCCAGCCAAGCTGGCTGGCTGCCAGGCTGCGTACCTCTGGACTAGCTCGCCTCGAATGTGTACTGACCAGAGCTGCAGACAAAGAAAATAATTCTGGGCTAAAACGATCGACGACGTGTGCATTGGTTATTGTCCAATATACCCCGGCCATTCTGAGGTGTAAGTGACCATTGCTTGGAATTCCACAGCAATCCCCTGTCACTTCAACAAAAAAGAAGAAAAAAAAAAGAGACCCCAAGTCCCACAGCCCACGGGCCAGAACTGGAGTCCACCTCAGCTGCAGTACTTAGTACACATTCGTTCACAACTTGACGTACGGCAAGCTACGTCACTGGAATTTTTTGCCCCCAAAATTTACACTTGAATGCACTGTCTATTGTACTCAGTCAGCAAACCTCCATCATTTCTCACACCCTGATTTTCATTGTTCCTCTACTCGACTGCCATCTTTGCTGATCTGTTCTCTGCACAGAACTTTAAGAAAGTGAAACACGGACCAGGAGCAGCACTCGGCCTCCCAGACAAGGAAGGCCCCAAGGACAACCCTTTGTTTAGCTCCCGAGCCCCGGACCTGCCTCACAACCCGAGTACCTCGAGTACCTTGGTACCTCTGCACGACTGCGTGACTGCCTGCCCCACGGCACTTGCCGTGCCAGCCCTGCACCTGCAACCCCAAATTTGGCAGCGGCAAGACGCATCAGCCAGCGAGGAAGCTGGGTCCCCTTGCAGCTCTGCCACCCACCATCAGCCATCAACTTTGCACCCGACGTCAGCCCGACCCGATTTCTCCCTCTTCTTACACCAGATTCGGCCACAGCTTGTCTGCTTGTCTGCTCAACATCGCACCCAGTGCCTCCCACCCCACCATCTTTAATCACCAGTGTGGCCTTCGTTTTCTCTGGTCCCCTCCCTAGACAAAAGCACTTTTCCTTTGGACTGCCTTGCATCTTTGTCATAGACTTTCGAGTTAGACCTCTTGTCCGAACCAAGAACCAACTGCGGCGCGACCATTCCTCAACTCTTCGGTGTGTTTCGAGGACAACACTTGTGTTTCGCATCACTTCCTGCCTTCAGTTCGACCACCACAACCAGCTCAGGCGCGCATAGACTTTAGAGCTCAGAGCCTTCTCGACGATACCATTTCAACTACCAAAGACAACTGGATCCACTGCCCCAGTCCAACGGCAGCACAAGTCTCGCCCGACCGACCCGACCGACGTCGAAAAGAAAAATCCAACCAACCTTTCAAAGCTGCATGGGATATTCACATTGCCATACAAGAATCTGATACCTGAGGCCCAACATGACGGTCTTCATAGCCTCACTGTGAGTCTTTCTGTCCGCACAATCATTTTCCTCCACATGTTTTGCAACGGGCGTGCATCATACCACAACTCGGTGTAAACAGCTGAGAGGCGGCCATTGGACCCACACCACCTCTACGTCATTATTGAAGCAGTGTTGCCAGAGTGCTAACAGCCATTGCCTATGCCACAGCTTCCTCCCGAAGACAGTCCATTTTACCCTACCTGGCGTCCCTTCGAAAAACGCAAAGCTACTGCCCGAGAACCCTGCCAAAAAGAAACCCAGGCCCCAGGCGCAACGAGCACCACCGAGCCTCTTCCCTGTCCCAAATGCCGACATCACTCCACCAGACAGCCCAGTTGACGACCAGCCCGCTGATGGCATCTTTACCAACGAGGATGGCCTGCGCATCCACTACCACGCCAAGGAGCACCAGTCTCCAGGCTGCGAAACCAAGCCCGAGCCAGGCCCTGGCTACCAGGGCTCTCCTGTCTGGGGTAGGAGGAACGATCAGCCTGTCTCCCGTGCCAACACCCCGCCTCCTTCCTCAATCCTCGAGCATAACAAGCAGTTGAAGGCCAAGGCACAAGAGCTTGGGCGCCAGGGCGTTGTCCAGCCTCGCGCCCTCCAGAGAAGCGACAGCCACGACCGCGTCTTTGCCCACGCTGACTGGAAGGTTGTCCATGCCGACCAGGGCAATGGGGGCTTGCGACATGCTGCCGACGCAGCCATTCGCGAAGGGAAGCTGTCTGACGTCACCTGGGTAGGGACCCTGGGCATGCCCACAGATGCCCTCGAGGGCACTCAGCAGAAGCAGGATATCGAGGACCGCCTCGCGACCGAGTTTGACTCGCTCACAGTCTTCTGCAGCGACAAGGACCTCGATGGCCACTACTCGCATTTCTGCAAGCAGATTCTCTGGCCTGTCTTCCACTACCAGTTGCCAGACAACCCCAAGAGCAAGGCCTACGAAGATCACTCGTATAAGCATTACGTCAATGTCAATCGAGCATTCGCAGACAAGATCATCAGGAACTGGAAGAGGGGCGACGTCATCTGGGTTCACGACTACCACCTGCTGCTTGTGCCTGGCATGGTCCGCGAGAAGCTGCCCGACGCCAAGATTGGCTTCTTCCTGCATGTCGCTTTCCCCTCGTCAGAGGTCTTCCGCTGTCTGGCCGTCCGAAAAGAGCTGCTCGAGGGCATGCTCGGCGCCAACCTGATCGGCTTCCAGATCCACGAATACACGCGGCACTTCCTGCAGACCTGCAGCCGCCTGCTCAATGCAGAGGCGACCCCTGATGGCCTGCACCTAGAGGACCGTTTTGTAGATGTCATCAACCTCCCCATCGGAATAGACCCCGTGAGTCTGAGCGCGCATCGGGAAGACCCCGCTGTCAAGAGGTGGCTTGATGTGCTCCGGGAGCGTTACGCCGGCAAGAAGCTCATCGTGGCGCGAGACAAGCTGGACCATGTCCGAGGCGTCCGCCAGAAGCTCCTCGCCTACGAGCTCTTCCTCAACACCAACCCCGAGTGGCGAGGAAACGTCATATTGATCCAGGTCGCCCTGTCTTCAAGCGAGAAATCAGAGCTTGACGCGACTGTGAGTGATATTGTCACTCGCATCAACTCATCTTATGCAAATCTCGCGTACCAGCCGGTTGTGTACCTGAAGCAAGATATCGACTATGCTCAATACCTGGCCCTTCTGTCCATTGCTGATGCGCTCATGATCACAAGCCAGCGCGAGGGCATGAACTTGACCTCGCATGAGTATCTCTACTGCCAGGACGGCAAGCACATTGGCGAGAAAAAGCATGGCTCCCTGATCCTGTCCGAGTTCACGGGAACTGCCTCCCTTTTCGGCGGCAATGAGCTGTCTGTGAACCCATGGGACTACAGGGCGTGCTCCAATGCCATCCGAAAGGCCCTGGACATGAGCAACGAGGAAAAGGAAGAGCGATGGACCAAGCTCCACAAATGCATCATGCAGCACACTGGTGCTCATTGGTTTACCGAACTGATGACGCGCCTGGACCACGCGCATGACGAGCAGCATCGCCATGATCAGACATCTGTCCCGCGCCTCAACGTGAACAATCTGGTAGAGAAGTATCAAAAGAGCGGACGCCGCCTGTTCATTTTGGACTACGAGAACACGCTGGTCAACTGGGGTCCTGTGAACCAGATCATTCCTTCCAGCCCACAGGTAAGTCTCCATATCATGCGCGCCAGACCACGGCGAGACGTATTTGCTGACACGAGGCACCGCAGCGTACCCTGGATACCTTGAACGAGCTTCTCCTGGACGAGCGCAACATAGTATATGTAATGTCTGGTCGGCGGCCCGAGGAGCTGGACCGTTTGTTCCGACGCGTCCCTAACCTGGGTCTCATCGCCGAGAACGGTTGCTTCCTCAAGGATTGCGGCAGTGACGCGTGGACTGAGATGGCAAACCCCGAGCACATCCGGGCGTGGAAGGAGTCGGTTAAGGGAATACTCAACTACTACCTGGAGCGCACACCGGGTGCCGAGATCGAGGAGCGCCGCTGCAGCCTGATCTTTCACTACAAGAGCGCCGAGGACTGGGAACACGCAGTCAGCCAGGCGAGTGACTGTGCCTCGCATATCAACGATGCCTGTGAGAACCAGCGTGTCCACGCCATCGCCACTGACGGCTCAATAATCGTGGAGCCGGTGGATTGGACCAAGTGTACCGCCGCGGAGAGGATTCTCGAGGACCTCATGAGTCGCCTGCCTGCGAACGACAACACACACAAGGGCCCTGTGGACTTCCTGATGGTGGTCGGGGACGGGAGAGACGACGAGAAGGTCTTCAGATGGGCCAACAATCTCGGAAACGACCAGGTCGTCAAGGACGTGGTCACCGTCAGCTTGGGCAACCGCAACACCGAGGCGACCGCCACCCTAACGCAGGGTGTTTCTGGTGTTTTGGTGGTGCTCAACCGGCTGGCGTCCGCCACCGCTGAATGAGCCCGTCGCGTTTGGCCAGGCCTAGGTTGATTGCAGAAGTCACTTTCGAAGATGCCCGAGTTAGACTTGCGCCGTCGCACGTGGAGACGCCCGGAATGGGACGCTACGGCGTCAGCAGCAATTGGGGTTTTATTTCCCAACCCTGGGCTACCTTGTCGAACGCCGCCTCGTCGCACAGTCCTTCTCTTTCCGTCGCCAATCTTTGTGGCGCCTCCACCCCCATGGGGCTTGGCGACAGGGACCGTGGTCTCATCGGTCAGCCCCGTCTGCGCGACCTGTCAGTTCTTTTGACGGACAGGCTATTTCGAGCAGCACAGGGCCAGGCAGGGGCCGGCGAACCTCGACCGAACAGTTTCTACATGCCCTGCTCCTTGCAACAACCCTTCTCTCCTCCTCACATGACCGTCCGCTCATGCACGTCTGTCTCACTGTGGCTAGTGGGACTGGTGTGGTGTAACCGCCACTCATGCGCGGTACAACGGCATATTCTTGTGGTGTTTCCTGTAGCAGTATCCTTGTTTGTGGTATTTGGTTCTTCTCATTATGCGTACTCTCTCTTCTCTCTCTCTCTCTTTCTGGTTAACCTCATGATGAACACAAAAGCATGGCGATCACGGCACAAATGGTAGTTTCTTGTTTTTAAGGATATGAATGATGGAAAGGAAATGCTCTCACACCCAACCCCTTGTGCTACTTGGAAAAAAGGGCTCGGTGGTATGGATGGATGCCTGTCAGAAGAGTCTGGACACTTGTACGATTGATTGTTGGATAGACGGCGACTCCCCCCGCGCGCTTGTGTGTGTGTCCTATGGATGGGAAGGGGTAAATGAAAGTCTGCCATTCGTGGTGTGGTGTTTGAAAACGAACATGCGTGTTTCCGTGCGGGCGTGCGTTCTCCCCTTTGTCTGGCCAGCATGGTTTGATTAGACTACAGATGCGTGCGAGGGTTGACTGCTATCAGGATCAGATCACATCACATCAAAACACCACCCGCACACATCAACAACACCCCACTCCTCCAAAACCCAACATTACATCATCAAAGATCCGGCCGGGGATAGCTGGTTTCCCCCCGGGGCATTTTCCCCGTTGTACTTTGTACTTGGTTTTCTCTCCTCCAGCAGCACCGTTTTTGCTTTTTTTGATTCATCCAGACTATCCAGACTACTTACTTACTACCTCTGTACAATTAGGATCAGGTTAGGTTAGGTTAGTCCTTCCAAGAGCTCTCAAGCAATCGGAGTTTATGAGTTTGCTCCTCTCTCACTCTCTCTACCTCCATGCCTCGGACTTTGGTGTCTTATCTGCGGTGGTCGCATGCATGACCCCGGGACCGGTGTAGGTGGGCTTGCTAGGGTTGCTGCTAACTTGACCTATGCCGCGGTCCCTCTTGGCGTGTCTGTGCCTAGCTTGGTGTGTGTAGGTAGGTGGGTAGGTATGTATGTATGTAGGCATGTATCATCGAGGGTGGTGTTCATGACGAGGCCATCACCAGCCACTGGCATCGACGCCTACCTGACTAACTAACTACCTAGGTATTTTGGACGGCGTAGTCAGTCAGTCAGTCAGTCCGTCCGCCTTGCCTTGCCTGGCGCATTCCTGCTACCACCGCAACCGCGATACCCACGGCCGCGGCTGGGGGACTTTCCCCCCGCCCTTTCTTTCTTTATTTTTGGGCACGGTGTCGCCGCTTGTCCTCCCTCTGTTCTTGTATCTGCCTTCTGTCTCCCGTCTTGCTAGCCCCGGCTGCAAGCGGCGGGTATCTTGTGTAGGTAAGTAAATCCAACCACCATGCTAACCTTGGAACTCTTAGTACTAGCACAAACGACGTCAAGGGCCGCCCAGCCCAGGCGGCCGTTTACAGAAATAGCTTCTTGATCCCATTCTATATCCGAACAACCCCCTAGCCATTCATCGACGCCTCCTGCGGAGTGGTAACGTTGGTGGCGTGGCAGGCGTGGCGTTCGTTCGTGCGCTGCGCTGCGTGCGTTGCGTGCCAACCGTCGATCTCGTCGACGCCCGACCGACACGCCGGACTCCACCGACGGCGAAGCTGGCTGGCTGGCTGGCTGGCTGGCTTGCTGGCTGGTCTCATTCCGTTTGGTTCGTTTCGTTCGTTCGTTTCCGGCACACATAGACAGGCAGGCAGGCAGGCAGACAGACAGGCAGACAGGCAGACAGACATGTGATCGATGAGAGAGATGAGAGTTGATGAGAGGAGATCGATCTCGAGGGCCTTGCCCCCACGCCCCTCCAGTGCCTATCTGCCTCCCTCTCCCTCCTTCCCTTGCTTCTTTGCCCACTGCCCCGGGGATCGAAAACGCGATCTTGCCTTATTGCCGGTCTGTATGTATGCCTGCATATGTGTCTGTGTGTGTGTCTGTGTGTGTGTGTGTGTGTCCAAGTACATACACCTCTAGATCTAGAAAACTCCCACGACGGACCCTAGCTACGGATCTCGACGATCGCCGGCGGCCCTTCTGTAGCGACGGCAGCCCTCGACAATCTATCCATCTACCTGCCCGCTTCCGGATGTGATGAGTTTCTACGCTGGCCTTTTGTTCACACCTTCGGCCCCAGGGGGGCTCGCAGCTCGAGTGCCCTGCCTGCCTCGGGGGGTTGCCTGGGGTGCCGGTCTGGGCTGGGCCCGGCTGGAATAATTGCGCTGGACCAACACACACAGGTTCTTCACCTCTCTCTGTCTCTCTCTCTCTCTCTGTGTGTGTGTATTTCTCCGCCTCATCAATCAAGACGAGACCCATCAAGAGACGAGATGAGCACCCCTTGCTCCGTGCTCCTTGCTGGACCCCGTCGGGAATCGACGGCCCCAACCAACCAACCCTTGCAAGGATTTCCCAGGCCGGGCTAGGCCCGGCTGTTGTCTGTCTGCTCTACTCCGTACCTAGCTAGGCTAGCACGGCGTGCGTCCGGAGTTCTGCAGGTAGAAACAAATGCTGGCTTTGCTGCTGTGGCTGTAGCCCATCGCCCCGTCGCCCAGCCCCGGGGGACGTCTGTCCATCCCTCCTATCCCATCCTATCCCATCCCATCGAAAAGGGGGTAGCCAGATAGGGAAGTGGCTTGTGACGGACGCAAGAAATCTCCAACTACAATGCCACGTGAAAGCCGTAAACGTTCCTATCACAATCGCTCCCGTGTACGGCAACAAGGTCCTTTGGGGAGCTAGTGCCCGGGTTGCAACGTCGAATTTCTGCGTGGGGTTTCCCTGCCCCGGGCCAGAGGGAGCTAGGAGCTAGCCAGCTGCTGTTGTAGTGTGGTGTAGCGTGGTGTAGGGCAGCGAGCTCAGCCAGCCCGGGCCTGAGCGGGTGCGGGTACCCATCAGTGACATATGTCAAAGCTATTGTGTTCGTCTGACAGCTCCAAATAGGGGGCTAGCCTCAGCGCACGCACGTGCTGGGCGCCGGCTAGTGTTGAGACCCGGGGGCTCAGCTGGCCCAGGTGGTCGGCCCCAGAGCGAGCACAAGAGAGAACGGTCAAGTTGCAGTTCGGCTCAGTTCATACCCAGGGCCGGTCGGGTGGAGTGTGTTGTGTACTGTACACGACCGACTGTACGCCCAGCCAGCCGTGGGTCCTCGCTTCATGTTGCCCGGCAGGCCGGCCAGGGCTCCACCTTGTGGGGCCTGGGGGCAGGGCTTTACTTTGAGTTAGGTCACCCTGGCAAAACTGTGGGTGCATGGCAGGGGCAGCTGCAGTGCCGCTCGCGCACATGATGTGCTACTGCTGTACGTTGTCCGACCTGCCCAGGTGGTGCTTGGGCGTCTAGGTGCATGGAAGTGACAGCTCGCTTCAGTGTGCTCCGCAGCCTTCCATTCCTTTTCCTCATCGCCGTTGTTGTCTCAGCGCGCGGGAAGCAGTTGTTGGCTGCGGCAGGGATCAGATATCTCTCAGGGACTCGGCACTGTCACTGTGCAGGCTTCATAATTAGCGCAATACATTTGTTCTCAGAGGTGTCCTCGTCGCCTCCGACCTATAGTTTGCTGGCACACTACACCCACTGGGCGTCACAGCAAAGGCGGTGTTGCTCAGCTGTAGGGCTTAGCATGAGATGCAGATTCAGCGCGATGGGCGCCCTCGTCCCCCGCCAGCACACCCACACACGTTAATACAAATCTCGGGAAAGGGGTCTTGCGGTTGGGCAGAGTGGATACAGACCTGCAGCTGCTTTCCACTCCCAGGACCAACAGGACAGCAACACGGGTTCTTCAAAACAGCAGCCTGTTGCCATGAGATGTGTTGGGGAGGTCTCAGACGCACCAGTGGATCGACCCTCATCAAGACCGACCGTGATAGATCGATTTGACAGGGCTGGTGGAACGGGGGCAGAACCACTGCAAACCGCGTGTTCGTCCGCATTCCCCGAGCCACCGCCTCGACCAAATGCCGCAACAACCAACTGCACGGCCCCATTCTCTTCAATATTTGCATCATTCTATTTCTCCAGACAAGAGAGAGTGGAATGTGATGCATCATACATTCAATTGTGGATCGCTGCTCGGCGGCGGTCCGGCGACAGCCTGGGCTATTATTGCATCCTGTCTAAACCCCACACTGATCGCTGCAGCGCGGGGGCCCTGGAGGTACTGAACAGAACGAACCAGTTGGTGTTGGGGAGGGGAGGGTTTGCAGAGATAGCTCTGTCGTTGTGATAGCTCGTATTTCAGACGACGCAACGCGCATGGTGGTACATGGCTTCTAGGCTGGCGAGGCTCAACGCGGCTCTTCGATAAGAGCCATCAGATTGCTTGCGAAATTTCGTGGAACCTGGTCCGTCTTTCCGGTAGGGAAATGCAACCCTGTTCCTAGGCAGCGAGCGGACTGTGTCCGTGGAGTGCGATCGATGCTCGGGCGTGGGGAAGAGGAAGCCCAATTTCCGTGCTTCCCCCGGGGAGCGGAGAGATTGGGACCTCGCGACGTCAATGTTGTGTACTCCGTATAGTAGCCTAGCCGTTGGATGCGGCCCGGTCTCCTCTAAGCGACAACGGCATGGGATGCCAGTCTCGGCGGAAGAGGGCCGTTGTCTCTGATTGGCCGCGGACTTTTCCGTACAGGGCTGGTTTCCCGCGCGAGGTTAGGTTACACTGCACCGATGCAACCATCCCCGGTTGGCATTCGGCTGCGTCAGAGGTTGAGCCCTATTTTCACCACAACTGCGCTATCTCCAATCGAGAGGAGCATGACCGGCTGGCAGCGCCTTGGTAGTGCAGGTAGTCGATGGATGTAGCAGTGATGGATGGGCTGGGAAACGATGGGCAGTAGACAAGAGATGATCCATGCCAGATCCCCCAAGCCAGCCCTCGCTCTCTCTCGCTCGGACCGAGATGGCTCGTCCTCGGGCCCAGTCAAGGGCGGGCAGGACAAGATAACCAGCGCAAGACGCAAATAGCAGTCCCCGGTTGCGTGTTGGCGCACTGATTTGGCAGTGGCCGACCAATCTAACGACCTCCCGTCCTTGTGGTAAGGCTTAGGACTGGTGGGAACCGGTACCCGAGAGCGCCTCGTTTTGGGGGATGGGGTGATCTCTGCAATGCGGTAACACACAAGTTCTCCACACGTATTCCTGCCTGGAAGGGGCATATCTTAACACTGATGCATCCTTCTCAGTGCCAGGGATCACTCGTCGTGGTGGTGGTTGCCCTTGGGCAGGCAAGCAAAGATGGAGGTGTCAACTTTACCTCGCAGTAGCAACCCGGACGACTGACTGCACGCACCCTGGCTAGCCCAGCACTAATCTGGATGGCTTCCGCACTTGAGCTCACCCTAGCATTCATTGTATGTGCGTTTCGAGTACCGTCGAGCGCGCACGAGGCATCGAATCCGCGTATCGCCGCTGTGCGACGCATAGAACAAAATGGACACCACCCCACAGTCTTCCCTGCAGGCGATACTGTGGCGTCGACCCCACATGCGCCTTGCGATGACAAGACCTCATCACCGCAAACAGACAGGTTCTAGGCTGAGGGCGACCCCGCAGGGCCGCAGGCTCAGGGCTCCAGCTCATCGACCAGCCCAGCCGCCGTGCAGTAGATGACAAAGGACATGCCACGGCTCCGCCACGGCTCACCTGGGCACCCACCCACGCATCTGGCATGGTCCGCCCCCAACTGCCGGGTCGACAGCCTTTTCAACGCCTGCAAGCTGCAAGTTTGCATGGGCTGTGCGATCACTTGACCCTGCAACGGCAGGCTCCGTGACGTGGCTCTGCCATATCGAGCTTCGTCAAGCCGTGCGAGAGGAGTGAGCTGCCCGCCTGGTGGTATGGCAGCTTTCATCCAGTGTTGCCCAGGTCACTACAGACACCACCACCATTGAGACCTCGAGCTGAGATCCACAGCCATGTCAGGGAAGGCCAGTCTCGAAGGCTGGATGGTAGCGCTAGGATCGACGCTGGCACGCAGCTGCTCACGGATTGGCAGCACCAGGGGTGAGCAATTGGGAATGTAAGGTCCCATTGTGCCAAGAGGTTCTTTCTTGGAACCTACCGTCCGCTCTTTTCCCCATTCCCCGGATCACCAAGTAACCGCCCTTAGCGCGAGTCGACACACGAGGTAACCATTCCGTCGCGCGGCAAAAATGGTGTGTAGACGCTGCCCGGCCTCGTGCGAGGGCGCAAGCATTCCTGGGGTCTTCCTTGCCAGATCGGCGACATGTGCTTGCTCGCCGTGTCGACAGACGGCGACGCAGTCGTTGATCTCCTTACCACGAGTCGGCAAGGACGCTTGTATGCCGCGTTGTATTTCCGTCAGCCGTTCTTCTTTGATGGCACCGCGGGCTAATAGACGTTGGTGATTGCCCTATCATAGACCGTTTGTGTCAATTTCCCACCGCTTCTTTGATAAGCCCTCGTTCTGGGCAGGATTGCGAGCGGCAGACTGAGGTGAGCCGCTTCCTGAGGATCCACAAAGTGAAATGACCAAGCTCGCAAACAACGAAGCTCGTGGGCCTTCCAGGCGGAAGCCTTAGAGCCCCATCCACCCTCTCGGATTCGCCTCGTGACGTCTGACAATGACTGGCCCGTTGCACCAAGAAGATGCAAGGAGGGCCGTGCGCCGGCCGTACAAGGCTGATCCGCGGTACAATAAACCACAGACAAATCGGTCAGGCAACTCGGGTACGAAGCAAGTGTTCCTGAACCCTTGACTTGCATGTCGACGCGGGCTCAAAAGGGAATGGGCGGAGTAGGTGGGGGGGCGGCCGAAATTATCGAGTGATATAACACACGAAACTCCCAACCGCATGCCCACCCCCCCATGATTCAGGACCCCCCTGTCACCAACGTTGAAAGGACACAGCTTGTCCCTGTGCTGGATTGCCTCGAACATCATAGCCAACACCGTCTGCCGGACAGCACCGTGTCCCGCCGAAACAGGAAAGGTGAGTCCAAGTAGGACCAGCCGCACCCTCCTCGCTCACTCACATCCACGCTTGATCCAACGAGGTCGTTCAGGTCGACGGTTGTTGATATATTGGGAGTGGCTCTGCTTTCCACCACCCAAGGGCTTCGATCCTGTCTTATTTAAGTTCTGGGGGTGTATCCAAGCTTCTCGCCCGTCCCGGACTTCTCATCTGCACCGTCAAAGAAAGCTTCACAACCTCGTCGGGTACATATAGGCCTGACTTGTCTTACCTTCAGCCCTACTTTTGACTTGACCCGCACAACGTGCTTCTCTAGACGCACAAGTCTTGTACTATCGTGCTGCCCCACAAAGGAGCCCTCTCGGTTGACGGAAGCACTTGCGTTACCCAGCCGCCTCTGCCACGTCAGTCAACAGGACCGAGATGGCACCATCCCTACCATCGTCGTCGGAATCTCCAGAAGACTGGAGCAGCAGCCTCAGTGACTGTGGAGCCAGCAGCTCAAGTTCCACCGCGGCTTCGGTGATGACATCCAATGACTACTTGGATTTTTATTCAACCCCGGGCCCTTCTGCAGGAATGGAGCCACCGAGTCAACAAGGGCGGGCCGCGCCCGTGGCTCTTCTCCCAAGCTCCGGCACAGCCACATCCCCGTCCACACGGCATGGTGGAAGCAGGCAGCAGGTCGTCGCAGCTGACGGACAGCTCAAGCCGTACAGCCCCGCGAGCAGCCCACATCGAAAGCGCTATGCCACTGAAGACGACTGGCGGGCCCACAAAGACAGGATCACCTCTCTGTATCAGAGAAAGCGCCTCAGAGACGTCCGAACGGTAATGGCAACTCAACATCAGTTCTTCGCCACAGAAAGAATGTACAAGGCACGGTTCAAGGAGTGGGGCCTCGAAAAGAATGTGACAGCAGCAAAGGTACACAAGCTGATGCAGAAGGTGGAGGAGGCGGGCCGAACAGAGGGGAGCCCGTCAAGATCTGGCGGAAGAATCGGCAGCGAGCGGGTCGTGTTGGATGTGGGCGAGGACCTGGACGTGCGACGTATTCAGAAGTATATGAAGCGCAAGCCTGCGGGGCTTGATAAGCTGCCGGCAGCGTCCAAGAGATCGCTGGAGGTGATCAAGTCCTTGTCGGTGGACGGTGGGAAGGGAGGCTCTGGCCGGGTGAAGGTGTCAATCCCTGTGGTGAAGCTTCACCAGCAACGCGAGCAGAGCCCGTCGGAGTTTTCGCTGTCAACCTTCTCCGTGGACTGGCCTTCAGGACCGGACCTGCCGAGCGACATCATCGGGCTGCTCCAAGCCTTCATAGACCACCATTTCGACTGCCCGTACCCCTTTACATCAATTGGAAACTCGACAGTCATGCAGCTATGCCGGCATGACGAGACGATGTTGGACATCGCCCTCAAGTTTCGGATCGCGCACATGCTTCTGGACAATGGGTTGGCGAGTGAGTGCATGCGGATCGTCAACGTGTGTCTCGAGTCGTTGGCATTCTGCATACAACAGGCACAGCACGCAAGCCCTTTCGACACACGGCCGGCGACGCAGCTGATTCTGTGGGCTCTGTCGATAGAGTCCGAGATGATGAGTGATTTCAGGCACTCGTCGAACAAGGTAGTCTCGCAAATGGTTTCGGAGCGGCTGGCAACTCTCTGTGCCGGATACCAGCCCACGATGGCAGAACTGGCCAAGCGGGTATCCCAGCTCAGATCGCCTGGGCAGACAGCGATTTTGAAGCTGGCGAGATGTTCGATCTCGCAAGCACTGTCCGTTGCTGCCGAGTACGAACCTGCATTCGAGACATATTCCAAGACAGTGGAGATTGCCGAGAGCCCGCTGTCAGCCGAATACAAGTTTCAAGCACTCCAAAGAATCACAAGCAGCCCGATGGTGCGTAGCTCGCCATTCTTGGAAGGGTGGGTGGAGAGCCGCATAGCTCTGTCAGCAGCCGAATCGACATCTCCATCGGTCGAGGCGCTGCAGTGGTACGGTGAAGGCTCGTCCCCGTCGTGGCTGGCTCAGGGACATGGCAAGATGGAAGAAGTGATTAACGCCCTAGAGGTCAGATGTAACTGGCACAAGGCGGCAGGTAACTGGCAAGTGGCACAGCAGCTTGAGAGCCGGTATGGGTCGATAGTCCAAACCGTGTGGGGTTGCAACGAGACTGCGCCGCAAGGCATGGGAGGCAACCTCGACATCTGCTGGAGCTCCTCCGAGCCCATGACGAGCTCCTTGGCGCCGGTAGAGCCGGGCGGTTTCCACATGGCGGCCCCTGACATGACGGTCAGGATGGGTCATGTGGTGGGTGATATTCCAGGCGAGATGCCAGGCTGGGAAGAGATCCAGCCGTCGCCCCAGCAGCAGCAGCAGCAGCAGCATCAAGCCCAGATGTCGTCGCAGGGAGGGTCTTCGTCGACATCTCCTTGGAGTGCAGCAGATGCAAGTCAGTGGCAGATGGACCCCGACTTTGGGACAGACCGGGGGAGGTATGGTGGTTCATATTGAGGTCGGCTTTCTGATATTTGGTTTGGGGGGGGGGGCGTTCGGAGTTCTCGGGTGGTGGTGTGAAGGTGAAAACTTTTTGAATCAAACCTTGGAAGTCAGCTAGGGGGACAAAATGAAAAAGCATAGAGTAGCAACTGAAAAGGGCAACTGTTGCACCGTACATGACGTGACCTGTAGCCTACAGAATCGAATGTGCCTTCCCGCATGAAACCCATGCACCTAGCACCTAGGTACGGAGGTACCCGCCTCAAGACCCGTGCGTAACCCCGGATCTGCCAATCGCACCCCACCCCCCACCTCTTCCCGAGACCCTGACTCAAATGCGCATTGCCCACTCACGGATGGCTGAAGGGCCCGCAGTCCGCAATCGGAGGGGCTTACTTTACCATGGTAATGTTCAGTCTGGCTTCCACCGACTTTATGACTGTTTGTGTTTGTTTACAAGATCCTCGACAACATCAGACGCCCAACTATACACCACTCAACTGCTTTTGATAGTTGCTGCATCTGTAGCTGCCGAGTTATCCAAGCCACCTGGTAGACAATTCATCCCATCTCTGCCTGTTCTCTGTCTGTCTGCTCGTCACCTTCGAAGCTCGAGCTCTTGGCTGACCGTGCCTGATTGTGGATACTTAGGGACTTGGTAGCGACTCCACGGCGCTCGACGACCACGCCCTAATCGACCTTCACGATGCCTTCATTCCCTCCGCCACCTTCGACCGCCCTCGATTGGGCCAACATTGGCTTCCGTATGCACGAGGGTATGTCAATTGGTTCCCTCGGCAGCGTGCTGTACACCGCCACCAGCTGACGATGTTCCCTGTTCCCTCCCCTTCCAGTCAACGGCCACATCGAGTCCCACTACTCCCACAAGACCGGCAAATGGACGCCCCTCCAGTTCGTCACCGACCCCTACATCCGCATCCACGGCATGGCGCCCGCCCTCAACTACGGCCAGCAGGTCTACGAGGGCCTCAAGGCCTTCCGCACCCCCGGCGACGGCTCCATCCAGGTCTTCCGCCCCGACCGCAACGCCGCCCGCATGCAGCACAGCGCCGAGTGCGTCTCCATCCCCCCCGTCCCCGTCGACATGTTCGTCGAGGCCGTCAGGGCCGCCGTCGCACTCAACGCCGAGTGGGTGCCGCCCCACGACACGGGCGCCGCCATGTACGTGCGGCCCCAGCTCTACGGCTCCAGCGCCCAGCTGGGCCTGAGCCCCCCCGAGGAGTACACCTTTTGTGTCTACGTCCTGCCCACCGGCGTCTACCACGGCGTGCACCCCGTGCGCTGTCTCATCCTGGACGACTTCGACCGTGCCGCCCCCAACGGCACCGGCAGCGCCAAGGTCGGGGGCAACTACGCCCCCGTCATGAGGTGGACGGATAAGGCGCGCAAGGAGGGCTTCGATATCACCCTGCACCTCGACAGTGCCACACACTCCGAGGTCGACGAGTTCAGCACGAGCGGCTTCATCGGTGCGCTGGTCGACGGGGACAATGTGACTATTGTGGTTCCGGATTCCAAGAACGTCATCGACAGTATCACCAGCGAGAGTGTCCAGGGTATTGCCAAGACCTTTGGCTGGACAGTGGAGCAGCGTTCGGTGAGTGGGACCAGAATATCTCCTACAAGACACCCTCCCATGGGATAGCCACCCAGGGCACCAGCGACACCTCAGACTGACGGGACGGGCAGATCAAATACGCCGAGCTCCCCAACTTCCAAGAAGTAATGGCAGCCGGCACGGCCGCCTCCCTAGTGCCGATCCGATCCATCACCCGCCGCCTGGCCTCGTCAGACCCCAAGTCGTGGGCATCCACCATCAAGTCGCACCCCCGGCTGTCTACCGACGCCGCCAAGGGCGAGGAGACAGTCTCGTACATCCCCGACGGCAACGAGGACGCCGGCCCCCTGTGCCTGAAGCTCCTCACCCAGCTCAAGGGCATCCAGGCGGGCAAGGTCGAGGACAAGCTGGGCTGGTGCGCCAAGCTGGCCGAGGAGGACCGGAAAAAGGCCCTCGGCCACGAGGTCGTGACCAACGGGAAGGCTGCCGAGGACCTGAGCGTTGATCAGATGGATTAGCAAGGTCTATCTACGGTAGCGGGCACGTCTAGATCTAGACCGATGGAGAGGGGCGACCGAATCTACTCTGTGATATATACCAGTATCCAAAAAATGAGAAAAAGGCATAGCGGAGTCTCCGTGGCTTTAACTCTTCCTATTTGTGTGATCATATTCTATAGGGCTTTCCTTTGTAGAACGCAATTCTATGGGAGGGTATCCTATTGAAGGGCATGTCGCAGCACGTTGTTCTATTTTCCTATAATGGATTGTCCTACAGCTCATAAGGGAATCTTGCTGCAGGATATAAGGCCATAGTTCTATAGGTTGAGGCTATTCCATCACATCATTCAAGGTTCTCCTGGAGGAAGTTGAGGAGGTGTACTGTACCATAGCCGCCCGGTACAGCATCAGACAGCAGTTTCCCACACAGCTCACAAGCAGCCCAACCTGTGCCGATATGATTCCCTCGCCACACAGGCTTCTCACTCTGTCCATCAAGAGAGGGGTATTCACGCAAGCTGCCAGTGCGGTTTCCTGCTTGCAAAAATATAAGACATGACGGCGCCGGGGTCGCGGCACCAGCTCTGCTTCTAGTATCAAGAGGGAATCAGGTCTAGTTCAAAGTATCTTTTGCCTTTTTTTTTGTTTGATCTCGGTAAATTTGCATGCTGTTGCTTTTTTATATTTGTGTAGCATGGCTTGAACGTTGGGGGTTGTCTAGTTTTGGACGAAGACAGAGACAGGGATGAACTTAAATTGAAGGCCGGTGACGCAAGGGTTAATTACTCGCTCAACCTTTCTCGCACGTTTCCATAGATGATGATTAGATGAGGGGTTTTCATGCCAGTTGTGAATAAATGTGCATTTTGGACTCTCATAATCATCGTGTATGAGTGATATGCCTAATAGCTGACGTTTTGACGAGATATCTGTTGGTGATCTTATGTTTTAAAGACTCAAGAAAACTTAATGCAGTGTTTAATCAAGAATGAAGTTACCTACGTACCAAGGATGTATGATTCAAGTTGGTGGGACACATCTGTCTCAATAAATTCTCATCTATGCCTGTCTCTCTGCCCACCTTGCATAGCTCACCCCGAAATACCATACCGCCACGCCAGCAAGAAGTATCCCAAGCGATCAAGGATCGAAGAAATAAGGCGGCCTGCCCTGCTTCTTCTTGTCAGGCTCCAGGGCACAAATCGCGTCCTTGCGTTCATCCCAAAGGAAAGAGGTAGGCGTGATCTGGAGCCACCTGGTGTCACCCGGGAGCGGGGAGGGCAAGTCGTCATACGGCTCGCCGGCAGCCTTCCTGGCAGCCCGCTCCACCGCCTCCGCGTCCTCGGCAGACTCGGGCCAGGTCAAGTCAGTAATGACTTGTCTCCGGCTGCGCGTGTAGTGCTCGTCCGGGACTTCGTACCTGTTCCTGAAGATATTGTGCTCCGTCATGGCCGGGATGGGATCCCAGCGCCACCAGTTGTCGGGCGTGACTTTGATTGGAATCGGGCAGCGGCTGTGGTCTGGGTCCGGAGATACGAGGAATTCTACCAGTTGGTTGAATTGTTCTTCTGTGGGCGGTGCGAATGTGTGGTAGCGGACCGGATTATATATGTACATGCCGTTACACTGTTGTTTACGTCGGCTCTTGGTCAATAATCTCCAATGTCGTTGGATTGGCAACACTCATCAGGCTGTGAAATGTTGACAGGACTCACCTCTTCGCCACTCTCGCCACGATCAAACATTACGGCGCCCCCAAAGATCTGACCCTCCGCCCAGTATCCGGCAAGCTCCGCCACGCCGTTTGGGTAGCGCTTGTGGTCTCTGAACATTCCATGCCAGAACAGCGACCGAGGGGGCAACACCATCCGCTTCGTCGACCGCTTGTTGAGATACTTTTCCCGCTGCTTGGCAAGCCACGCCTCATGCTCTGCGTGCTTGTGAGCGCCGTCGTCCATCTTGTACAGGAAGATGGCGATGTCGTGGCAGGCAACCACGACCAGCTCGATCAGACGCAGTTTCCAGGCGACAGAGTTGCATTTTGCATCTTGATATGCCTGGAGGGTCTAGGTCACAGCATCAATATATTATTGAACGTAGAAGCTTGAGGTGGTGTGACGGGGAGTTGTGGGATAGTCACCTTGGCCTCGAATTTCAAAGAGAGCACGTCAAAGTCTGACCGAAATGCTTTTGCTTTGTCTAGAAAGCCTGGACATATTTGTTTATGTTTATATATCGGCCAACGAGGTTCCATGTAATGATCGCCCCCAAAGACATATGAGGTGGGCCGTCCGTCCAGTATTTGAGTATACGCGTACTCGGCGGCGGACGTCGCCAGGCAGTTGGTGATGGCTCGACGCAGCGGCTGCAGGTGTTCCCCATCTAGGAGCTCTAGAGAAGCCATGCTGTTCCAAGGAACAAAGTTTTGGAGTATGGTCTGCCTGCGTGTGGGAGAAAAGTTGCTTGGGAAGAGCAGTGCGGTGCGTGAGTTGTGGGTTGGTTTTGAGGTGGTTAGCTGCCTAAGGCTGGTTTTGTCACCAACCATACAATTCAACCCCGGGGCCTAGACAAGGGGGCGGAGAGGGGGCTTGGTGGCTAATTTTAGGGCTTGCATATGCACTCCACCAACGAACGACCAACAACCTTGGAACTTATAGCCAAGCTCTCGAAACTTATTATGGTAGATATTACGGGGGGAAAGTTAAAATTAAGGTATAGTTAGGTAGTTATATATCTAAAAAACTAGCTGCTAAGTAGTAATAAAGGTAAAGTTTAAAGTAAACTTAAAGATATAATATATATATTTATTAGCTAATATTAATTAATAGTTAGTTAGTTATATTTTTATAAATAAATTACGCGTTATTATATTTATTATAAGTATTAAATAGTAAGAAGAAAATATAATATCTTTATTACTTTTAATTAATTAAAAGACTTTATTTATTAATAAAGTTATTTTTAATTAAATCGTTAAAATTACTATTATATTAAATATATAATTATAATTTAATTAATTTAAATACTTTAAGTACTTTAAATTAACGTTTATAAATTATTTAGTTTACGTAAATTCTAATTATATTAATAAATTAAATTAAGCTTTAATTATTAATTATTAATTATTATATAATTTCTATTAATTAATAAATAGTAATTAATTATTTAAAGATATATAAAATTTATTTCCTTTTAAATAATTAAAACTATAAAAACATTATTTTCTATATTATTTAATTACTTTAATAGTTAGTTTAATAATTACTTTAATAATTATTATAATAAATCAATTAATAAACTATTTAATAATTTAACTAATTACTTTAAATACTTTAATTATTTATATACTATTATTTTATTTAATTCTTTTCTTTTAATATATAAATAATATATTTTTATAGTTTATTATAAATATATAAGATTAATATATTTATTATTTAATTAATATAAAATTTATTTATTATATAAGATATTTAACTAATAATTATTTAATTAATAAACTTAAAAGTTTTAAAAGATTTTAATAAATATTAATAAATATATAAAAAAGATATTCTTATTATTAATACTTTTATAAGAGTTACTCTAAGGTGCACTTTAGTAGTAGTGGAGTTAGGTGGTTAATTAAGTTATAGAGGGTTAAATTAAAGTTTTAAATAAGTTAGTTTAATAGCTAACTAAGTAGGACCGGTTGATCCCTTAGTTATCTATTATAACTTTAATAAGTTAAATATAAATAAGTAATAATAATAAAAGTAGTAATAATAATTAATAACTATAAATATTTAAATATATATAATTAAATAAAATAAATTATAATAAATAAATTTTATTATACTTTTTATAAACTTAAAGAGGTATTTAATAGAAGACTATTTAATAAAAGTTTTATAATTATTAAAAACTTAATTATAAAGAATTAAGAATAGTATAAAGTATAATTTTAATAAAAGTATACTCTTTAATTTATTATTAAAAGGTTATTCTTATATTATTTATAATTATTCAATCTTTAATAATATAAAAAATATAATTAAAAGAAAATTTAAAGTTTCTTTGAAAAAAGATTATAAGAATATATATAAAATTATTAAAGACTTAATATATAAGCTTTAAAAGGAAGAAATAAGTGATTAAATAGAAATATAGTTATATAGTATAAAGGAAAAATATAATACGGCCGAAGCTATTGCTGAATTATGAATTGGAATTTATTGAATTTCTCCCCGCCTCCCGCCATCCAGTCGAGTGAGTATTGATTTAACGTCAAGCCCCAGATCACGAGCATATAAATGTGCCCTTCGCAAGAGTCCATACTTTCTCGAGACTCCTAAAGACGAGTCAAATCGCGGTGACCTCACACCAACCCAGGAGCATGGGGTTGGGAACCCAGCCCCATGAACCAGCCCTGCCCTTCTAGCCCATCGGTAGCTATCACTCGTACCGGGAAATATGCAGGTGCCTATGTTCCAAGTTGAAAGCCGAAGGATGCCCTATGTCTTCAAACCCGTCACACTGCCATCATAGTCCTATTATTATTCGGTGTATAATCTATCATGAATGTCCCCGGACGTATGCCAGTGCATGCGGGATAGAAGCGAAACCAGATACTCCAGATACTTGGGGGCATGGTTCTGGGCATTGCTAGTTGGCCGCACTTTGTTGGCCAGCAATCCATAGCACAGGGTGAGTCGCACTCTGTATTTATTGAAGGTAATGAGAATTTGTCCTATAGCGGAGCGGAAGGGTGATGGCGTGCATCTTTGTAGGTCCCATTATACACACGTAGGGAGAGTTTATATGCCTAGCTTCTGCTCTAATACAACTCTTTGCTACATTTGTTTTCTTAAGGCTTTGGCTCCACTATGCTCTTACTATAGTCCTATAACTTTTGAATTTGAGGTGCATATTGGTGTTATGTTTTGTTTAAGACGTGGTTAAATATTCTGAGGATAAAGATTTTGCGGTTAAGCTTAGAACTGAGATGAACCCGCGGAGTGCTACGCCACAGACGCCCAGCCAAAAGACCACAATTCCAAGTTGCCTCAACTTGGAATCTAGCACTTATCAAGACTAACCCGTACCGTCATAAGAACGTATAAAAGTGAAGTGCTGAAGAGCACTTCTGCTACTTTTGGATCTAGTTTGATTTGGGGCTCTTCTTTTTGTTCCAAGATGCAACGAGACTGGACAGGGTTTGCAAGGACATGTGCCTAAGAAGAAAATAGACAATCATGGTAGTATTCAGATCTTCTACACAGTACTGTGTAGGCGCTAAGTCAACGTCATGCACTGCATGGCCAAGACTTTGGGGTCCAGTCACAGTCGGCTACAGATCCGCCCGTCGACGCCCACGTGCTACGAGAAGAATTGAGGCAGCCCAGCCGTCACTAAGCGACACCCACCTCGATTGGATGCGGTGGTTCTTATCTTGGAGACCCTGCTGCAGTGCAACACACTGGCACGATTCAGGTCAAAGTTGAGATAGGGAATTAGGAATTGGGGATCATTATGTTATTTGAATGTGTCGTGGCCCGCCGCGCCGAGAAATATACCTAGGTAGCTACGTACGGTGCACCTGCGCCAATTGGCCGGGGACGATCGATGAGGCTCCCTCCTTAGGTTTCAAATTGCATGTGGCCCGGGTCGTGTTAGCATGGGACCAAGCGCGGCGTTCCGAGGTGGCAATGGAGCCGCCGATCCAAGCTAGGATATGCGGTTTGATCGAAAGCTAAAGAGAGCAGTCTGGGATTCGTCTGGCCAAGGGCTAGGCAAGCTTCGCAAACAGAGAAGCCTTTTTTCAAGCTTCTGGACCGGAGGGTCCAGGTACTAAATTGCGTTCCTTGGGCGGCCCAGAGCTTTGGCCGCGGTGCTAGTATTCTTGGGGAACGCCTGTTCGTTCGATGACAGTTAAGCTTTTCACACGGACATGGATCGTCTTCGTTCCGCCTCTTCTGCCAGGGGGTCAGGGGCCCTTGCACCAAAACAGTGTCTTGGACTCACTTGCATGCTCAGGGTCCTCGCCGCGCTGACAAGCCGATATATATATATATATCGATGGATCGTGTCGGAATAGCAAGTCGATCCCTCCCAGCTACCAGCGCAACTCGGCTTAGTATCATGGTAGGAGGGGGAAGAGGAGTCCAACCGGCTCACCGCCTGCATCTGGTCAAACACAAAACCAGACCAAGGAGGCTCGCCTAGTCTCGATCTGGTCTTCCGTATTCACATGCACACATGCATGCCGTGTCCGACGCCATGGGCTAGCCTTTGCGTGCCAGAGCGATGGGATAGCCCCGAGTCAGAAGTGTCTGACTCTAGCAGTTTTCCGCTGCCTTTGATTCCAGGGCCCGATATCTCAATACCTTCATCCTGCTTGCCTGGGCTAATGTCAGAAAGATGAGCCCGCAATGCTCCCCTCGCTGCGCCGCACATCCCACCCGGATCCAGATCCAACGCCGTGCTGGCCTCCCCTGGCCTCTCACCCTGGCTCGGACACATCAGCACTTTCGTGGATATGGCATGGCCGGCGATTGCCATCAGATGAGTCGCGCTTTCTGCCCATTATCGTGCTGGCGAAGTGTTGTTCCCGTCCCAAATATCCCTCAAACGGCCCCACTCGGCTCTACGATATTTGAGTCCCCATACAAAGCCGTCAGGAGCACGCGCACAACTCTTTTTCTTTTTCCCCCAGCAGTTCGTCTTTCTCGCTGCAACTCTGTGTGTATCATCCAGTCAGCAGTAGTGACTGTCTGACCCCCTTTTTTGGGTCGCTGGCGCATCAGTGCCGAGCAGTCAAGCCCACCTCCTTCTCTCCTGTGCATTCCATCAAGAGCCCCACTTCACCACTTACACGGGCGAGCAACGAAGCAATTGGATTCGACAAGATGGTTGCATCCCCATCCCCACCAGTCACCCCCCTCGCCTCCGGGCCAACCATCAAGATCGCAGAGGGCGCCCACCCGAACCAGCGTCGCCGCTCCGAGTCGGAGCAGCGGTTCCCGCCCCTCCAGCGCACCGACACGACGGGCCTCGCCGGCGGAATCTACAACAGGCGCGACCTCTCGCGCGTCGCCAGCCACAGGAGCAGCATCGCGGCGCGCATCTCGTTCGACCCCAGTGCTGAGAACAACGTCGATGTCGAGGAGGGCGACAACTGGCGCGACAGCGAGCAGCCCAAGGTGAAGCAGGTCTACCGCGGCAAGACGCTGCTGTGGCTCGCGTACCAGTCTGTTGGGGCCATCTACGGCGACATCGGGACCAGTCCTCTTTATGTCTTCTCGTCGACGTTTACGGCCCCGCCGAGCCAAGGGGATGTCATTCAGGTCTTGTCGCTCATTCTATGGTCGTTGACAATCATGGTCACTTTTAAATATGTCTTCATTGTCCTGCGTGCCGACAACGAGGGCGAGGGAGGCACTTTCAGTTGCTACTCGCTCCTGACCAGATTTGTAAGTGATTAATATGTACACTCACCTATGGCTTCCTGACTTTACTGAACAATATCCACCAGGCAAATATTACGGCCCGCGACCCGCGAGAAGAAGCACTGGTGCACATGGAGAGGCACCATACCGGGAATCTGCGGCCCTCCAATCTCGGAGTGCGCTCATTGATGGAGCGAAGCCGGTTCTTCCGCGGCCTGCTCAAGACAATTGGCGTCCTGGCAGTGTCCATGGTCCTTTCCGACGGCGTCCTCACGCCGGCGCAGTCTGTGCTTGGCGCGGTCCAGGGCCTCAACGTCGTGAAGCCCGACATCTCGAGCTCCACGGTCGTGGGGACCTCGTGCGGCATCATCCTCGTGCTCTTCTTCATCCAGCCGCTCGGCCTGTCGCGCCTAGCATCGGTCTTCGCCCCCATTGTCATCGTCTGGCTGGCCTTCAACGGTGGATTTGGCATCTATAACCTCGTCCAGTTCGACCACAGCGTCCTAAAGGCATTCAATCCTTACTACGCGTTTCAGTTCTTCATACAGCACAAGACTGAGGGCTGGAAGATGCTCGGAGGTGTACTGCTCGCGTTTACTGGAGTCGAGGCCCTCTTTGCCGATCTGGGCGCCTTCTCAATGAGGGCGATTCAGCTTAGCTGGCTGTGTTGGACATACCCGTGCTTGTTGCTAGGATATCTTGGTCAAGGGGCTTATATCAGCGTCCATCCTGATGCTTACTCCAATCCGTTTTATAACTCGGTTCCGCCGGGGATGCTGTACCCTTCCCTGGTCGTTGCTGTGCTCGCTGCGATAGTGGCTTCCCAGGCGATTATCACAGCCACTTTCCAGGTATGTTGCTGTTCCTACTTGAACTCGATCCGCCAAAAAGGGCACCAGCCACTAACACATGCATGAACTAGCTCATTGCCCAAATTATGAAGCTTTCATACTGCCCACAGGTCAAGGTCGTGCACACCTCCAAGACCTTCCACGGACAGCTTTACGTTCCTTTCCTTAACTGGCTACTCATGTGCGGCACAATCCTCGTCACAGCAGTCTACTCAAACACCACGCGCCTCGGCAACGCCTACGGCGTCTGCGTCATGTTTGTCACCTTCTTCGACACGTGCATGGTGACGCTCGTGGCCCTGATCGTCTGGCGCATCCCGCCGTACCTCGTGGTCGTGCCTTGGCTCTGCTTCGCCTCGGTGGACGGGCTGTACCTGTCCTCAGCCCTCAACAAGGTCCCCGACGGCGCCTGGTTCACGCTCACCATCTCGGCGATCCTGACCGGGCTGTTCATGCTGTGGCGGTTCGGAAAGGAGGTGCAGTGGAAGGCCGAGGCGGAGGACCGCTTCCGCCTCAACACGCTCGTCACCAAGGACGACGAGGGCAAGCTCAAGCTCACGCAGCGCTGGGGCGGCGACCAGCTGTCGCAGATCCGCGGGCTGGGCATCTTCTTCGACAAGACGGGCGTCCTCACGCCCGCCGTCTTCACCCAGTTCGCGAGCAAGTTCAACGCCGTCATGGACGTCACGGTGTTCTGGCACCTCCACCCCGTCGAGGCGCCCACCGTCCCGGACGCGGAGCGCTACTCGGTCTCAAAGTTCACCACCATCCCGGGCTGCTACAGGCTCGTCGTCAAGCACGGCTTCATGGACGAGGTCATGTCCCCCGACCTGGCGGCCCTCATCTACGAGAAGGTCCGCTCCTTCATCATCCGCCAGGCCGCCCGCGGCGAGGAGATCCGCCGCGAGGACCCTTCCCTCTCGGGCGACGACGGGTCGCAGGACACGCAGCGCAGCGGAATCGAGAACGTCGAGGGCGTCCCCATGTCCGAGGCGGCCACGCTCGATGCCGGCGGTGGCTCGGCCGCTGCTACTACCGGCGCAGACATCGCACCCGCCCCGGCGTCGTCATCGGATGAGCACCCCTCACGCGGCCGAGGCCCCCGCGAGAGGCACATTTCGGAAAAGCTGCCCATCGAGCTGCGCGACGAGGCTGTTTCCGCCGAGCTGGCGCGCCTGGACCGCGCCTACGCCGCCAAGATTATGTATGTCGTGGGTAAGGGCCAGATGCGGACGAGAGCCGGGACTCCTATATTCAGGAGGCTTGTGCTGTCGACTTTCTTGTGGATCAGGGACAACACGCGGGCTAAGATCGCGAATTTGAGATTGGCTATGGATCGTGTTGTTGAAGTTGGGTTTGTCAAGGAGATATGATTGACGCAATGAAGACACCGTTGGGTGGCTTCTTGTCTTGTAATAATGCCTTAGCGGGCGTTTTGGGTGATGGGTTTGGTTACTTGTCTTGATGTCTAACAGCGCACATATTATTGAGCCAGGAGTTTTGATTTCAAGATGTATATACACATATGAATTTATACAATCTTTCACTCAGGCTCTCCTTCTCTTGTGTGCTACGGTCTTGCACATGTTGGCGTCTGTGTGGGATGAGATGAACGCCACCCCAAAGCGAATGTTTAAATCGATGTTCGGATTAGTTGTTACAATAACAGGAAAGCCAGTAATTTAATCTGGATATAGCACGGAAAGCGAAGCATCTATCACTTGGACGTCTTTCTAGGTGGCTCCTTGATGGCGTTTGGCAGCCCACTCCCGTCCATGCATTCCTATGAACCAAGGCTCACAGACCGCGGCAGTTCTCTCAACAACCGATGTCCCCTAACCTTGTCTGTGCGGCACAAGGCTGAGGCCACGTGCCCACGTACTGTGTTCTCTCTGCACTGCTATTGGCGCTGAATATTCTTTGCAAGGTTTGGAATGCTGGGTCTTGAGCGTTTACCACCGTATGAAGGCGCCATGTATGTTCCCGGGCGTATGAGGAATAGAAGCGAAACCAGTCACTCCTGCGAGAGTATGCAGACATGCAACTACCGGCAGTACTTTCTTTTCAAACTCACCAGACGTCACAAATTCAAAGATGGCAGAGCTCCCGCTCTCACCAAATAATGCGCACTCGCTTACAAAAGTATAATTTCCCACGCTGTGCAGACTATGGATCTAGTTCTGACTTCTGAACCATCTGTGCTATCGCTGCCGGCATGAGTAGATACATACACCATGTGGCCCATACCTTCAACCCCGGGCACTAGAAGCCATTTCGGCTGTCCATACAGCCAATCCTGGCGATCCAGAACAAATGGGGACAATGCCATTGATTGGCCTGGCCTAGCCTGGCCAAGCAGCATTCATGCCTTCTGACATGCGTCCTCCCACAACCCAATGTCGCACATTTCGCCGGTGGAATGGCTGAGTGATGCGAGCCCTTCCTTGGTATGAGGAATCAATCTGTCGATCAGGAGTACCGGCATCCGCCTGAATAGGGAGCCAACACAGAAGACGTGATTCTCCAAAACCGTACGAGACCAAAAAGCCCCTGCTCTCCCAAGTGGGTGGAGCGACACGCAGGCGTCTCAAAGCCCCGCCTCCACATCACGAGCCCGCCCGCCGAGCCGCAAGATCTCCTCCGCATAGTAGTCCCGCCGCGACCGCTGCTGATCCTGCCCGGCGTGTACATCCTTGCTCCCACCACCGCCCGACGTGTCCTGGAGCGCCACGCCGGAATCGCCATCATGGTGGCCGGATCCGGATCCTGAGGCGTGGCGGCTCAAGCTTGCCCCCGCCGCCCGCAGGCGCTGCCACATGGGCCGGATGGACGGCAGCGAGGCGGCGACGATGCCGACGCCGGCCTCGGCGATGGCCCAGTTGAGCTCCGGGACCACGAGCCACGGCATGTCGACGAACTGCAGGTCGCCGTGGCCCGTCTCCGGCTTCAGCAGGGGTATGAGCTCGACGGTCCTGCCGATCGCGGCGATCAAGACACTGTGAGGCTGTCTGTCAGCTGCGAGGAAACAAGAAAAACGCTGGCTCGGCGTTTCGTTGGGGGGGGGGTCAGGATGGGCGTGGGGAGGGATGCTTACAGCCCGCCGCCGGCCGCGAACAACAGGAGGCACGAGATCTTGTCGCCCCTGGGTATGCGCAGCGGGAGTATGACCGGGATGGGAAGGACGACTACCGCCACGTCGACAAAGATGTTTACAAGGCTCAGGATGAGGATGGGTGATGTGGCCGGGCCCAGTTCCTTGCAGTTGCCGGGGGTGTTCAAGTCCCACTGGGACTGGACGGGCTGGCAGTCCAGGATCAATATCAGGACGTAGGCCAGCGAGAACGCGACCACGACGGCCATCAGGAAGTAGACCGCGGCGCGGAACTTCTTGTTGGGCGTGATGGAGACGTACAGGCTGAGCACGGAGAGCTTGTTGAGCGAGATCGTGGTGACGCCGAAGATTTGCGCGAGGAAGATGAGCTGTGGGGAATGAGAAGTTAGCGATCGTAACTGGAATATTTGTGCTTCTTGCTTGTTTGACAAAGTATTAATCGTACCTGCAGGATTCCCGGTGTGTAATTATCCCAGAGCACGTCCCATATATGGTTGCCGACTCCGTAAGCAGTGACTATTAAGTGTGAACAAGGTCAGACAGAAATATTCAGGACGAGGAGTGCCTTGAGAAACTTACTCCTGACACAAACGACAAAGAAACAAACGAGCAGAATTGTTGACAGTAGAATAAGCCCTAGATTGCGGTCGCTGTCAGTGTGGGGGCCACTCGGAAAAAAGTCTAGGAGCTGAGCTTACAGTCGTCGATCTTGAGACCACGGGAGCTGAAGATCCTCGTGCTGAGGCGCAGGCACACCACGGTCGCCACGATGAGGGTGACGATGGCACCAAACCCGATCACAGAGGCGGAGGTGCTGGGCGGGTCGACCTCGTGTCTGGTCTCGCCTGGCGGGGGCACACCAGCCCACGGGAGATCCGGAGTCGTCCAGATGTTAGACATGATGCGTGCTGGTGGAAATCGGGATTGATTCCTTGCAAGTAGAGGTGGGTGTGGGATGGAGAGTACAGGTTGTTGTGGTTGTTGTAGGTTGGGAAGATGGACAGACTGGGGTCGTCCGAGTGGGTGGATAGAGGCATGGTACCAAAGCAGTTGCAGTGGGAGGGTGACTTTCTCGACGTGCTGAGCGAAAGGCAAACGGCTTGTTGGGTTGTTTGTGCTCCCTGTCACCAGCAGTGAATGGACCTGGTGTTCCTGTAAACAGAGAAGCCATGGCATGTTGAAGCGGTAAACGCTTCCAAGGTTATTCCTGAAGTGAAGTCGAATATGGTCAGCTACATGGGCAGAGATGCTGCTTGGACATTCATGGACCCGGATCTGCTTTAGTCACTCCGGGCTGTTCAAGTTGGGCAGGATCAGTCTTGTTCATAAGCTGCAAGAACCATCAGGGAGCCTGGGAAAACGTTCGTTAATGTGCCAGAGCACACGTTTGTCTAACGAGTAGCAAGAGCGCACACTCAAAATAGTGATTGGGCATCCATGGATTGCAACCATTTGCAATGTCACGAGGACGCATGCATTTGATATCTTGTACTGACTGCCACAATGCAGCGAATCACCATGTCTGGGTGACAGTCTACATGACGTCCAATTCTTCGCTCAACCTAGATATTGGCTCATTCAAGACCGTAGTATAAGCAGAGCTACTGCGGCCCGACGTTGGGTTCGATCCGCAACTGGGAAAATGAACAGAAAAGGGAATATATCCAGTGTGGTATCAAATTTGAGCTTGTCTTTCACAACGGCGTCGAGGTTAAATTCAAGAGAGAACATGCCATTTGCGTGTTAAATTTGTACATAGCAACATCAGATGAGCCCAACGCCTCGACGCCTCAACACCATGCAAAAGACTCCGCATTCTACCAGTCCACATTCGTACAAGCACATACCCAGTGTGGGTGTCTCGGCCACACTATCCGGCTAGACCATGGGAATTAGACCATGGTCTTCCTCGCTCAAGCCCACATCTTTCAAGTCTTGAGCTCAACATCCTTCGTCACCTTGCCACCCTTTTCGCCTCCTGTGTCCTTCTTGTCTCCATCGCTCTTGGTCCCTTTCTGCCCCTTGTCACAGTTCATGACAATCCAGGGATGTTTTTGAACCTCCTCGAGAGGCAACCTGCGCTTGGGGTCGACCACGAGCAGCTATTTTCGTGTAAGTATTGTATTTGATCATTGGGAATGGCAAGGACACAAGGAGACCTACCTTCTGGATGAGGTCTCTAGCCTCGGCGCTGACAAACGAGGGGATGGTCATATCAGCCCTCGCAATCCTCCGGGTTGTCATAACAAAACTATCCTCGAAGGGCGCCTCGCCCACCAAGAACTCGTACATCAATACGCCCAGAGACCATAGATCAACCTTTTCATCATAGGAATTATCCATGCTGCCTGAGGTTACCATTTCTGGTGGGAGGTAGTCGAGGGTGCCACAGTATGTATTTCGGCGTTTACCAGGTGCATGAACACTCCAGCCAAAATCTGAAATTTTGATCTCTCCGCGGAGACCAACAAGGATATTTTCAGGCTTAATGTCACGATGGATGACATTCTTTCGGTGTAGGTGGAGGAGTGCACTTGTCATTTGTGCAATGTACTGTGCTGCTCTCTGCTCGTGAAAACGGGTTACCTTTTGTAGGTGCTTGTATAGTTCGCCTTGGCCAGCATACTCCAGGATGAGGAAGACCCGTTTGGAGTCGTGAAAGTGGCCATACAGCTTCAAAATGTTAGGGTGGCATAGGTTGCTCTGTATTTCGATCTCCCGTCGAACCTGCTTCTCTACACGGGCTTGTTGGAGCTCGCTCTTATGCAGGACCTTTAGTGCACAGATGAACTGGTGCTCCCGCTCCCGGGCCAAGTACACCCGGCCGAATTTGCCTTTGCCGAGGGGCTTGCCGATCTCGAACATTCCCAAGTGGAAGGTTTTTATGACAGGCTGGTTGACGAGCGTGTCTATCGGGTCATGGTTTTCGGTGGCTTCGTTTGACTGCTCCTTTCCAGAGGCCGGTTTCGAGGGTGGGGGTCGTGGTATCTCAGTCTGTCTCAGTGACGGTATCGACGAGTGATCCAAACGATTCTGAAGGGCTACCTTCAGAAGCTTCGGGCGGAATGAACCAGAGGAGAGCGATGTCTTGGTGGATGTGGCCTGCCGAAAGAAATTAGGTATGGCACAAAGGTTGGGCAAGTCATGCTGACCTTGGGTTTCAGGGGCTGAGCCTCAACTGTTTGGCCGTTGACGGCCAGCCTTTCCATTTGAGCCTCCAGCGGCATGGTCAATGTGGATGAAGTTGATTTAGATGCGCCTTCGTGTGCAGAGACGAGCAGATGTGGTAAGTACTGTCAGAGGAGGATGTAAGGTACAGGGTGCGAGAAGGCAATTGGTAAAAATCAGGGATTGGTTTGTTTTGGACCGAGGACGTCAGCACATATTGGTTGCTAGGCAACCTCAACTTCGGAGCGACCAATGTTGCGCTAAGCCAGGATCACCTGCGCGGGCGCGCCCTTAGATCCGACCCCTTGGTTGCCGGGACTTGCAGGGATACTGACTGCCGGAATCCACCACTACGAAACAGTCGGGGCTTTCTCTTTCTCTTTTTGTTACTTTGGTAGATAGTTTCCTTGAGTTGCATTTTTCGAAAAGCCCAAGATATAGTTCTGGACTTCTTCTGCACCTTATGTGCTGAATTCTGAGGTACTGTGCGGATGTTTGGGCATCCACTGTAGAGGCGCAGTGGGTACCAGTTGACTCTGTCAACCCCGCCATATTTCACCCTGTGAAATCAGAGCTCACACACCAAGGGACGTCCTTTGGATATCAGTTTCGGACTATGCTCCTTTGTGGCTGACTTATGCATACGTCTATGCTTCCAAGCTTGACTCTTGTTGACCACCTATCTACAAGTTGGTCTGCTAGAGGGGTACCCGGGTTTGACCAGCGTTGCCTCCTGAGGCCATCTGTCTAAAGTCACTACGAAGGGTGCCACAACTGCGATCCACAGCTAGGAACAAACGACCAGCACAGGAGCCAACAAGAGCCATGTCGAGCCAACAAGTCCAGTGACAAAATTTGAAGACCCGCGGCCGGTCAAGGCACGTGTCCCTTCACATTTCCATTTCAAGATTTCAGTTCATTTGCACGGGGCCTGCCCGATGACATTCGATTTATTGCAATTGCGATGTGGAGATCAAACTTAAAGAATGTGGACCTCACTTCCGTCTCCAGTGCTCACAAAAATGCATGCCAGGCTATGTTGAATAGCCATTCAATGCCTATCAGTCACACTGTGCGACAAAAGAGAACGACATGTAATTCAAAACCAATCCCATGAAACCACAACAACCAAACAAGACCTCACATATGCGGTCACAAGATGTTGACCAGCGTGCGCCTTATGGTAAATGTACCTTATCTGGTGGCTACGTGGCCACGATGAGTCGCAGAGGTGTGGCCGTTACCTCCACAGATACAAGTGCACTTCCCCAACAGGTTCGGTGAGAAGTACCAGGCAGCCTCGCGAGATGTCAGGTGACTCGGAGCCTTAGAATCGGTCAGCAGAGGAACTTCCACAGAAGCCAGTCGGATTGAGACAAACATCGTCAGGGTGCAGATTTATGTTAGCACGTCCTTCAGTGATCTCCACCCTGCCCTGGAAATCGTCTCCAGGGTATCGGCACAAGCCAAAAAGACCGACGGCATCATTGCTGCGAAGGATCTGGTTGAAGCCTTTGATGAATTCGGCAAAGTGAGCATTGTCCGGTGACTCATTTTCGTCATCAGAGTCAGCATCTGAAGAATAGTGGAATTCATAAGGCAGAGGTTTGTCGTCCTCGGAAAGAAGCCAGGTGCTAGGCTTCGTCTTATCATGCAAACTAGTCCACGGTACCGAGGTTCCATTGTATTCAACGAGCCGCTCATTTGGCTGCAAGTCAAAATGACGGCGGTTCAGAATCAAGCCAAAGGTGCGATCAGTGTTGTGCTTTTGGAAGAGCACACGGAAGTGCTCAATGAGCTCTCTTCCTTTCTTGGAGTCGAACGATTTCCCTGCATCTTCGAGGACAGGGAGCGCATCGTACGCAGCATGGCTATAGGTGGCAAGCATCTTGAAATCTGGGTGGGCTTGGAAGAAGAGACAAAGAAAGGTTGAGAGAAATGGAATTGGCGTATAGGTTTTTATCTCGCGTACTCGGGGTAAATTTAGTAGAGGAAATTGTGAAGGAGATGAGATGGGCTGTCTCAACATCGTTTTCAAGAGACGGAATCGATTGCCCTTTTATACTCAAATGGCACCCTAAGTCCACAACAGAGAGCCTCACGTCGTCCAGCCGTTGACCACATTGATCCCCCCTCTCCCCTCCTCTCCTCCATGTTCAAGGATCTTGGAATCCGAGCTCCCGCCGTGATGCAACAGCAAGGGCCGGGGCAAGAGCACCTAGGCAAGTGGGTCTCCCGCAACAATCCTGTCCTTCCTTCTCCCCGCAGAACTGACAGCCTCCCCAAAAGGTCTGCATTGTCGATGATCGTCCAACCACTCTTCTTATTCTTCTTCATCTTCTCGTTTTTTTTCCCTTTCCTCTTCCTTTCTCCTCCTTTCTTTCAAGCCTTACATTACAGATTACAATGATCCCACCAAAGACTTGTTGAAGTCTTAATCGGGCAGTGAGGAGGAATAGGGCCATTGAGACTCGGCGGTTAGGTCAACAACTCAGGGCCATTTGAAGTTAAACCACTTGTGCACAGCCCAGGGGTGGCTATTGGCCTTGTCAATGACCGCAGTTGAATCACCAACAACCAAACCTTAATTCGCATGGGCGCTTCAATAGTAGGATCCACAGACTAATCTAAGAACGCAAGGGGGCTCTGTCATAGGCCTGAGAATGAACCAACAGGTTTCAAAACAGGAATGGGGTAGTAGTTGGCACCAAGACCATCCGTTGGGTTGCTAACCCTGGAGCCAGGCATCTGTTATCTGCCCGGCTAGCAACCAACGACCGGGCCTCGTTCAACATCACGAGATGCTGATCACAGAGCTGTGCCACCTCCTCCCAACGCGGCAATTGTTCCTGTGCTCTCATTTGATGGCGTACTGCGTGCCCAGGTGGCAACCCTGATTCTGGCCTGCGCCGCGGCTGCGCCGCTGAGAACCAACACCACGGCAGTGGTCTCACGAGCGAGCAAATACGGCAGGGCGTATTGCAGGGCGTATCAGCAGTGATTGGAGTGCCTCGAAGTCTGATTTCCATGGGCCGCCAGAAGCGCACATTGCGGTCTTTCTTTTCGGGGTTTCTTTTTCACGCGAAAGTTGAATATCTTGGCGTTGCGGCACAGATACAGGGGCTGAGCACCCACCCTTCGCCTAGTGATCACAGTGAAATCAACTGACCTGAACTCAAGCTACCGATGTCATGAACCATCAAATCATGCGAGCTTGGACGAGAGTTAGGCGATTTGATATGTTTGAAGAACACTTAATGTTTTGTACTTGGAACGAGTTGGGTAGTATGGAAGTCAGTGCTTTGACCAAAAGTCTGTGACGTGATAGAAACCACAAGATGCTCAAGCCACGTAGTAGTAAGCAAATTGAGCAACTCAAAGGCTTAGACTAGACACATTAGTTGATAAAATCGAGTTTAATTTCGCCTTCAACACTGTATCTAAGGTCACTAGGGTTCAAGCCTGCTTGGTGACCCTGTCATTCTGCACTGTAACTCCCAGTCCGATAAATTGGTGATACTGATGCGATGCTATAACATAGGTTAAGAAACAGTGTGATTAAAGTGGTTGCCTTGTACTACTTAAGAACTACACAGGCAACTACGGTGGTGACTAGTCTGTGGCCAGAATCAAGCTTGACAATATGTCAGTGAGGAGAGCTGTCACAGCATTGTTAGGTTACTCAAGGGTATGAGTTTGTTGTTGCACAAGGAGGAAAATGAGCTAGGAGACAGGAGCCGCCGGCGAAGCCGCGGCGTTATACAGGCTGGGCCAGTGGGTACCGTGGCAAGAGCTATGAAGTTGAGATTGAGGTTACGGAGCGCAACAGACAGTGGTCTAACACTGGAAGACGATTTTAGACACGAATGTAATGGACTTCTTAGACCAGTTTCATCGACTCTAGCTTCATGATACGGAGGCTGGTTCTCCTCCTGTCCGGGATATATACGGACTGAAGAACGAAACCACTTATGGCCCTCGTGAACCTGCCTATTTGTCATTGCCCAAAGGACGCGGGGAGCTCCTCTTGGGCGACGTCGGCGTTTCCGGGGAACTTGCGCGCAATCTGGACTGGGGTACGTCGCGGGATCAGATCGAGAAACGAGCTTATCTGCAAGAATCAGATCGGCGGACTGGATGCCCTTGTGTGTTGCCTGGGTAAGCAAGTCGGGATGGCCAGGCCCCGAGCCTGCCGAAATAATGCGGCCCCTGGATGAGGGACTAGAAGAGTAGGCAGGCTTGCCAATGGAATCAGGTGCATCATGGCCGTAGGACTTGAGAACAGCATCGACATCGTCGTCACTGATGCCAGCAAATCGCTTCGGGGGCCAATATTCGCATATCTGACCGAGCCAGCGCATGCGCCTGTTCTTTGCAGCATCGAGATCTGCTTCCGTGACCAACCTGTTGAAGGTGGCAGATTGGTCGGTTGAATCATCTGCATCTTCCCCACCGGCGAGAGCCTCATGTAGCAAGTGATCCTCTTCCTGAATTCTGCGCCGGGCATGGCCCAGTCTAATACAGGCTGCGCCCAGCCCCGGGAGGTCTTGGGGGAGGGAGGCAGCCATCTCGCGGCGTATCCTAGAGGCCAGCTTGCAGCCGCGTCCGTCCGTCGTCACACCAAATTGCAGTGGGCCGTCCGTGTGCGAGGATAGGAGGCTGAAAGTGGACAGCTGCGGTCAATCGACAACATTTACTGGGATTCGATTTCGCCTGCACAGGCTCGCGACGTGGGCGCTAAGGGGTTCGCGAGGTTCCGATGTCACAAAGACGGCGTCAACGTGGCCGACGTTCGGTCATCCCAATGTCAGGGGATCGGTGTCCTCGAAGTCCTTCTGAACCCATTTCACCTGGTCGTCGTCGACGCGCTTCTGGAGGGCATAGTGCAGGTCGGCTGTGACGGGCGCAAGGAGGACGAGCAATGCGCCGACGTTGAGGGACTGGGTACAGCGAGAGGCGGCCAGGGGATTCGAGCCGATGATCAAGTAGATGTGGGAGGTGGCATCGGTTGCCTTAAGGAGCGAAATCCGGCAGGACATGCTTCAAGTTGAAAGAAGTTCACGATCCAGAAGACGTCGAGTGACAGGGAAGAGACGAGAAGAAGCTCAGATGCGAGACAGAGGTCTTTAAGAAGCCATTAGCAGTAATACAATGTAGGTGGCGTTAGCCATATGCAAAGATACCATGGCAGATAGGTCAGAAGGAAGAATTCCATCATGGGCGTACTTTAAAGTAAAGTAGTACTTGAATAACTGGCTGCAGTGGCATCTCCGGCGTCGCTGCGGGCAGTCATCGTTTTTTCCCTGGTGCCCCGCCAATGCAAAGTCGCATGGCCCACACATCAATTAAATCGCCCGCATTTCTTATGCTGAACTTGGCGCCGTCAACCCCCGCATCGGAGATGGTGATTCTTCCGTCTCTTATCTGGGCTTCAGCGATGAAAGTCTGCTGTCTGAGAAAAACGAAGTTGCGCCCCCCCCCGGTTAAATACCCCCTGTTCAAAAAGTTAAACCAATCTCTTAACTCCCTTTTAAAATAGTCTTCTTTTAATAACTCTCTTTATACTTAACTTAAAAATATATAAAAAATACTTTTATAATCCTTATAAATATCTTTATAAATATAAATTTTTAAAATAATTTTTAATAAAAGTTTTTATATTATTAAAGTTAGAGGTTAATTAAGTAATAAGTCCGTACACTTTCTTATCTTATCAACCTAAATAGCCTCTATACCTCCTATAATAAAAGCTTTATAATAAGTATTCTAAAATTATAACTATATAGAGATTTTAATAAGGATTATAAATATATTTTTTATATAGTTTTAAGTTGAGTATTAAGAAAGTTATATAAGAAAAGACTACTTTTAAAAGGGAGGTTTAACTCTTGAACAGGGGTAATTTAACCGGGGGGGGGGGCGCAACTTCGTTTTTCTCAGATAGTGGTACTGCTGTCTCCGAAGACCCTCTTAACCGCCTATTGCATTTCTGCACTTGGCGAGATGTTTGATGTCTAGACAAACGGAACGAGAATGGCGAAACGTCACCCGGAACAATTTCGGATCTAATAAGTACTTGAGACCGCAACCGCCACAAAGGACCACTTGACTGCAGCGCGATTGTGGGATATGCAGCCTCTTTGTTGGTCAACTTCTCCAACCTCAACAGTCCAGGCTATCAACGTTGCACTTACGCTGCACATGATACCTTCCTTTCTGCTTGTTCTCGAGATAGTTCACATTACTCACGATGAGCGACTCTGGTAAGTTTCCCACCTGCCAGCTCTCCTGTGCCATCGTTGCTCACAAGACTTAGAGGATGATTTCACCCCCGTTGTTCTTTCCGAGCAACGTGGATCAACGGTTGTTGAGATTGATCCTGGTGTCGTTTGCAAACATGGGCGCCGGGTCAAACGAAATGAAGCCGCAGCCCTTCAGCTTGTTAGGAAGCACACCGACGTACCCGTCCCTCAACTCTATAGTAACAAGTTCTTTGTCAAAGATGGGGTGGAGTGGGGCTCTTTCCTTATGGAAAAGATCGAAGGCACTCCACTCGACCAAGTCTGGGATGGATTTGACGACAACACCAAGTCGCACCTTTGTCAGGACATCTGGACTATCGTACAGAAATTGCAAGGCATACCTCGGCCGGCAGAACTCTTACATATCTATCAATGCAGTACTGACGGGACCCCGAGCGATGACGTGCTCATTAAAGACCTGAACTCGCCGCCCACCCACTTATTAAGTGACGAAGCAGTCCGAGCACGCATCTACGAGCGGTATCTTTACTTCAATGGGAGATTGTACGAAGGCACGCTACCTGACATGCTACCGCGCTCTGAAGTATCCGTGTTTACCCATGGAGACCTCACTCCCAGAAACATTATAGTCGAGGGCAGTCGTGTTGCTGGCATCATTGATTGGGAAGATTCTGGTTGGTTTCCTGATTATTGGGAGTATGCAAACATTATGAAACCGTCGAGGGATAAGGACTGGATGCAGTGGATGGATTCCACAAAGCCGAAAGAGTGGGATATTTCAGGCATTGTGAAATCTCGAAAGGTCTTATTCTAAGACTAGGTGTGTACAGAAGGTTCAGTTCAATCCTATACTTTAGCCACCAATCTAAATTTACCTTAAGTATATAAGACAAAAGCCTATATATTAACTTTAATTCTTTTAACCTTTTTATATTTTTTTTAAGTTTATTTAAATATTAAAATACTTACTACCTATAGCTATATTATATATAATATACTCTTTATTCTTAAAGATATAGGGAAATTATTTAACTTTAAAAAAAAGAGTTTATTAAATATTTTTATATATTCTTTTAAAAGTATAATATTAATTATATTTTTAATTTAATTTTAAATTATTATTATTTTAATTTATAATTAAATAAATAGTTTATTAAATATAATAGAATTTTAATATTATAAATTAATTTATATAATAAAATAAAATTTAATATTTAACTTTTATTTAAAAATAATAAATCTTTACTTTATGATTTTTTTAATATTAATTTTAATAATAAAAATAAATTATTAACTAATATTTAGTTTATTAAATTTATTAAAGGTTTTAATTAGATTCTTTATAGAAATAATATTATTAATCTTTTTAATTTATATTAATATTTTAAAATAATTTTTAAAGTAAAATAAAGATTATTAAAGGATATATTAATATAAATCTATATTTTAATAATATTTATTTTAATTTAATTAACTTTTATAAAAGTTTCTTTATTAATTAATTTTAAAATTTTAAATTATTTAATATTTTATAAAGTTATTTAATATCTTTTATTAAACTTATTAAAGAAATATATTTATATTTATAAAAGTAATAATCATATTTTATAATTTATTATAACTATATAATTATTAAATAAAGTATTATTATTATTAAATATATATTAATTAATATTTTATAATTATATATATAAAGTTTTATTTAATTATTATAGTTTTATAAAATTAATTTAAAATTTATATATTATTCTTTTATTATATAATATAATTAATAGATATTAAATAATTATTTAATATAGTTTAATATATATTTTATAATTATTTAAAGTAAAAGTAAAATTTATATTCTTTAAGTTTAATTTTTATATTATAATTATAATAAATTAATTATTATTAGATAAATTTTATATAAATAAATTAAAATTTTAAAATAAAAATATAAAGGGATATATACCTTAACTAGCTATAGGTTTTTAAGTTTTATTACTAGACTTATTAGTTTAATATATTTAAGTAGCTCTTATTAGCTTCTATACTAGCCGTTTATTCCTAGCTATAGATTATAGTTATAATACCCTTTATAGTAACTTTAAATAAATAGCTTTAAGAGATAATATTAGTTAAACTTTAGTACCCCTTTAGTAAACTAACTTATAGATAGATGGTTAATAAGGGTTAAGCTTAGAAGGTATACCTAGGTACTGAGAACTCTCCAGCGTATATGTATACACCGTGACTTAGCTTGACCCTAACCTCAACACGAGTCTTTTAGGGCGGTTGTATGAACCCTGACTTCCTGAATGGTTACGTATAGTACTAGTATAGTCAATACAGTACGATTCAAGTTCTGCTTTATATATGAGGAGGCCCAACCCACCAGAGGGGAGAGGGCTCAAGTGCTGTCAATGACCACCAAAGTCATTCGCTAAATTCCCACTGCTCAAATCATAACACAACACACCATGGCCGACGCAGCTACACCGCCACAGCGCGGCCAGAGGACAATTATCCTCTTCGGGGACGCGACGGACTCCTGGGTAGACGGAATCGATCAGCTCTACAGCGAGGCTGTGTCCACGCCATGGCTGAGGCATTTCCTGGACCAAATGACCAATGTCGTCGCCACGGAAGCCAGGGCCACCACAATGGACCGTTCGCTGCAGGACAGCCTGGGGTACTTCTCCAGCCTCCAGGAGCTGGGCGACAGGTACCGCCACAGCTCGGACGACTTCGGCCTGGTGCAAGCCATCCTGCTACACGCCGCCCGGGCGGGCGCCTTGCTCCTCATGGTGAAGCGCGAGCCGGGCCTCATCGGCCCAGGCGCGCCGACAGAGCTGGTTGGCCTGTCGGGCGGGCTGCTCAGTGCTGCCGCCCTCGCCGTCGCCGACAGCTTCGAGGCACTTTGCGACGCGTGCCTGGAAGCGGCCCGGTTCATCTTCAGAGTCGCCAAGTTCGCGTCGGTGAAGTCCAGGGCCATGGAGGAACAGCCTGGCACCTGGGGGTGGGCGGTGCTGGGCATGGCGCCGGGCGATCTGCACGAGGCCTTGGAACAATTTCAACGAGCCAACGGGATATCCTCCAAGAAGGCAAAAGTTGGTGTCGTCGGAAACGGCTGGGCTACAGTCATTGGGCCTCCGTCAGTGCTGCAGCTGGTCCTCCATCAGTGTTCGGCTATCAAGGGTCTTGCGAAGAACCCTCTGGAAATCAAGGCGGCTCAACACACTCTCGACATCTCAACCGCAGAACGGGACTCGATGGTTGGGAGTGATCCAGCCACCCTGCACAGGCAGCCCAGCGGGCAAAATCATCAACTCTGGGGCATGGATGACCCGGCAGCCGTATACGCCAACTGGGGTGAGATGCTCAAAGATATCTGCATGCAAGTCTTGAGCCGCCCCCTGGACATCACCAAGGTTGTAGACGGCCTCAAATCCAAGCTTGATGGCGTTGGTTCGGTGCGGATCCTCCAGCCAGGCACCGTATGCAGCCACACGCTCTACGTGGCAAACATGTTGAAGAAATCGGGGATAGACGTGGCGATCCCCAGCCAGACCTCGTTCCTTGGGGCAGATGGTGCTCCTGCAACAGGCATCAAGCCAGGCCGCATCGCCATTGTGGGTATGTCCGGGCGCGGTCCCGGAAGCGACAACGTCGAGGAGTTCTGGGACCTCATCATGTCGAAAAAGGATCTCTGCTCCGAGATCCCCAAAGACCGATTCGATATTGATGAATATTTCTGCCCGGCCCACGAGCGTGGTGATGAGCGGTGCAAGATGAAGATCAGATACGGCTGTTTCATGGACAACCCGGGCCACTTTGACTCCCGCTTCTTTCACATCTCGCCTAGGGAAGCACTTCTGATGGACCCCAACCACCGGCAATTCTTGACAAGCACTTATGAGGCGCTCGAGTCTGCAGGCTACGCAGATGGAAAGACCACGGCAGTTGATCCCAATCGCATTGGTGCCTTTTTTGCGCAGGCTACCGACGACTGGCACAAGCAGACTCATCCCACACTCAGATGTGATTCCTACACGCTGCAGGGCATTTAACGAGCCTTTGGCTCTGGACGGCTTGCTTGGCAGTTCAAGTGGGAGGGCCCTACTTACGCACTCGATTCTGCATGCGCAGGCACCACGTCCTCCATTCACCTGGCGTGCTTGAGCCTGCTGGAAAAGGATATCGACATGGCAGTCACGGGCGCGGCCAATATCCTCAGCTGGCCCCACTCCTTTACCTGTCTGGACGACTCGGGGATCTTATCCCCTACGGGTAACTACAAGACATTCCGCGATGATGCCGATGGTTACTGTCGCGGAGACTTTGTTGGCGCTGTGGTGCTCAAACGGCTTGAGGATGCCGTGGCTCAGAACGACAACATCCTCGCCGTGATAGCTGCGTCGGGGAGGAACCACTCGGGCAACTCCACCTCTATCACCACCTCGGACGCCGCAGCTCAGGAGCGGCTGTTTCGGAAGGTCATGCTCAAAGCACAGGTCTCCCCCGACGACATCTCGTATGTTGAGATGCACGGAACCGGCACCCAGACCGGCGACCCGGCCGAGATGGGCGCTGTCGCGAATACCTTCAAGCACAGGAGCCGCACCGAGGGTCCGCTGCCCGTGGGGGGCATCAAGGCAAACTTTGGCCACAGCGAAGCGGCGGCCGGCCTGGCAGAGCTGCTCAAGAGCATCAAGATGTTCCAGACAGGCATCATCCCCCCACAGGCGGGTATGCCCCATGCTCTCAACCCCAAGTTCCCAGACCTTTCAGACATCAACGTCGAGATCCCCTCGGAGCAGAAGCCTTTTGAGAAGAAGTCCGGCAAGCCGAGGCGCATCCTACTCAATAATTTTGACGCAGCAGGAGGCAACGCATGTATGCTGCTTGAAGAGTATGTCCCGGCTGGTGACGAGGATCAAGTCACAGATCCCCGGTCGAGCCATGTTGTCACCACCTCGGCCAGGACTAAAGCTGCTTATCATGCAAACAAGGCCAAGCTGGCCAAGTGGCTCAGAGGAAACCCGTCTACTAGATTGGAGGATATTGCCTACACCACGACGGCAAGGAGGATGCACCACCCCTTCCGCTTCGCTTGCGCCGCGACGTCAATTGCAGAACTGATCACCAAGCTTGAAGCCCCAGACTCGACATCCTCAGCGTCGCCACCGACGCAGCCGATTGTTTTTGCCTACACTGGACAAGGTTCTCATTATGCCGGCATGGGCGCAGAACTATACCGCACGAGCCCAGTATTCCGTGAGACTGTCGAGATGTGCGCGTCCCTCTGTTCCGGCCACGGCTTCCCTGCGTTCGTGGACATCATCGCCGGCACGCAAGCGACATCTCTTCAAAGAACACGGTGCAGGTCCAGCTAGCCACCATCACGGTCGAGCTGGCACTCACTGCCTTCTGGAGATCGGCTGGGCTCGAGCCTTCTCTGGTCATAGGCCACAGCCTCGGGGAATACGCCGCCCTGCATGCCGCCGGCGTCCTGTCTATGGCTGATACTCTATACCTCGTGGGCTCCCGTGCTATCATGCTTCTCGAGCGTTGCGAGCCGGGGTCCTGCTCCATGCTTTCGGTGACAGCATCGGCAGAGATCGTACGAAAGTGCCTGGCAAAACTCCCACCGTCTTCCTGCGAGGTGGCGTGCATTAACACCCCCACTGCCACCGTTGTAAGCGGGACTACTGAAGACTTGGCTCCGTTCCAGGCAGAGATAACCACGCAGGATCTACCAGGAAAAGTTCGTGCGAGGCAACTCAACCTCCCTTTTGCATTCCACTCGCTCCAGATGGATTCGCTGCTAGATGATTACGCCACTCTAGCAGCCGGTGTTACCTTTGCGGCACCAAGGATCCCTGTGGCTTCAACGTTGCTTGGATCCATTGTCAGGGAGCCGGGCATCTTCAACCCAGAGTATCTCGCCCAGCAGATGCGTCGGCCTGTCAACTTTGTCGGCGGGCTACACGCCATACAGTCCGAGCTCCAGAACCCAGTCTGGCTTGAGATTGGGCCGGCTCCCGTCTGCGCATCTTTTGTCCTCTCTACTCTCTCACCGTCATCTGCGGTCATGCACAGCATCGATGCCAACACCAGCAACTGGACAACCATTTCCAACAGCCTCTCCAATGCGTACAGGGCTGGTATCGATATCGACTGGCTCTTACTGCATAAGCCGTTCGAGCGCGGTCTCAGACTTGTAGCCTTGCCTACTTACTCATGGGATATGAAAGACTACTGGGTCACCTACACGGACAAGGGAAAGGAAGCCCCGGCAACCCTCCAAGCCGCAACAAAGTCGGCCCCAGCCGAGCCATATCTCGCCACCTGTGCACAGTACCTGGTCAACAAGTCGTCCTCTCCCAAGATCGAGGTTACCTTCCGGGCGGTCATTTCCGACCCAAACTTCCTGACGCTCATTGACAGCCACAAGATGCAACAGATCGGGCTGGCCTCCGGGAGCGTCTTCTGCGATGCGGCCTTGTCTGCGGCCAAGTACGCCCTCGAGTACAGCGGCCGGAAAGGCATAGGAGCGCGCAGCCTGTCCCTCCATGACCCGGTGCTCCTGGCGCCCCTGACAAGAAAACTGGTCGGGCTGGACGGGGAGCTGCACACGACTGCTGTCATGGATGGGCCGTCCGCGGAGCTGGTGCTAGTTTCCTTCAAGGCTGTGTCGCCACATGCGCCGGCGACGGACCTCGGCACGATGACAGTCCGGGTCAGAGATACCGAGAAGCTGCAGTCCGAGTGGGACAGGGTGTCCTACTTTATCAGGGAGAAAATGGATGCCAGGATAAGGAGTTCTCAAGAGGGTGCGGACCACAGGCTCCAGCCTGAAGTCCTATACGCGCTCTTCGCCAGGAATGTCGAGTTCGGGCCCTCGTTCAAGAGGATCCAAGAGGCCTACGTTGCCCGCGACTACCAGGAGGCCGCCGCGGCCGTCGTGCTCGAGGACGACCCCAACGGGAGCCTCTTTACGTTCTCGCCGTACTGGGGTGAGGCCCTGGCGCACCTGGCCGGGTTCATGGTGAACGGGAACCCCCAGAGTGATCCTCGGACGACGTTCATCGTCATGGGCTTCGACGGCGTCGAGCAGACTGTCGATTTCGAGGCCGGGAGAAAATACATGGTCTACACGCGCATCAACAACTGGAAAGACAACACGGCGTATTGCGATGCCTACGTCTTCGACTCCGAGTCATCCAAGATGGTTATGCAGTGCTCCAACCTGAGGTACCAGGAGCTGCCCAGGGTGGTGTGGAAGAATGTGCTCGAGGGAGGCCACTCGGGATCCTCGCACACGACCAGCGCTCCGTTGAGGGCCACTGCCAAGCAGCCCGTGAAGAAGACCAAGGAGGACGCCGCCGCGGAGACAGCAGCGCAGGTCAAAGAGGCGGTGGTGGAGTCGACGCAGCACGCCGATGAGCAACCAGGCAACCAGGTCCTCGAGACCATACTGGACAGCATCCTCAAGGCAACAGGCGGCGACGCGTCTGACCTCACTCCCGACACCATGGTAGCCGACCTGGGAGTAGACTCCATCATGGCCATCGAGATCGTCTCGGCCGTCCGGGACAAGACGGGTGTCGACATACCCGTCCAATTCGCCTTCCAGTATCCCACAGTCGGCGACCTGCGCCGCGAGTTCGGAGACGCCCCTGCGGCCTCCCAGGACACCAAGCCCCTTTCGAGGCGCAACTCGTCCAGCAGTGAAGAGTCCGCGTCCAAGAGGGTTTCTACTGGGCCTGCCACCCCTGCGGAGTCGCTATCCTCCGAGGAGTCTGGCGTCCTGGTCGACAAGGCCACAGCAACCCCAGGGCCAGCCGACAGGCCAGACAAGCCGTCCCCCCCGGACGACAACCTGCCCCAGCCCGACACCAGGATCACGCTGCTGCACGGGAGCCCCCGGTCCGGCAAGACCCCCTTCTACATGATGGCCGACGGCACCGGCACCATCGCGACCTACATCCACCTGCCCCCCTTCAAGGACGGGCGGCCCGTCTACGGCGTCGACTCGCCCTTCCTCCGCTGCCCGGCCAGGCTGACGGCCGAGGTCGGCCTGGAGGGCGTGGCGAGGCTCGTCGTCGACGCGCTCGCCAAGCACAACCCCAAGGGCAGCTTCAACATCGGCGGGTTCTCGGCCGGCAGCGTCGTGGCGTACGAGGTCGCCAGGCAGCTGTCCCGCCTCGGCCGCAGGGTGGAGGGCCTCCTGGTCGTCGACCTGTGCTGCCCGCGCCCCGGCGGCGGCCTGCTGGACGAGGCGACCATCACCCGGGAGAACGACGTCGGCGTCGCCGTCTTTGGCGCCGCCGTGTCGACGGACAGGCGGTGGGGCCCCGTGGCCGGCATGCAGGAGCACCTGCGCGCCTACCTCCTCGCCGTCCGCGGGTACCACCCGCCCCCGCTGTCCGCCGGGGGCGAGGCCCCCGCCGCGTCCGCGGCGGTCATCTGGGCCGAGAAGGGCATGGTCAGCCGCGTCAGGGGCGACGAGGCGGCGATGAGGATGCTCGCCGACGTGGGGATGCCGACGGAGCCCTACCCGGGCTTCATGGAGGACCCCAAGAACGGCCCCTTCGCGTGCCTCATGCCGGACAAGACCGAGGCAGACCTGGGCCCCAACGGCTGGGACAGGTATGTGGGGGACATCATGTGCTTGTCCGTGGACGCCAATCATCTCGACCTGCCTATGCCCGGCACGGTGCATCTGCTTCATGAGCAGATCACCAAGGCGCTGAGTCATTTCGAATCCTCGACTTAGCTTGTTTTTCTCGTTTCTCCATTTTCCTTTCCTTCTTTTGCAGTCGAGTTTGGTATATGGAAGAGCTGCTATCAGCACCGTATTATTCATGAGGGCAACGTTCTGCTGTCTCTTCTAAGGGAATCACGGACACTCATGAAAAAATAAAGAGAGTGGATGGAGGCAAATTAAGAGGTAGCTCTGTGATACGATATAGAAGAGAAAAATAGATTTGTTACAAGTTGAGATCCTTTAAATTAGAAGTCATCTTATGGCCTTATTAGACATGGCTTCAGCCACACTGTGTGATTTACCATCTAATCAAAACTTTTAGTCTTTTATCATTTTAATTTCTTAGTATTTACTTACTTTTTCAGCTACCCTTTAGCTTTATAATTATATATAAAAGTAAAAATAATAGTATATTTTTTTTATTTTAATAGTTTTTATTTATATAAATTCTTTAGACTCTTTTTTATTCATTTATTAAAAAAAGGTTTATTCTGCTGCACGTGGATGCGCTGACCAAGTGTTTCGGCAGCAGGGCTTGGAAGCAGTCGGAACGCGAGAGGGGTTTAGAGAGGATCCTATCTGAAAGCAGCTAAGAGTAAACACTGTCGAAAAGGCTCTTGCCAAGTTCTGTGGGTACTCACAGTTGGTGGCAGGGCTGGTAGCCTAGTAGTCAGTCCGGAATTAAAAGAGGCAAAAATACGAGGTTCCCGAGACAAGGCGCCATTCATCAAAGGATCATCATCACGAGGTCTGGTGTTAACGATCTAATTCTCCTATATCACGACACATGAGGCTCCCACAGCTGAGTACCCGAGTAGTCGAACTTGTTTTTAATCCGTTTCCAGACTCCTCATAAAAGAGTCACAAATAGCACCTTCATACAGTACTGAACGCTTACAAACCCAGCATTAAGTAACACACAACACTAATAGTAGCAGATTTAAGATACGAGTGGTACCCAAATAGTCCGGAGTAGTTCACCCCATCAAAATATTGGAGTCCTAGCTACTATCGGTGATGCCCACCATTGTAGGCCAACCCATCGGTTTATCGCCATTGTTCCTGGTGCCTCCCATGAGGCTTTCAAAGAAGAAAGCGTCAACACCTTGAAACGCCCAATCTTCTCTGCCTGCCACCAGCCCAGGGTACTGCTCCTGCTGGAAAATTTGCGAATCATACAAGTCCGCCACGTCCGTGTCAGGGGTGGCAAGTGCCCCGAAGTTCGTGTCGCTGTTGTCATAACCGGCAGCGGCACAAATTCCGGCCCCAGCACCCATTTCCGTGTTATCTTGCAGGTACACCGGAGCACCTGGTAGCGAAGCTCTCTTTGGCGACTCCGCGGGGCCGCTGGCTGGAGTGAAGGCTGGTCCGGGCTTGGGGGCTTCTTTGTTTATCCCCTCGCGCGAGATCTGGATGGTGCCAAAGTAGGGGATATGCACGCTCACAATAGGGTTGTGCTCCACATGGGACGCCGTAGGGCCGGCTGGCTCCTGGATGACATCGACCTTGCCCGGGGCCGAGCCCGTGGCATCGGCATCAATGGTCAACAGCCGGCGCAGCAGGTCCGCGCTCTTCTCGCTCAGCGCGTCCGAGTTCAGCCGGTTGACCTGTTCCATGTTCTCCTGGACCCTCTCGATCATCGCCCGGTCGCTGTGGTACTGGTGGGCGAGAAGGTCTCCGGCGTCGGTCGGGTGGCGGCGGCTGTCCAGGTGGGCCAGCAGCAGCGTCAGGGCCGCCATCAGGGCCAGAAAGTCGACGGTGCGGCAGCTGTAGGCGATCCCGTTGAAGCTGCGCAGCGTGATGAAGCGCGAGAGCACCTCGCGCGAGGCGTTGGCGCACGCCAGGCGCGAATATTCGGAGCCGCGCCCGGGGGAGGACGAGGAGTGGAGCATGTGGGGGAGATGTAGCTGATTCAGGAGGTTGTAGTGCATGAGCTGTGAGAAGATGCGCCTCGTGTTCCAGAAGAGGCCCTGGGCGTCGGTCAGCTTGCTGTCCAGGTCTGGAGTCAGCCACCACTTGCTGGGCAGGCTTCTGACGGCCCCTTGGAGCTCCAGGTCGATGGACCGCGTCAGGGCGGTATCTTCGATGCCTGAGCGAGATTCGTTGCGCTCCAAAATCCGAGATGCGACAACGCAGTGGATCCGCTCGAGCCGCCCTATCGGGGTATCAGCTGCGAGCAAGTCCTCGGAGCCCATACTGCGATCAAGACTGCCTTGGGGAAAGCCCAACATCAGACAGAGATACCTCTCCATGAAGACTGCAGCATTGAGATTAGCTTTCACAGAACCAAGAAAGAAGTTTCATTCAAGAATAGCAAGGACGAGGCCGCGATACGCCCATAGCTCTAAGACACAGTCCAGCTTCAGGAAACAATATTTTCCCGTTTTTAAAGGAGGTTTTACCCTAAATAGTACCTCGTTATCCTCCATTAGAGAGAAGGTTATTTTATAACCATTAATCATAGCTTCAAAAGACAATATTTTCCTATTTTTAAAGGAGCTTTTACTATAAATAGTACTATATTATATTAAATAGAGAGAATATTATTTTATAATAATTAAAATTACTTTAGGAGAGAATATCTTCCTATTCTAATAAAGGCTTATTCTTAACTTAATTTCTTAGGCCAATAAGGAGGGATATTATAACTATTACAATCACTATTCCTATAAAAGGGCAACCTTAATATTATCAATTTTATCTAGACCTTCTATCTATAAGTAGCTTAGCAGCAAGCTAATTATCTAGATCTATTAAATCACTATCACCCTTACTATCCCCACTATTATCCTCCCTACTAACCTAATTTTATTTAGCTTTTAGTTAAAGCTTAATTATAAAAAACACTCTAATATTAAGATAAATAGTTTATACTCCTACTAACTTTTCTATTACTACTTTCCTCTTATTATAGCTATAAATATTTCTTATTAGTCTATTAACTTAAAAGCTAGCCTTTAGGGTTACCTTTTTACCCTATAAAGATATTACTACTAGCTTAAACTTCTTATAAGATAGCTTCTTAAAGCTATTTAAATTAAAGTTACTATTCTAATACCTTTTTTATACCTTTAAGACTATATTAAACTAACTTTTACTAAAGCCTATAAGCTTTAATATATTATTAATAAACCTATAAGCTTTAAAATAGTTAATCTTAAATATATATAAAAAAATAGCTACCTTATTTAAAAATTTATAAAGGTTAAATAAGTAGTAGTTTATATAGTTAAGTTTATTAAGCTTTTAAATTAAGCTAATATTAAATATTTATAGTATAGTACTAGGGTTAGACTTCTTTTATTAATATAGAAAAGTAGTTATAAAATACTTATTTTTAATAACTAGTTTTTAAAAATCCTTAATATTAATATTTTATAAAATATAAACTTTAAATAACCTATTAAGTAGCCTTAATAATAATACTATCCTATTATAATAGACTACCTATAAATTAAAAAGCAGTTTAATAAGCTACTTTTTATTTACTAGCTTTTTATTATCTTTAAAGATATTATTATAAAGGTATTTAAGTAGTTTATAAGTTATAATATATATAAGTAGACCCTTATATTTATACTTATTTTTATTAATACTAATAGAACTTTACTTTTAAAGACACACCTAGTAAATACTAGCTTTTAAAAAAGACTTTAGTAAGGCATATTTAGTAATTACCTTTATAAAAGGACCTATTAGCCTCTTAATTTTAGCCTAAAAATATTTAAGCATTTTATTCTAATTCCTATATATTACTATTCTATTTTTAATAATTTTAAACCTATTAAAGTTAACCCTAATTATTTACTTTATTTTATAAAATTTTTTATATAATTTATTTATAGTAAATATAGTGCCTAATAAAATCCTATATTTTTTATAAAGCATTAAATCTTTAATAATAAAAGGTTATTTTTATAAACTATCTACTTTTATATAGCTTAAAACTCTAATATTTTATAATATTTATAATAGGCTATAATATTAGGTATAATAATATAAATTAAGGAAAATTTAAAGGTCTATTAGATTTAAATTTAATATAAAACTAATTCTTATTTCTTTTAAAAGAAATAAATAAATTTTATTTATTTTTAATAAACCTTAAAAGGAATATAATTAAATATTAAAATACTTTTAAAATACTTTTTATAACTTCTATCTAACTATTATAATTATATTTTTTAAAAACTATTTTTAACTATTATTATTAGTTAATATTAATTATTTTATTTATATTTTTAAAAACCTTTTTTATTTATTATTATTAATTAATTTTAATAATTTATTAAATTTTTAATAATCTTTATTATATCTTTATAAAGGTATAAATTAACTAACTTTTTTAAATAACTATCTTTTTTTATTTTAACTTTTTCTTTTTTATTTAATAATTAACTTTATTAAATCTTTAATTAACTCTTTTTTAATTATTTAATATTTTTATTATTATTTTATAATTATTATAAATATTATTAATATATTTAAGTAATTAAAATTAAATAATTTTTTAAAGGTTTTTTAATAGTTTTTATTAATTAAAAGTTTTAATTAATAATTTTACTTTTAACTAATAAGTTTTATTATTATATAATTCTTTTCTTTTTAATAATAATTATAATATTTATAAATAGTTTTTCTTTTAATAACTTTATATATTATTTTTATTAGTTTTATTTAATAATAAAATAAATTTTTTATAAATATTTTACTAAATTAAATTTAACTTTTAAAAGCTTTAATAATAATTATATTAATTTTATTACTTTTAATATTAATAACTCTTTCTTTTAAATTATTATAATAAAAATATTAATAATAATAAAGTTTTAAAAACCCTTTATTAAAATAATAAGTAAAAACTTATAATTATTTTATATAGTTTTAAATTTATTAAAAGTAGTTATAAAAATTACTACCTTATTAAAAATTTAAATAAAAAAGTCTATTAAAAATTCTTTAAACTTTTAAAAATTCTTTTATTTTTATAAAGTTTATTTAATTTTAATTATTTTTAAAATTAAAAATATATTATACCCTTTTTATAAAAATATAAAAAAACTTTTATAAATATTAATTTATTTAATTATTTTATTTAAATTATAAAAAATATAAAAATATAAAGCTAAATAATTAAATTTTAAATACCTTATAATATATATATATATACTTTCTTAAAGTAAATTAAAAATATTTAATTTTTTATAAAAATATTTTTATATTATTATTAATTTAAAAGTTTTATTATAATTAATATATTATAAAATATTATTTATTTTATATTATAATAAATTTACTTTATATTTTTATTAAATTATAAAATAGTTAATTTTTTAAAAAAATTTTTAATTATTAATTAATTTTTAATATTTATTTTATAAAGGTTTTTAAAAGAATTATAAATAATATAAAACTTTTACTTTTATTAATTTAAATAAATAAGTTTATAACTTTTAAATTTAATTAGTTAATATTTTAATAAATATATTTATTAATAATTTTAATAATAACTTAATATTTTAAAAAATAGAAAACTTTAAGTTTAAAAATAATTTAAAAAAATAAAAGAAATAATAAATTTTAATATTAAATATAAGTTATTTAATATTTATTTAAAAATAATATTAATTTATTTTAAAATAAAAAATTATAAAGGTTAGTATTTTTAAATATAAATTATAATTACTTTATATTTTTAATTAATAAAGTTTAATTTAAAAATAATTTAAATAATATTTATAAAAATTTTTAAAAATTTTATAAATAGTTATTATAATATAATATACTTAGTTTTATAAATAATAAGTTTTAATTTAATATATTTTAATTTAAAAGTTTCTTTAAAAGTTATAAATATAATAAATAAGGCTTTTAAATTATAATCTTAAAAATATTTTTATTATTTTAAAAATAACTTATAAAATAAAAATAATTTTTCTTAAAAGTTAATTAAATATATTATAAGTTAATAAATAAAATTATAAATATAAAATTTTAAAATTTTTAAAGTAGAAAAATAATACTTTTTATATTACTTTTTAAAATAAATTTTAGTTTATTATAGGTTTAAATAATTTAAAAATAGTTTATTTTAATATATTTAATATTAATTTTTATAATAATTTTTAATTTTAATATTATAATTAGTTAATTTTTAATTATTAATTAATAGTATTTATTTCTTTAATATTTATTTTTAAATATTTTATTAAATTTTATAATTTATTTATTTAACTTTTATTCTTTTATTAGCTTTTTATTAAGCCTATATTTTACCTTTATTAACTTATTATAAAACTTTTATAAATTATTTATTAATTATTTATTTTATTATTATTTATATTATTAACTATTTATTAATATATATTTTTATTATTTAACTATTATTTATTTATTTTTACTTATTATAATTTAAATAGCCCTTCTTTTTAGCCCTTTATTTATTTACTTTTAAATTCTTTTAAAAATATTAAAATCCTTTTTTATAATATTTTTAAATAATTTTATTATAAATATTTTATTTTTAATATTTAAAAGTTATATTTATTTAGTTAATTCTTTTATTTAATTAAATAGTAAAAATATTTTTAATTTCTTAATAATTTTAAATTTTTTAGTTTTATTTAATTTATTTATTTTTAAATTAAATAAGTTTATAATATTTTTAATAAATTTTTAAATAACCTTACTATTTATAACTTTAATTAATTTATATAAAAATATTATATATTTAAAAATATTTTTAAAAAATTAAACTATAAGTTTATTTATTAATTTAAATTAAAATTTTAAATAAACTAACCTTTTATAAAACTAACTTTTAATTTTTAAATAAAAGTATTTAATTATTAAAAATATTTATTTATTAATTTTAAATTATTTAAATTAATAATATATATTATAATTTTAAGTTTAAATTTTAATTATATATTTTAATTTTTTATATTTTATTTATATTTATTAAAGTTTTTAATTATTTTTAATTATTAATACCTTTTTTATAATATATTATTTTTAATAAATTATTAATTATATAAAATTATAAAAATAGTTTATACTTTAATAAAACTTTAAATAAGTTTATTTTAATTATTATATTTAGTATTAAATTATATATAAAAAATATAATATATAATAGTTTTAATTAATTTTAAATATTTTTAGTTATAAATAATTTAAAATATTACTTTAAAATTTAATTTATTCTTTTAGTTTATTTATTACTTTATAAATAATAAATAGTAATATAATAATTTTTATATTATTTAGTTTATATAATATTTTTAAAATTATTAGTAAAAATTATATTTTATTAATAATAATTTTTAT